CTGGGAGCCGCCATTTTTTAACTGTGCTCGTCATGGCCTCTTGGCTTAGCCAACTTCTCATCACAAATTTTTCTTGGGGGAGCACGAAGACTCTGCGTACGCGCACAGTTTTTGAAAAATGGAGCACGGAAAGTGCAAATTGCAGTTAGCGTTTGGCACATGCGCAGTGGCAATGACGCTGTTCTTTGCGTAAGCAAAGCTTTAGCGTGTGCTATTCTAATACCCTAGTTACACTAGCGCTCTCAATTGTCATTAAGCCAACAGTCGTCTGTTGGCTTAATAAAGTTGAGCTCGACTAAGTCGTCTGGTCTTACACGGTACATAGGCCTAACAATCCCAGTTGAGATTCGCGTCAAGGGACGTAGTTGAAACCGAAACAAAACCAGATCTGATGTCATTACCTTCTTTTTTAAGTGATGCAAGTGAATTATATGCATACTTTGCATTCATTATAAATGTTTAAAACAAAATAACATGAACTTCTTTTTTGTATTTAGAGTAAAGAAACTCTAATCAGAACGTTTCACACAAATTCAAATAAGAGAGACACAACGAAAGTCTTGTCGGCACCAACATCGCATTGGCAGCCCTCGCCGAGCTTTGGCTTCCACAACATGTCATGATCCTTCTAGCGGCAGCTCTGGCCCCGAATCATATCCAGTGATGTGATTGCTGCGCCAAACTGCGCCAAGGGGCTAACCCTGCTACATCCTGCTACATTTTGCCAAAATATGGCTAATCTGCGCCAAGCCTGTGCCAAAAGTCCAATTTCGGTCGCTTTTCAAAACCGAAACTAAACTGGGAACCGTAATTGAGCATGCATGAGCCATAGGTGGCGCAAGCAGCCGCCCGACATACCCAGCATCAATTGTCCATTCAGTCTTGTATGGTTTTTGCCGCCGTCTCGCGTTTCGCGCCCTCATTGCCCTCGTCGTCACGGGAATCTTGTCTCGCGTCGTCTTTTTAAAACTTTCTCAGCTATAGACGCGGGCGTGTGCGGACGCTCCGTCTCTAGTGTGCCGGGTGCCAGCCATGCCGTCCTGCTGTGGAAGGAAACCACGTTTTTGCGCAACGAGAGTTACTTTGCGAGCCGAAACGCTCGCGTGACCACTGTCACCGTGGTCTTGCGACGTCGGGTGTTGCCGTCCCCACGTCGCTGCAGATATGGTGTTTTCTAAACTTGTTCATCGACATTCCTTTTCTTGTTCAAATCGTACTATACTACAAAAATCCCTCTTTAACTCAAAGACTGCTTGTTGAAATATTTATTACCTAGATTTCTCTCTGCGAGCTTTCTTTCGAGAGGGACCCCATTACGTGAAAAATCTGCCGCACAAGGAGGTTGGTGACGGAGAAGTGAGCTAAAGCAAAGGAGGCAATGTCTGCACGCTGAACCCACACGGCGCACTTGTTTGTCTCGAGTTCAGTCGTTGCTCAGGGCGCTCCAAAACATTTTTGACCCTGGCTCGCGATGTCATGCATCAATGCGCTCAGGTTCTGTTTTTCTTTGTATTTAGCTTGTACCTCGTCTGCTGGCCTGGCAAGTACGCGCCGCTGGACTGTTTTTTTGTCGAATGCTGGACAGTTGCATTTTGCACACTATTTTGGGATCCAGTTGGCGACGAAGCGGAGTGGCATTGTTTCGGTTTCGATTGAACAGCCGTTGTCCCTGCTCGCGTGACGAAGCACGTGCTACTGCAAGCTTGCTGAAGTCGCCCTCACGTGCATGTGAACATGACTGCAGGACAGAGAACCAGCCGGGACGCTTTCAATCCATTGTTTTACGTTCGCTTACTTCAACGAAAATCTGGCACGTCGGGAACCGGGAAAACGGTGGCAAGCGTTCTTTTCGGAATTGCTCGGCAACGCCTACACTGTACACTTGTGGGATGTCTCGGCACTAAAAACACAAATGGTGAGTTCCGTCATAACACAGCAAGCACAAAGTGCCTTTCGTTTGTCCAGCCCTCAAAATAAATATTTTAATTTTTCTAAGAATATTTGCTCCAAAAGCCACTTTTTCTGCTCCAGAACACTGTTTTGGCTGCTCCAAAAGGTGCTCCAAAATGGCTTAGGCCAATCACATCACTGCATACCTTTTCCGACAATATTTGCCGCTATGATACTTCCTAGATACCTCTTCATTTCCTGCAATAGTAGGTGCTTCGCTGGCGCTGGCTATCGGCGGCAATGCAGTGGACGCCGCCATCTTTAGCTCTATTGGAGCAAATCCCCATCAGTTAACTGAGGTAGGCCAGCTCAGTTGAACTCGGTGATCGTTAGTGGCTCGATGACAGTTGGTGCCGCCGTGTAACTTCGGCCGATTGTGATTGAGTCAACTCGTTCGCTTAATGACAGTTAAGAGCGCCTGTGTAACTAGGGTATATAACTGCCTAATAAATGCCTAATAAATGTCTGCTTTTTTTTTTTTTTTTTATCTTTTGTCTCGGAAGAGCAGTGTCTCCCCTTAAAATAAATTGTCTGCTTGCATTCCACGGGTCAGCCCACTCTTATATATCTTTGTTCAAGTTTAGGTTGGCACTGGAGTAGTGTGATAGGGAGATGTTTCCAAGCATTCTGTTCTTATCTCCCCTTTGAGAATTGTCAGACCAGGCACTTCAGGTCATCCGAGAGCCGGCTCAGTAGAGAATGCAAAAGTTTGTGGTAGGACTGGAACTATTCTGGATACAAGATGTCCCCAAAAACAATTTACAATAATCTTGACCTTTTTTTTTTTTTTTCACTGCAAAAATTAATTATGCATTGCCAAACACTTAGTGACTCAGTCTCCACACAAATGTAACGCTGCTGATTCAGACGAGATGTCAAAGTTTTGGAATTTGCCATTATCCGATTAAAAAGTTGTAAGCGATTCTTTTGAAATTGGATGCGGAAATGGCGGCCGACAAAGCCCGCAAACACTCGAAAATTAATGGTGTCGGCTACCAGGATTAAGCACTATTATCTCATTTAAAGTTTTAGGAAATCGCTTACAACCTTTGAACGATAGCAGTTTTCACTTCGAGAATCGTAGTAAAAAAAGTCCAGCTTCTCGTGGAGCCTTACTGATTTTCCCCTTTATGTAGAGAACAAAGATATATGCAGGTAAATTTTAGATGAGATATATGTTATCTTATTAAGACGGGCACGTTTCGAACGCCAAAAGCCTCGCTTTCACCTCCGACAACCAAATCACGTAAGGACTACTTCGCGCCACGTGTGAGCAATGCACAAAGCTTGCTTTTTCCTTGAGGTGAAAACGGGTTTAGATGAACGAAACCTTTGAAACTTCGGCATCTGGCTCAAACTGATAGTGCTATGTTTTGGCAGGCACTAAACATTTGGTGTTGCACAGTTTCCTTTGTGCAATAAAGCCAGTTTACTTACTGCTGCTGGTCATGTGTTGTCTGGTGGGCATGATTGGGTAGGATAGCAGTGTCCAATCACTGATTGGGGCTCTGCCGCTTAATATGTGGTCCGCTGGACTAAGAGAATGGCTCATCGCTTTTTGAATTGCTTATGCGACACTGTTGAGTATGGGCTACCTTTTTTTGGGGCACTGCAAGAAAGCTCACATGGTGTTGTACGTGCACAAAAACGGGGGGTTCATCTCTTTGTCCCTGAATGGATGGATGGTGTGTGCACCCTTTGTAAAGGGTGGCAACTTGTGCCACCTGGCCTACAAACGTTAAAACTGCCATATTTCCACCCTTTTGAGTGTTGTTTCTTTTCTCTGTTTTATGTCATAACCGAGGAAAGTCTCTTTGCTCAATTATAAATAATTGAGGAAAGAGACTGACTCTCTCTTCAGGCGAGGGAGTCGGCATTTTTTTCCTCTGCCTAACCTTGAAAAAGCTTTAGTCTCTTTCACATGGCATTTGCCTGCAGTACACTAGGACATGTCTGTGTACTGTTTGGCTCTGAGGCAGATTTTAAGCCTACGGATTTTCAGGTGGCGAGTTTGAATCAAAGACAAGGTGCCTGCAATTTGACGAAGGCTTATTGACGTACAACCCACATTTTGGGTGCATGTTTAAAGGTCCCCAGGAGGTTGAAATTAATCTTCAGACCTTTGCTGGGGCTTGTCCCAGCAAAGGACTGAAGATTAATTTCCCTTTGTTACTTCTCCCAATTTTTTTGTTTTTTTGTTTTTTTTGTTTAGAGAGTTGGAATTAAAGTTTTGGTGGGGTATCACACAGTTTCTTCATGCCAGGGAAACTGGATGTCCACAAGAGCGGGCCGCAGAGAATTGGTTTTTAGGCCCGCTTCAGACGGGGCAATTTTGCCCAGCAACTTGACGTCACAACAACAGCAACACGCACCGCCCGCGTTCACACGCAGCAACCAAATTGCTACAACTTTCCATCATCATCATGAAATTTGATTTTTCTTGCACTCTTTAGACGCACAGCTACGCGCTAAAACCGTGTTTTATATTTTTGAATGGCGTTGAGAATACTAAATCATCTATCTGCAAAGGTTTATCTCCAAAAACCATCAATTTCAAACCAGAGCTAAGTCTTTAGCTGTCATCATCACCACCACAGGGGTGTCACGTGAAAATATTGCGTCCCTGATTGGCTGTTGCCGCTTCAAGCGTCTCCGAGTTGTTAGAGTTGCTTGTCCGTTTCGAGCCGGGCCCGATTTCGGCAATTCATGTCGATCTAGGGAAAGCTAGGGAACAACCTGCCAGCAACCCAGAAATCGCTCGAAAAGTTGCGCTGTCTGAAGTGGGCCTAACGGATGGCCAGTGGAGGCCATTTTCAATTCCCAACAGTTAATAATGGCACACTCTACGCAATCTTATTGTTGTATCACCACTGCAAGAGCATAAATTACGAAACTTCTGTAGCAGCCACTAGGCAAGTGGTACTTTTAGGAGCGTCGACTTTGCGGGGACAGTCGGGGAAGGTACGCGACCTTGAAAAGCCGAACACGTGCCACATGTGCAGTAAATACGGAAATGTGCGACCAATTGTGTGGCCCTCTGTTCCTTCCAGAGAAAGGTGACGTGGTAGAAGCCATCAAGAAGGGATTTCTGGAGGTCGACTCAGACATGCTGAAGGGTAAGTCCCGCCTCGCAAACTTGGAAATGGGCAGACTAGCATCCCTTATTAAAAGAGGAACACCCTAGCCGGGCCGGTTTGCTGATCGCTGCGGTTGTCTCGCCCGGCGGGTATTTAACAGTTGCAGGAGGGACTTCGAGGTCATGTGATTGACACCGTAGGGAGGAAGTTCCCAGCGTTTCAGCCTATTCCCCTCGACAGATGTAAACCTTGCCTGTCACTTCCTTTCCATTCCGCTCGACAAGACCTTCCCCACAAATAACTACACGTCGCTTGTAATGTAAGTGAACGAGGCTTGTCTCACTTACATTTTAAGGCTTTTTCTCTACTCGAAATCAGACTCCATTAATTGAAGCGAGGATGGAATCGCGGCGGCTGTTTTCCCTGGAATGCTAGGTACCCTTAGTTCCTTGTCCCCCTTGTGTGGCCGGTCACGCGACCTCAGAATTCCTCGTAAGGGGGAGTAAATCGGGGAGAGAGATACAGTAGGCTCGCGATAATTCAAACTCAGATATTTCATACTTCTGGTTATTTCAAACAAATGGAAAAAAATTTGGTTGTCCCCCTATGTTTTTAATGTATTCATAAGCCACTTAATCGAAATGACGTTTTCGTGCAGTTCATACTTTTGGTTCTCGCAGTCCCGTTGAGTGCGCTTCTTTTCGAGCACCGCTGCACTGCAGAAAGGCAACACTTGTGGAGCTTGTTTCTGCGGGTGTTGCTTCTCTGCAGCGCATTGGTGCTCGGTGAGAAGTGTGCTCAATGGGGCTCAAGCAGGGCACCATGAGCTATGGAAACGGGCACCACACGGAAATTTCTATTGCAACTTGTGCGGGTGCTGTGACGTGGTGGCATGGCATACCCCACGTCACAACGTCCGTGCAAGTTGCTATGAAAACTGTCGCGCGGTGCCCGTTTTCATTGCTCATGTGTCCCCCCCCCCCCCCCCCCTGCTTAATATTTCACATTAGACAACTTCTTGGCTTGAGGAACAAACTTAATTTTGTTTTGAGTTGTCATGCGCTGTCTAAACAGTTCACGATAAACAACTTTTTTGAAAGATAAATGAACTCAATGCATACATTTCAGAACTGTTCCTTGCATGGCGTAACTGCTTATGATCAGTAGGCCTATATAGAGGAAATCATGAGATATCTGCTTTGTATGTGTAGCCATTCACATGGCAAATCGTAATTTCATCTTGCATTGTATTTAGATGAATTTATGATAATTCAAACCTCTCATAATTCAAACAAAATTTAGAGCTTCCTGGAGTTTTACTGTACCCGCATTGATTGGGAAACGGGTCCTAGGCGCCTTGTCTGCTTCGGCTGGCCGGCGCTGCGCCTAACCGCGCTCTTTTCCGTGCAGACGAGAGCATGAAGGACGAGCTGGCGGGCACCACTGCCGTCGTGGTGCTCATCAAGGACGGGAAGCTGTACTGCGGCAACGTGGGCGACTCGCGCGCCATCGCATCGGTCAATGGCCAGGTGCAACAGCTCTCGTTTGACCACAAGCCGAGCAACGAGTCCGAGACGCGGCGCATAGTTGCAGCCGGAGGCTGGGTGGAGTTCAACAGGGTCAACGGTGAGTCGGTTTTGCGCGTGCCTGGCCTTACAGAAAAGTCACCACTACAGCTTTTGAAGCTTCTTTCACACATCGCCGTTTTGCCTACGTCATGTCGGCCACGCTCGAAGTCTCGGGCAGAAGCGCTGCGCCAATAGCGCCAATCCACTTTCGCTGTGCCAATAGCGCCAAAACTAACCTAAAAAGAGGTGTTATTTTTTTTTTTTTAAGTGTATTAAAGCAGTTAATTTTTGTTTGATGAAAACAGGTGCCAAGTGCTTATTTTCATCTAACGAGAATGATAATGATTTATTCCGGACCAGGTAAATAAACAGTATTCCGTTTCGTTTCATGGTCTCATATTGATGAGCTATCGAGTGCCAGCAGCACGAGGGAGAACCGCACGAGTTGGGTGTTTTAAGTCGTCCGTTTCAAACGCGAGGAAAAGTAAACAATTTTATTGTTCAGAAATATACTGTATTTGGACAAATATTAACAACACACGACAAAAGCCGTGTGTTTATTTCCGTTCTCCGTACCAGTTCCTTCGAAGCACTCGTTTGGGTACGTTGCTTTGTGCCGTTAGTGCTCAGCCAACAACGGCGCGCGAGTGTCTGATCTCTGAAAATGGGACAGACGTAGGTGGCTTTGTCAGAAGTACTAAAGCATCAGTTCGTCTTTTACTTAATTATTTTCTTTGCACGGGGGCGCCGAGCATGGCTGCGTGTATTCGAAATACCGTATGCATTAAATTGCGTACACCGTAAAGTTTCGTATGAACGCTCGTCCCCAAGAAATCACCCATCCCGTTTTTTGGGCTGAATATTCATAACAAAAAAATTTCTAAACATCACTTGGCAATCTGCAGTATCGGTACGTGCGACAAGCGCGTTCGCCGCAGGTTCCCTCGTGCTTGTCGCACCGCGACGCGCGAATCTGCAGCGTCCGCAATTTGCGGTGTCTGTTCCAGTGACATGCAAATTCTTAACTCGTTCCCGCGTTTTCTTTTTTTTTCCTGGATTTCCGCGCACAGTGTCGGTTCCCGTGACATCCGAGTTCGTAGCAAGTTCTTGCGTGCACTGTGAAGTGCAAATGCGCTGCGTCGGCATTCTGCTGCCGTGCCCGTGACGGGAGTGCATAGCGAATTTCCATGTGCTTGTTAGCAATTATTTAATAAAATTTTAAATTGCCTCCCCGAATATTGCCCTATATTTTTTGCCATTTATCTTCTCACTTCGAGCTGGCGTTTTTTTTTTTTTTTTTGTGTTTTTTTTTAAGGACTTTATGGTAGATAAAACATACCTAGAAGCTTGCTGGCTTGTGTTCACCTATCGTCTAATCTCTGGGGAAAGCGATAGCTACTCTACAAAATTAAACAAACATTTGGCATAATTTTATTTTGTTGTTTGCATCTTTAGAGTGTTTGCTTTTGCTGAGACCACTTCCGCGCTCCTTATTCCTGTCCTAAACGTAACAATAAAAGCGGTAATTGGTTGCCTCATCTGTAAACACGTATGTTTTGTCGGTCACATTTCTTAACAAACTCCTAGACGATCTTTTTTTTCTATTTTATTCAGTCATGCTTGTTCTAGTAAGGGCTTAAGTGCATATGTATGTGCAGGGATGATATGAAGTTTTCAATATTTTGCATTTGTACTTTTATCAGATTGAGTAGATTTGTGTTCTGTTAACTTGAGTGTTAGAATACTTTTGTGTTTGCTAAACAAGAACTTGGAACATTTATATTTTCTAATAATGAAAAAATGTAATCAGAAAGTATTTGGATTTATTACATACCATACCATTGCATCTTGAAATGGTTTTGTTTTCAACTTATGGAACTTGTGATTAGGGTTGTTAAATAGGAACAGTGTTTTGTTTTCATGAGGCTTAAGTTGTGCTTCTTTTGTTGACTGCCTTCTATTGGAAATCCATAAGAGGAACCGCCATTCAGATAAATTGCAATTACGCTGTGTGCTTCTTTATGCTATGGGCTGGTTTATATTTAGGGAAAGGGTATGTTTGGAAACGGTTCAGGAGCATTACATTGAGGTGCTTTTTCGTTCCGATAGTTTTCTATATAGAAAAACACCTCCGCATTTATAACCCCAAGTTTGACCTGGGTGACGAGCTCCAAGGTTCACTTATGCCGCTACGAAACTCGACTCTTGTTGCTCCCAATCGGAGCTTTTACTGCTCCAAAGCTGCTCCAAAGGGGCATCTTTGCTGCTCCCAGACCTGCTACAAAAGGCTGAAGCTTGCTTCCATCTCTTAAATCTGGATTGAGCTCAGATGCGAGTCACTCCTGCGGACCACATCACGTGATCAAACATACAGCAGCGCTCTTCTCCTATACTCTGTTGGACGATAACTTGACGAACTGTGGAGGCGGCTGCCCTTGCGATCGAATAAGGGTATCGGAGCAAGACACATGATGACACTCCCTAATGGAGGGCTTGGAGGCCTCGTTACCGCCACAGCAACATCGCCATCTGCTACAAAAAGTAGTTCCAGGCTTCTTTTTCTTTTTACAGCAATTGAACTCGCGGGAAAGCATCTCTATCGATACAACATGGAAAGAGCACGAAGTAATATTACTTTCCAATGATACTTAATTCAAAGTAACCCTTTTTCCGAGAACAACGTGGCTTTTGAACAATGTTTGAACGATTCCAGCCCTCAAATCTACCGCTTCCACTTTGTGGCATTAGCACCTGCCACAAATTCGCGGATAAATTGTGCGTATGGTTGTCTCATGAACCGTTCCCGAAGAGCTCGCTACTCTAGCAGGCGGCAGATGTTACGGCAGTGGACGTTCATCCGAATTTGGTTGGTTTCGCGGCAGATGACTCTTGTCCAGCAGATGACAGCCGGTTCTTCCGGGCCTTGCATGTGGCGCAGTGACACAAACGCTCCCTTGACGTGGTGTCACGTGCCTTGCTCCAACACTCTTATTGAGCTGCGGGAGCCATAGCCTCCACACTTTGCCAAGTTATTGTGAAACGGAGTATGAAACATACTAAACAAGCAAGCTCCAGGCTTTCAGGCTTGTCACCCTCCCTGCCAAGCCTGCTTTTTTTTTTGTTTTTTTTTTTTTTAATATGTGATTTTAATTGCGCACTGAACCAGCTCGGTTGAGTTTATCGTGCTTGCCCTCGGTTTTGCAGGCAACCTGGCACTTTCGCGTGCTCTTGGCGACTTTGTCTTCAAGAAGAACGAGAAGAAATCTCCCGAGGAGCAGATCGTGACCGGTATGTGGTCGGCCTCACGACAAACGAGTTGTCCTTTTCTGACGAATTCTAAGGCGTTTGCACCGAAATTCTAGATGCCACCCCGAACTGTTCGGCGTCTAACGGCTCGGAAATGAAACGAAACCTCAAAGATGCTTAAAGTTGCAATCTCTAAACAAACAAGGCGAGATAGAAGAGTTTGCTACCCAAACTTTTAAGCATCTTTAGAAATTGACTTGCAGTGTGATTCATTGCAAGTCGACGATATCGATGTGGAGCAACATGATTGCAGTGGCATTCCCAGAATCCTTGTAAACTCTGAAACATGCGAGTGCCGCATTTAGTGCCCTTGAAACCCTCAAATTTTTATGAGAATGGCCAAATGGGAGGCTTCGTAAGCTAAACACCTTCGTTGGAGCGCGTTTGGATCGTCATTTCTTAGCTCTGTCTGTCTGTGACCGGCCAAAAATATTTAAACTATTTCTTCGTATTGTCCTCTCGTTCCCGAATTGTTTCCCAAAACACCATTTCGTCGTCGTTCCTCGCATGACCTTTTCCCCAAAGGCTCTCTTTTTCGAATTAAATGATTCAATAGCTTTTCAGTGCTCGGAAAGGTCTTTTGTAAACTGCCCGAAGACCTCCGACTTGATGCAACGTTTTAACTTCGAAAGAATTTGCAGTTTTTAAATTTTTACTATATCTTAGCTACAGGGATGCAGAAGCTGCCCCATTCTTTTGAAATGTCGCAACTCTGTTGCCTAGTAGCGAAGCAAGGATCGTCGTTTCTACACGAGTAAATATGTCAAAAACCTCATATCACCGACAAAGTTGTATTATAATCAGTTTTAGTGGTGCCATCTGCTTGAGGTGGAAGGAACAATTCCTCTCTTGAGCCTCACCCCGTTGCTACTACTACTGCTACTGCCTTACAGCAAAGGAAGCGCTTTGCCCCCCCCCCCTCCTAATCGCTTGGACCAACCTTCAAGGTCACCATGTGAATCGTAAGCAGAGGCTGCATGTGCTGGAGGTTATGAAAGAGAGCCCAAGCAAATTCTTTGTGTCCCCAGTGCACCCGGAAACGCATCACTGCGCATGTGACTCGGAAGACAGTGTAAGAGCTCAGTAGGGGTTTGGAGGTGCCCAAAACGTCAATTGATTGACAATTTAAAAAAAATAAAAAAATATTGTGCGCAGGCAAAATTGGTTTTCAGTTCTTTAATCCTGACATGACAGGGAACAACTATGAAAATTATTTGACCAAAGTGCAAACATTGTTGCACAGCCCCTTTAAGGTCAGTTCACTTGTGCAGCGCAGCACTAAACCAACAATAAGAACAGTGCGGATGCATTGCTGACTTGAACATGACTAGTACCATATCGGTACGGTGTTAATGCTGTATCACTAGTTCAGCACAAAGAAGGCACTGCATCAGCAAGATCGTTCCAGCACCGATTAATAGGGCTGAGATTGCACTGCTGTGCACGTGCGAACAGGCCTTTAGTTGCTAGCTCATTCAGGTTCCTCGCTCCGTCTGTTCAAGTTCTTTCTTGCGTCGCAATCCTCTCCGACGCGCGAACAGCATACCCGGACGTGGTGGTGAAGAACCTGACACCGGACCACGAGTTTGTGCTGCTCGCGTGTGACGGAATCTGGGACGTCCTCTCCAACGAAGAGGTGGTGGAATTCGTCCGCATCAGGATAGCCGACCAGATGGAGCCCGAACAGGTTTGTGCCCGGTTAATGTTGTTTGCCGCGACGAAAGTGCCCAGAATGCGTCTTCGACCGACGCTTCGGCGTCCCATCCCACCCGTGCATTAAGAGTGGTCCCGAAGTGGCAAAAAATTGAGTCTCGGAAACTGGCGCGTCGTGTTGGATGTCGTGATCCTGATAGATAGTGCTAAAGGTCGTGGCAAAAAGTAGGAGCAAACGTGACTGTCGAGCTTGAGAGCGACCCGCAGCAGAGCAGGTACCTGCCAAATCCACCACGGCTGCCGCGACACTGCCAGGATCATGGCAGGTGACAATGTGACTCTTCTATGATGTCGTCAGGTTGAGGGACCACTTTTGAGGGTGATAAACACCAGTCAGAGACGGGTTCTAGGTGCCGTATTGTAGGAAGCCACCTCTACATTACCATTGCTGTTCGCAGATCTGCGAAGAGCTGATGACGAGGTGCCTGGCTCCAGACTGCCAGATGGGCGGCCTCGGCTGCGACAACATGACGGTGGTGCTCGTCTGCCTGCTGAACGGCGCCCCCTATGCCGAACTGGCGCGCCGGTGTGCCCGTCCCTTCAACGTGATCCCCTGCTCCCCGTCGCCACCCACGAGCCCCGTGCGACTCCAGTCGCCCTTTGGGGACCAAGAAACCACGCGCAAGGGGGACGAAGGGCCCCCCAACACCCAGGCAGACGCCCACAGGCAGGGGGACGTGGCGGCGGACGACGAAGGCCCCAAGCAGACGACGACGCTGCCCGACACGACGCCGCCGCCGGCTTCCCTCAGGGAGAGCGGTGGGGAAATGGCAGTGGCGTGATGATTCCTTATGTCGTCGCCGTTTTTTTCCTGAGGGGAGCGGAGGCGTCAAAGGGGTGTTTGGCGAGGACAAGTGCTTGCTGTGATGGATGGTGCTGGAAAGGCAGGTGGAGTGCTTGTTTAAGCGTCGTCTGCCCATACGAGTTGTTCTGTTTGACGAGACTGGACTTTCTGAGCAGACAGTGCTGCTCAAGCAAGGCGCTATGTGACCAGACATTGCATGAGCAGATAACCGTCTGAGCAGACAACGTTGCTTGAGCAGACAACGCTGCCTGAGCAGATTACTGTTTAAGCAGGCGACTCTGTCTGAGTAGCTGACCCTGTCTGCTGCCTAAGCAGACAATGCTGCCTGAGCAGACAAGGCTGCCTGAGCAGATGACTCTGAGCAGACGTTACTGCCTGAGCAGACGCCTTCTCAGACAGAACAGCTTGAGTAGACAAAACTGTTCAAGCAGAAGACATTGCACCTGAGCATGAGCCACACTGCCTGGGCAGACAGCACTATCGTCTGGTTTCCTACTGTTGAGAGAGTGGAAGGACGATGTAAACGGGTCTGGTGATACCTCTTATCGGTGTTTTGCAGTGTTGATTTGGGAAATGTGAGGGGAGAAAAATGGCATTTTGCATTCTGCCTAGGGGAGGGAAGGGGATTGGCAGATACATTCGTTTGTCTGCTTTGTGGGGAGAGTTGCCTCGATCGTGTCGTCTGCTACTGCACTTTTTTTATGTGTACTTGTTTTTCTCTTTGATGGATGCTAAAAGTGAGATTGGTCTCTTCTTTCTTGAGAAGCTTGACAGCAACATCAGACTGAACGGGTCAGCTTGTAAACAACCTTCTCAGAGCATCGTCGGTACTGCCGTCGTCTGCCAAGTTGGGGCATCCCGTGCTCTCTAGCTGCATGTTGCACCCTTACCAATGTGTAGATTTACGACTTCATTAGAGAATGCTAATGGGTTTGTCGCGCGCTTTTGAGGCGTGACGTCCCATGCCAGAATCGTCAACTGCACAACTGTTGCTTTAACAGAAACATGCATGTTACAGTTTGTGCGGTTTATTGTACACGAGCACGAAAAACAGTGAATTAAATTTCAGGTGATACCTCGAGTGCACATGTAACACATTCTTGTTGTGGCGGAAGGCGGGTTTGTCAAAGTAAAAGGGACCCCAACACTGGGACGGAGTTGTTGTTTAATGTCACAGTGCCGTAGTAGTAACATTAAATATTAATTTTTTTTTTTTTTTTTGCAGAGTTTAGTTGGAATACAGGAACTGATCTAGCTGGTTTGTCCTATTGGTATGTGGTGTCGTCATCTTACTAGAAAACTGGCAATTTAGAAATTTGTTTGCACCAGTGGCTTCTCTATTTGCCAGGTTGCACAGAAGAATGTGGTTTCTATTTGCTTGTCTAGTGGTTTAAGACTGCAGTATAAAGCAGCCATTTTCGTCCTTTTTGCTTTAAAGGTCGCCGATAGGGATCATTTTTGCTTCTCAAATTCACTTTGAAGCCCTGTTTTCTGCAATGGCCATTTAAGATCGTTGCTGCGCCGCTATAAAAAGCATCGGCTGCAACCCGTTTATTTACAAAAGCTGGGAAACGATTGCAGTCGTTTTTTACTTGCGACTTTTGTGCAGGATTAAGCTATACTCCATTCACCCCCAAGCTGACGGGGAGGTAGAAGCAACTCATTCGTTAAACCAGCCATATGTTCAACTTTCGTCACGTGCCCGCATACCCGAACCTAGCCATGTGCGGAGCAGGGTCAGGCGACAAAAGGGAGGTGGTTGGTCGGTCTCGTGAGTGCGTAACTCCCAGCTCACCGCCAGCTGGGGAATGAATGGGGTGTAAGGGTACGATAGCTCACCTCCCCAGGGATCGTAAAAATGGGAAACTGAACCTCAATCTTGACTTAATTTTCTGTTTGTGTTTGAAACGCTACAAACTGCTCAGAGTATAGCCGACACGGGACCGCTGCTGCCCCCCCATTAAAAGTGTAACGAAACCAGCATCCTGTGCGTGCAGGTTTTTCTTTTGTAGATAATAGCATAATCTTGGTGGCAACCAACCTGTATGATTTAATTTCTTTTTTTTTTTTTTTTTTCAGTACATGGAGACTTGGTAAATAATACAGTATACATACATGTATATATGCACATGTTTTTTTTACAGCAGATTGCAGCAGTGTAGCCGAAGTCAGTTGTAAATAGAGCGTTATCTCCAAAGCCTTTTTTTTAGCCAGTTCGGAGAAAAAGTGTCTGTCTTTTTTTTTTTCTTTTTTTTTATTCTTGCACATGTGTTTTTATTTGGTTTTTACGGGCATTTTTTTCCCCAGAAGTTTGTGTGCCAGACCCCCTTTTTTTATTTCTGGGGTATGTTTAGGTTTTCAAATTGTGGAAGTTTTTTCTTTTTTTTTTCCTTTCAATTTAGAAATAAAATTGCTTGTTTTTTTTTTCTTTTTGTTAACTGATCCTCACTCGCTTTTCACAGAATTTATATTTTATGAGTTAAGAAATAGGCATACTAATAAAGTATAATTAAATATGGAAACTCTGGTCTACTCTTTTTCTGTCGACTTGTGTCAATTCATGCAGTGCTGAAACAAAAGCACTACCGCAGCAGAGGTGAGAATGTTTTGTACCAGTTGCCTCGTGACTGGCCACATCAAACAAATCAGTATTGGTGTTTCATTGACAGAAACAATGGAATGAAGTCTGTATTATTTTTTATTTCATAATGCAGTACCCCTAAAAGGGCCTTCTAAGCAGAGTATTGCAAAATTGTGTAATACCTTGCCTTTTTTTTGTGTGTGATATTAAACTTCCAGTTCAAATTGTATCTGCATCAAAAGGGTTCTGGCAATCCATGAGAACAGTTCGTTTTGTGCGAGGCATTTTTCTTTTTGTATTTCCACAGTGCAGATTTGTTACTTGGCTGCACCTTTCTGGTGCTAACTTTTAAGATTCCTAGCATAGATATAGATGTCTTGGTTTATCCAGATTATTACAGTTGTGCAGCGACACAGCTGTTTTTAAATACCCTCGTGGTAGAGCATTGAAAAGCTACATTTGTGCCGGAATGTGCATCATGCTCCATTTCATCAAAAGGGGATTTTTCATATATCCATCTGCTACACCACACAGTCGGGTGGTCATGGCAGACAACAGTAGGCATTTGTGAATAACATACTATTCAGCTAATATGCTATCTGAATGACACTGACAAATTAACAGTATGTTTTTAAAATTCCAACGTTGGATTAGAATCATTCGCTACTCTATTCACTAATCATATCAAACTGGCACTACTGGAGAAAGTTGCACAATATTTCTCATTGCTCGAGGTCTGTTTTTGGTGGGGGTTGGCTAGCTCCGTCAAGTGCGCTTCTCACTACATCGGTGCACTGCAAAGAAGCGACTGCCACAAAATGGACACTGCAAATTGCACGGTCTGTGCTACTTCCACAAGGCATGGTGTGCCTACTCTGCAACATTTTAAAAGGGCGATGCAACGATTTTTGTACTTCGCGCAAATACCGCTTAGAACGGATCCCCGACGTTAATGACCTGTGAAACACCCGTTCGTTTTCCACCCCACGCAGTCGAAGTCTCGGGGAAAAATTAAGAAAAGCGAGCAGCGTTCACCCCCTCAAGTCGCAGCCAGAACAAGCAGGCACATGATCTGGAGCCGATCACATACTGCCAATGTTGATCATAGCCATGTGCTGCGGTTGGCAAGGCACAGGACATGCACCGAGTTTAAGACAATGTTATGGTTCAGCTATTGTCGTCACTGCAGCGATTGGACACGGGCTACTACTCAAATGCTTCTCGAGCTATAGATTATCATGAGCCCAAATCGAGTGCTCACACAATGCTCAGGTCCAATCTATGAGCTGTATTCAAACCTCGTCACTGGGCGGTACCGCGACCGCCCTGCTACGTCATCAGGTTTTGTGAACGAGAGACTGAATGAAATTGCTTGCTTTTGTCCTTGAAATTACCGCAATGAACGAGTTCCTCAACCAGTGGCGTCGCGTGCGATTATTTTTCAATCCCATCAGTGCCAGTAGGATTGTATAAAGTGAAAAACATTCCAATTGAATATCATTGCACCGCCTGTTGAATGAATCGTGCCACTGGAACTGGACTGACAGCCAGATGCCTCCCCTGCATATCTCGCTCTGCCGCAGCGCAGCAGCGTGCAAAGGAAAAGGGCGCTCCTTCTGCTTGTAGGACCGGCTATGGTGGCCTGCCAAGTTGGAAGTGTCGTTGGTCACCATTTTTCGTTTCTCCAAATTCGAGGATTAGGGGAAATTTCCACCAAAATGCTCTCGACTGTATCTAGCCTATGTGAAAGGTTTAATTTCCATTTCAAAGAGTAGCCAATATTGTGTTTCATTTTAGGTTCATACACAATTAGATTACAAAAGCTCTTTTTATTTGAATTTAAGATGTATTTCAACAATTAGTACTTGAACAAAATGTTTTGTTCCAGAGAAAAACACTAGATCACTTTTCGTGGTCCACACCTAAAGTTACCGATTACATGTGTTTATGCTACTACTTTTATCAGTTAGCACGGATATGGAAGTGGGGAGCCTGCCGAACAAGCATACCATTAATATTTTCAAATTTACAACAAACTTCTATTATCGTTGGGGTTCCGTGCTTTCGGAGTGTATTTCTCATGAAATTTGGAGGGTGCTTCTCGGAGTAAACTTCTTGCTGAAAATTTAGTTTATTGGAGTTCACTCCAAATTGAATGTTGCTGTTTTTGTTGTTTTTTTTGTTTTTTTTTAAAGGTCAACAGAAAGTCATTATACCTAAATCCATAAGAACTCTCCTGCATCGAAGGATGTTTCTACAAGTGGATTGGGCATTTGCTCGCTTGCCATCGGTAAAAATTACAGGAGGACACTCAAGATTGCTAACGTGTAGGAAGGCAAAAGCATTATAGTTCCACGGGAGAAATGTTTTCGAGTAATGTTTCTACACATTAAAGTTTAGGACGATGTCCTAGAGATCGACATCAAGTATGGACGACCTCAAGGACATCAAGGAGGACGTCCTAGAGGACCTCTTGGGCGACCTTGGAGAGGACGCGGAGACTGGCATATTTGCATGGGCAGCCACGTTTGCCTGCGGAAGCCGCCATAGATGTAGACACTGCTGCCGAGGTCGAGGCCGTAGATGTAGATGCAGTCGCCTCAGTCCAATGCACGAAGCACACAACGAGCACAGATGAAGTCCGAAGTGCACCTTTCGCACACGGTGCTCCGGCGGCGACATCACGCTCCTGCACTTCAGCAAGAGTGGCGTGTGCTTGACGACGTTTTTATGGCCATCTTTCGGGCACGCCGCCGCCACTTTTGCGTAATGGGACAAGGTCGTCCTACAGGTCTAAAATGACCTCAAGGACGACGGCAGGCACGTAGCCAGGGGGGGGGGCCCAGGCCCCCCCTCGAAATTTTTTACTTGGGCCTCTTCTCCCCTCTCCCTCATACAGCATTTTGTCATGGGCAGGCCCCCCCCCCCCCCGAAACAAAATCCTGGCTACGTGCCGGATGTCGTCCTTGGGCATACGATTGAGCGGCCCGTGCCGCTCAATCATATTTTTATGGCCATATACATTGCTTTTTCGCTCAGTGGGACAAGCCGGTGGTAGAATTCATTAGTTCAATGCAGCTCGGAAAATATGGAGGAAAAGCTTGTGCTACGGAACCCGGAAATCGTTCCTAGATTCAATCCCCATCCCCGCCCATTCTAATCTGGATGAGTGTCGTACAAGACTTCCTGTAATCGGTACTGCATGATGCACGTTGAACATACTAGCTAGCAATCGTAGTACTTCACCGACGACCAGATTTTTTACCTGGGCTGTTAACCTGTATTGCCAGTTCCCAAATGCCGACCACCTCGCACTGTCCGAGCACTTGGACCACCTTGTTTTTTTGTTTTCTTTTACCTTTAAAGAAAATACTAAGGTGCGATGATGTAAACTTGTATTTATTACATACACAGTCAGAAAAACAAAACAAGACAATTTGCACTCTAAAAGTTTCTCACAGAATGGCACGGCACAGCCGCTACGTTTTAAGGCACCTCTCGCTGAAGTCGGCAGCACAAACCAGGCGTCGCAAATGGCCGCCGAAATCAAAATCTAAGACGGCTTGAATGAAGAAGCGATCAAAGGGCACCAAGTCAATGAGCACTCGAAACACAAATATGCACCATTATGTTGTTGTTGCCATTCTTTCGCATCGTGCCAAACATCTAATATATTGGCAGTCGAAGGCGCTTTCCTTTTTCTTTATACAATAAATGTTTGTACCTGGGCGATGTCCGTCAACACTCTTAACAACAAATCTTACAAACTGCGCTACTCCACCATCTAAAACACACTTCCGCAATGGGGCTCATACATCAACATACATCGAACGTCAATTCATAACACGATATGCTTTAAACGAAGTGCCGTGACTCGGTGTCTCAACGGGCATTGTTACGACACCCACGTACGTTATATACACTAAACACTTTTGTAAAATATGACAAGGTATGTACACTTTTCTTCGAAGCTTCAGAGAAAACTTGCAGCCTTCAGACTTCGGAAATCGGAAACTGGTAGACGTGAACACTTTGTAAATATATGTATGAAGCGATAGGATATAAAACGTCAACATGGTATGTACAGTTTTCGAAAGTAGAGGCCTGAACTAGGGGGTGAGCCGACGAGCTCTTCGTTTGTTCGATTAAATCGCTGCTCCAAGTTACGCTTCGATGATGCTTGACGCACCTTTACCGACAGCCAATACATATTGCCCTAGACGCGGCTAGTTTTGGAAGATGACCGACAAGATGTCAGCCATTCCCAGAGCTCTATGCCGACTTGTAAGCTCTAGTACATTCTCACTATCAATGGCAAAACTTGGGAAAAGTCAGTTTGCACATGATTACAGCTAATCTTTGATCGAGCACTAAACACAAAGTAAAACGAGTTGCACACATTTTTATGCAAGTTGCGCAACTGTTAAGCTACATCCGCGGCAGCTTGCCTCCATACGCAACGCTCGACGCTAAAACGACAACACCTCTGAAAGCTTGTTGTTCGTTGCTCAAATACCAAAAGAAAAGGCCTTATTAGCACTTTCCTTTCGAAGACAAAAATGAGTCTTTCTTGTTCTGATTGGTGTTTTTAGCACTAGCTTTGGATTCCCACAGACCTCGTATTGCATGAAGGACACTCGTGCCCCTGTCATTTGAGTAATCGGACAAACAGCATGCACCACTCCCGATGTGGTGCGTTGCGGATCGCAAGCCAATTCGTTGATCGCACAAAAATCATTCGACAAAACTGACGTCAACTTTCTCCCGTGCCAGGAGTTGGTAATTACATTGTGCAGTAGCCAGTTCATTTCAGTGACCAACCAGCCTCGAATAACTTGTCCCACTTCAACATTTGTTTGATTTCCACCCAAACATAACGAGAAATTGTTTTGGACTCGCACTGCTAGCGTTCTCACGTTCTGCGAGCGCTGCGGCGCACCGATGCGAAAGGGGCAGACGGAAAGTGACCGCACCGTTCGTGCACGCCCGCGCCTTTTTGGTTCATGTCAAAAAGCGAAACCCGTCGTAGAAATTTATGCGACTCTCCCAAAGGCGTGAATGTAGCGCGGCGCTCGGCGTGGAAGCCGGCATTGCCGAATTGGACATCACAAGCTCCAAATCCTGCTTCCGCCAATTTCAAAGCTTCGACAAGGATGGGCACGCCGAAGCGCGTGCAACTGCCGACCGACGTTCTTCAAAAAGTACTAACCGCACAAAAGCGCACCGACCAAACGTCTGCCCAAATCCACACCAGATCGACGCGAACGATCGCGATCTACAAATCCGCAGCCACAACGCCTTTCCTTGTTCACATGCTCTTTGGGAAAACGCAAAGATTTACCAGCTGACCGACGATTACCCCAACGACGCGAAGTTGCCACGGGGCGCAGCAACGAAGTGTCGCGACAGGCATTAACAGGATGAGGACCGCAGGGCGTCTCTTTCGGATACCCGGCCTCCGGGAACTTCTCCCGATCATTCTCGCCCTGTCCGCGACTACGGACAGACGCGGTGTTACAGGCAAGTTGGCACTTGCCCACACCAGATGCAGGCCTTGCGATCACGCAGAGAACGAATTAGCATTCTGCACATGTGTTGTGCTGGCAGCAGTGCTGGCAACAACTGTTTGTAGCCCTTCGCTTGTTCCTCTCGGCCTCCTCACTTGCACGGTTCGCCGTCCTTGTGGCTGCGATAAGACTCTTCCACGTTTTGCCGCGTCCGGTTGAACGCCTTGGTCTTGAGGAAGTCGACGGTCCTGTAGACCGTGTTGGAACCTGTCGCCTTCTGCTCAGGCGACCGTGGGCTCTGCGCCGGACCACCAGGCTCGGAGTCCAAGTCCAAGTCCAGGTACTGTATCTCTCCTTTCTTCTTTGGCACGCCTCCTGTCTGCCTTGTGACCTGTGCAGAAAGAGCCACGGACTCCATTACTCCGGCGTTAGAAAAACGTTGCTGTTCGAGAACGATGGGGCATGTGTCACAGAAGACCCCAGGTCACGTGACACAGGGGGGGTCACGTGACCTGGGTAACCATCGTGACCCTTGTGAGGGCAACTCTCGTGACCCTTGTGAGGGTAACTCTCATAACCCTCGTGAGAGTAACCCTCGTGATCCTCATGAAGGTAACCCTTTTGAGGGTAACTAACCCTCGTAGCTCTCATGATCCTTATGAGGGTAACCCTCGTGAAATTAACCCTCGTAACCCTCACGAGGGTTACGAGGATTACTCGCGGTTACGCCGACGGCGACGCCGCTCAAGCCGGGAACGGGCGCCTAAGAGCTGCGCTCTAATGGGGGCAGGTTATCTCTCGAAGATGGGGAGTCTCCCGCGATCTTACGGCAACGCTGCAAGCGAAAACAAGGCTCTCACCGGGTCCTCGTTGGTGGAATTCCGTCGGCTGCTGCTGGCATTCGACCAACTGTCTTCTTCAGGAGCCAACAGGTCCCCCTTGCTCCTGTGTCTGAAATACAGCAAACCAATTATTCAATAAACCAATACTAAAACAAACCTGAAACACAGATTGTCCAGAACGACGCATGGCGCTACCAACCAAGTCGGGCAGCAGTTTGACCAAATAGCAATTGTGCTGTCCGTATGTTTAGACAGCCGAAATGCGCAGGGGTGGGGATTCAACCCAGGATCCTTCCCAGGCAAAAATCAGTCCACTTCCAACTGGATTATGGAACTGGAAATGAGGCAGTCTAACTGGATTCCAGCTGGGTCCAGCTGGAATCCAGCTGGACTGCCTCATTTCCAGTTCCATAACCCAGCTGGAAGTGGACTGATTTTCGCCTGGGTTGGGTTCTGCAGAGCGAGCTTTTGCTCCACGCACTCCTACCTGTGGTGCGTTAACCCACTCGGCCATCGATCCCCCACCAAGCTAGTCGAAGCTACAAGTAATGTATGATACAAGCTGCTCGAATTAACCCGTTTTTATGTCTAACTGAATCGAGACTGCAAGCATCAAACTTGCACCAACGTCCGTCAACTGCTGTTAACTTCTTTTAGAGCACAGCTCTTAGGCGCCCGTTTCCGGCTTGAGCGGCGTCGGCATCGCCGTCGGCGTAACCGCACGGTGCATTATGGGTAAATTTTTCCGAAGGGACCCGAGGACTCCCGAAGGAACCCGAGGTCGTCCCGAAGGAACCCGAGGTCCTTCGGGAGGACCTCAGGTCCCTTCGGCAGGACCTCGGGTTTCTTCGACAGGACCTCGGGTTCCTTCGGGAGTTGCATGCAACAGGATGCATGCAACCTGTTGCATGCAACTGGCATACAACTTGTATGCAACCTGTTGCATGCAACCTGATGACGTCGTCATCCGCATCATCACTGATGACGTCATCAGTGACGTCACCGGTGACGTCATTGGCATCCGCATCGTCATCATCACTGATGACGTCATCAGTGACATCACTGATGACGTCATCAAATCGTCATCGTCAAGGTCACGTGACCCCCCGAGGTCACGCGACCCCCCGAGGTCACGCGACCCCCCGAGGTCACGTGAACCCTGAGGTCACATGACCCCCTAAGGTCACGTGCCCCCGCTGAGGTCACGTGATTCTCCTGAAGTCATGTGACCGTCTGAGGTCACGTGACCCCCTCCCCCGGGGTCACGTGACCCCCTTGACGTCACCCGACCTCCCATGAGGTCACGTGACCTTAAGGAGTCACCTGTCCCTCAGTACGCTTCCATCCTCCTCCTCAAGAGCTGCGCTCCACCGCCGTTACAGGGAATTGTAAACGGCTTTCATTTTTTTTTTATGATTACATAGCTTTAACCTTTTTTCTTCAAGCTTAGCCGTTTCATTTACCAGTCATAGCATCGTCACCAGTATGTCTAATATCGGACTGCAGAACTCTTATGATCCAAGTGTATGAATTAGTTGCTCCACTCGTTAATGTGGTGCATTCTTTCTAGGGGAAAGTTTTGGGGATTAACTCTATTCAGGTAAAAACTTTAAAAAAGAGAAAGTAAAGAAAAATAAAGAGCTCAGTAACTGCGAGAACGCCACACATTCCCCTAATTAACAATTGCTCTTAGAAAAAGAAAACCCCATTAACATTAAGCGATTTTGCATAAAATCTGCACTCTCACACAATCGGCGCGTGAGCCTACGACACGCAGTGAAAAAGGGAGAAAACTGGAGTAAGCTGTTATTACCTTGGACGTGTGAAAGAGGTGTGGGTTTGATTGCAGTTCCTTGTGACTGGAGGTGGAGCCAAGGGAAAGACTGGCAGCGCTGCACAGAGTGGCGGCAAACCATGAGTAGACTACAAGCCAGTTCTAGACTTCGTCTATCTCTAAGGGCATGCCTAAGAGGCTTCTTTAACAAGTCTCTTTAGGGCATTAAGCTGGTCTATGTACTGCTTTCCTAGTAAACTGTGATGGTGATGGAAAAATATGTATCCTTTCCCATTTCTGCTCAAAGGGGGTGCAGACGGGTAGCACAGAAAAAAAGTAGAACACAGCAATAAACCACCTGCCAAATTACCCCTTAGCACAGACGAAAATGCCGGGAATGTATGCATGCGCTCTTTACATTCTCGACTTGGCCGCATAAAAAGTCCTATGCAATTTACCAAAAATTGAAACAATGACGAATGCGCGTGCAAGGTTTCGTTTTTTACATTGTGGCTTTCGAAAATTTACCGCTGCACCCACCAGCAAGTGCAGCACATGTGAACAGACATTTGCAGCATGCTCCCTGGTGCTCAAGTAATACAGTGAGACATCTATTGAAGCTAGATTTTTTCTGTTAATACACCACTGGATTTTCTTTCTGAAAAGTTTTTTCAACCACTTCTACAGTGGTTGAAAGCCAGTGGTATTCTCTAATACAGGGGTTCTCAAACTGGGTTCCGCAACACAGGGGATCTGCAAGCTGGTCTCATGGGTTCTGCGAGCAGCCAAAGTGCAGTCCCCCCCACCCCCCCAGTTTAACCTTCCACAGACAGAGCCACGGACCAAGTTGGTGTTGCGGGCAAAGCAACCTCACCCTTGGCACTAATCTGTATGTATATTTTACATTGTGCCCCAGGTTAATCCCTCTGCCTTCTCATTCTGTCTGTAGTCCTCCATTTGGCAATATTCTGCCAGTGCGATAAACTCTTGTTCACTATCTAAATTCCTTTATTGACCAGTATTTATCGGTTAACAACAGGGAGGGAGGGAGGGGGAATCCTTGGTACTTCTTGATGCTTGCTGGGGTTCCCTGGGACGAAAAAGCTTGAGAACCCCTGCTCCAATTAATAAATAAATAAAATGTAAACAAAACTCACAAGTCGAGTTATCCGAAGACGCCTTGCGTGGCTTCAGGCCCCGGTTGATTGCCGGCGGCACTGCCGTCAAGTTGGGCGTGCTCGGACTTGTGGAGATGTTGGCGTACGGCGCCGACAATGGCTGCTGCATCAGCGCGTCCACGTCGTCTCGCTGCACTGCATCCATCAACGACGGCCGATACTCGTAGTTGAAGATGTTGTCTCGGCTGCTGAACATCCCGACCGGTGCATTGCAGTACTGATGCATCCGCGGGCGCTGCCCTGTCGCGGACAGCGGCACGAGCACGTCTGGACTTGCTGCCGACTTGGGGAAGTCGTACGCCTCGTCGAGAGAGTTCCGCGGCGGATGTGGGAGCGCCGGCGCGACCCTAGCCGAAGGCGAAGGCGCCTCTGCAGAGGGCCTTGGCACGTCGTATGCGTCGTATGACGTGCGTGCCGCTGACGCGGGATTTGGCACGTCGTACCCGTCATTCCGCAGCACTGGCTGGGGGCACGGCGGAACGCTGTACCCATCGTGTGAGGCTGGCCGCACCTGCGGCGGGGGTGGCACGTCGTACGCGTCCTGCGACGACCGCTGGAGCGACGGAGGAACGTCGTAGGCATCGTAGCCGCCCGTTGACGGCCGCACGCGGATGTTGGCCGGCTTGGGCGGCCTCGGCGGGATACCGTCCGTCTCCGTGACATCTGCATCCACGGAAGTCGGTCTCGCTGGCGGAACGCGGTCGTAACCTTCTTCCGCGCCGTTCCAGGCCTTCGGAGGTCGTGGTGGAGCGATCCCTGCTAGTCCCGCCTTGCGGATCGTGAGTCCGGCGCGTCCGAGGGTGTCTCCGTTGTAGACACTCGGCGCGGCCGCCGTCGGATCTGTGTGGCTTCCGCTGCTCGTTGGCCGCAGCGGGGGCACCGGATCATAGTCTTGCGCTTGTCCGTTGGCTCCGGGAGCAGACGAGTCCTTCGGGTACGTGCTCCAATTGACCGTCGGCGGTGGAACAGCATCTAGTCGGACCGATCCTCCGGTTGCATCGCGTGTTGGTCGGTCCGGTGGTCGCGGAACGCGGCACATGGCGTCCATGATCGGGTCCGGAGAGGTCCGACCGGTGCCGCAGCGTGGAACGTCGTAGAAGTCGGCAAGTCTGGAACTCCTGGTCGCAGACGCGCGGCTGTTTGGAGTCGGAGGCGCTCCGTTCGAAACTGGCTTTCCCGTGATGCACTCGCTGATCGGGATGTAGGGATTTGAGTCGTCTTTTGGACTACTTCGGTCTAGGAGGGGCTCCAACAGTGGATGCGGTTCGGGTGGCTGTGGAGTTTCAGTCACCACTTTGGATGCTGGCCGTGGTTGGTCTGGCATCTCCGCGGAGACATTCGGTTCAGGGACGGGAGGATCTGCAACTTCCAAGGCCGTCACAGCTGTAGGAACAAAAAAAAAAGCAAACAAGATAAATTCGCATATAATCACAATCTGCAACACCAAATCAGTGTTGTACGTCAGCCTTAATTAGGTTAGGGTCGTACCACACGGATCGCTTTTTGGATGACCATTTTGGATTTCTATTTGGACAAGGGAGGGGTGAAAAGCATGTTGCTTTGCCCTTGAATGGTATGTTTTTTTTTTTTACATGACTGCCACTAAGGGAAATGTGGCACTATATTTCGTTTTACTCCGAGTCCTGGCGCACTGACTCTATGAGGCAATGGGACCAATCAAACAGCATCAAAAGTGCAACTTTATGGTGTTCGTCATGTTTCTGTATGTGTTCTACCTTTGCTAAACCACCCGTGTACAGGCAGGTCCAATGATTTGTGCTTTTCGTTTGAGTGTTTGTGGTTGTATACGTTCGGCCCTTCGGCTGCACTTTGACACATGACGAAGCGAAGTGTAGAGTCAGGAGTGCCGTCGATTGTGAATGCTGCTTTTCCATTTGCTCATGGTTAGACTGCTCTTGTTATCAAAGGATGTCTCGAACACAAGTAAGAAAAACTCGGCAACGGTCTTTTTTGTGGGGATGCGATGACACTACAAGTTTTGCTCAGAAAGGGTATCTCTTTTCTTGGCACAGTTTGGCAACAAACGGCCAAAAACCTCTGGTGGAGTGACAGTTTGTTACACACATTCCTTCTGGTGAGCAAAAACTGCATTTCCAACAAGTAAAATACAAGTGTTATTTCTGACATAGCATAAAAACTAAAATGTGCACACTTTTTAGAGCTACTAGGGTACACTACCTCAACTATCTGGCATGCACAAAGACTCTCGATGATAAGTGTTCTAAAGTAAGGTCAAAATGATGTAGTACTTTTCATTGCTCACCTCGTGTTCAATATACCATTGTGAGGCTTGCATATTTTCTCCCAGAGTTATCATATTCTGGCCCCCTCCGAAATTAAGATTGCACTAAGACCAAGGAAACCAAAAAACAAAAAAATCTGGTTGCTTGTTCTGTCCTGCAAATAAACTGGCAACAGCCAAGATGCTGCACAGTACTGCGCGCATACAGTTACACTGCAGTGTTTAAATTTAGCAAACTTATGTCCCGCTAAATTAAGTGGACGGAGATTGTGCAACACTGACGTCCCATGATCCCGTGACATTGCGTGACACCATGCGGTCACAAGACACTAAGTTTAATAGAAAAATTCCCCCGCCGAATTTAGCGGAAAAGATTTCCCTCTAAATTTCGGGGAAAACTACGACATCACAAGATGGGGTGTCACATGACACTAGTCACAACACTATCACTTCCCGTTAAATTTAGCAGAGAAATTTTCTTGCCAACCTTAGAGGGCCACGATACACCCGATACACACACGAGGTTTGCTGCGAAACCTCGTCAATAATGGCTATTGCCGCGAAACACGTATGATGCAGGGTCGTCTACAGTAATTTCCTCAAAACCGGATATCCGTGTGCCAATGAATCGAAGGTATCCAACCTCTTGACGAGTCATACAACTTTACCAGATACACGAAGCTGGCACACGAAGCTGGCAAACGACGCATCGGCACAGTCGTCTCGGCCAGTTCTACTGGCAGGGGGCGCTCACCTTCCTCTGGCTGCTGCCTGAGCCCGCAAACCTTGCAGATGCAGTCCACCCACTTGTTCATGATGTCCTCCGTCTCGGCCACCAGGTAGTAGGTGCGCTTGGTCGTCTTGATGTCGAAGACAAACTTGGACTTGGTGTCCACCTCAAGCCCAGCGTCAACCTGAGCAAAGAAAAAAGAAAAAAAGAAAAGCAGTTGGCATTAAGACGGTAATTTGGCCTGGGAATTCTGCAATGAAGGTGCAACAGTACTCAATAGGGTTTTAACAGCGATAGCTGTTTTAGACCTTTTTTTGTTTGCCCTTGTCCCCAGCCACGTAGCTGACAAATCCAATAAGCGATAAAAAAAAAAGCAAAAAAAAAAAAAAAAGCAAGGCCCTTGGAACAAGTAAAAGAAAAGAGAAAAGGCAAAACAAGAATGGTAGAGAAAGGCAAAACAAGAATGGTAGAGAAAGGCAAAACAAGAATGGTAGACGGTTGCAATTAAAATGCAAGCTTCTCCCAGTGGTGTGGCATGAGCCAAATGACGTTTTCCCGCGCGCTGGAAGTCCCATGATTTCAGACGGCGGCGCCCGCGTAGAAAGGGTCTATTTGCGACCACAGCGGGGATGCCAAAATCAGGCAACTATGGCGGTCTAATACAGGTTCTGCCGTGCCATGTGCCACAGCTCAATGCACAATGCTGGGGCATCAGCGAGCAAGCATTGAATTCAAAATGGTTTGCCCCGCTTTTTACCCTCACTGTTTCGAACCTGCGGTGATACGCTGGCGTAAGCGAGCTTCTAGAGGCTTGACTTTCTTCGAGGAAGCAATGAAAGGACTGCCTACCGTCCTTCCACGGTGCTGATCAACAAGGATAAGTGCGGAATGTCTGGTTCATGCGGTTGCGAGCAGAGCAACCTGGAACAAGCTGATACCACAGTTACAGCAGTGTCACCGGGACAACTGTTTTATTGCGCAAACCACCGACAACATGTAATCACGGAAGCCACAAGAAACGAGCAGAAATTGTGAAAGGACTGGTTCCGGCCAGTTCAGTGTTTTTCCGCTAGGTGCCATCAGTTTTGCTGGAGTCGTAAATGGGGACTTCCCAGCTGCGTTCATGGCGTTGGCGTTATGCCAGACAGAGAACTCTCTGCTTCACGTGCACCAGCACTTGCACCGTCCTGTGACGTCAAGCAAAGAGCACACACTTGACTTTTGCTAGGCGGCTTTGTCTTCCACAATTGGCAAGGGCCACATGTCCCTCGCCGTAGAAGTCGGCTTGCGCGTACCGTCGGATGCAAAGCAATCCACTGCTCGTTGTTGTTGTGTGCGAGTTTTATGGTGCAAGAGCTCCGATGGCCATACTGTGCCAAACTAAGTTTGGTAAACTAAAATCCAATAAAAAAAGGCGCACTAAAGAAGAAATTCCACTACAGTTGGTGTAAAATCCCTATATTTTCCAGAAAAGTATGGGCATTGTAAGGTCTTGGTACGGTATGCGGGCGTGTGATGGTAAAAGGTTATGCGAGGAGGTGGCCAGTCTATCTCCAGCCTCGTTGCCTGCATTGCCCACATAGCTCGGGATCCAACAAAACTTCATATCCTTCCCATCCACGAGGCCCTGTTGAACTTTAGCACGTACTTGTTGGGTCAGTTTGTTCTTGGTTGGATAAGTGAACTTGCTGCAGTAATAATGCTCTTAGAGTCTACAAAAAAAAAAAACAGCTTTCACCACTTTGCTCCAAATAATATACTATTCAAGTTCTGACAGCTCAGCAGTAAAAATGCTGGCAACACCATTTAGCCATGTCGCAAGTGTAAAAGAATTTGGATGAACAGCAGAGCTGAAATACATTGAGGACTTGACCCCATCAGTGTAAAATTGTTGTTAATTCTTGTGCTTTTCTTGCGGTGCAAAAAATTCCTGTTATAAAATGAGTAAGGGAACATTATGTCTATTAAATTCTGTGAAATACCAATCGCAAGCTATGGGTTTGATATCCCATGGGGCGGTACGACATGCACGGAGGTGAACATCTTCATGAGGCAGGCCAAGGGGAGAGACGAAGGTTCTCAAAACGAAGACTCAAGAGCCGAACAACAGTTGGCTTATGGTGAAGTACAGCAAGATCTAGACTCTCATATATAACTGTGGGCTGGATTGACTAGAAACCGATAAAACCTTGTAAACATAGACTAGACTTAGGAGCCACATTTTTTCTTTAGTGACATTTCATTCGAGTCAACACACAAGCTTAGGACAGGAGATGTCCGAAAAGCACCGCTTGCTAGACGCAACCCAAGGTGGTGCACAGGATCAAGCATCTTCAAAGCACACGGCCGAGCCGATGAATATACGATAGCGCTATAATCAAGACATGACCGAAATGTCGCCACACGTACGATTTGACCATGAAATCTATCCCCCCCCGCTTCCTCCTTCAACTCCATGCAGCGCAACACCACTGGTCGTGCGCACCATGACGTCAAACTAACGGCTATGCTCCGCTGCTGTCACTCTCGTTCATGGCCTCGCTACGGTGAGACCGACAGCAAGACGATTCAAGCACGGTCCATGCAAGGTACCCGCACCAAACTATTCCTTCAAAAGCGTCGAAGAGCTCACCTGTTCGCACTGGTCGAGGTCAATGGCCCCCTTTAGCTTCCTGTATGTCTGGTCGGTGTAGTACTCCAGGATGTACTGCTGGGGCACCTGCCCGGATGGCCGCAGCACAAACCAGCGTCGCCGCCATTTCTGCGACACAAAAGAGTCTTCGTTCGGAAAAGCAAGCAAATGAACTCGTCTGCAGGCTTCTATGTTCTGCCATAGAAGCCTTTCAGAAAGCCGACGGCGTGGCCGCTTCCAGTCTACTTCGTGCCGTCGTAATCGAAAACCTAAGAGAGCTTTGAGCTTATTGCCTTTGTTGGTAAGGAAGATTATAGGAATTCCTGCGCCAGTTCGCATTACAGCATTATGGGCATGGCCCATTTGGCTGGGTCTGCCTCGGCATACGATTGTAATCGCAGCAAGTATCTATTACTATTGCATATCTGCACGTTGTACAAAGAGGCGCACAGTTCGGGACAACTAAGAAAGGTACTCCATTCACTGCATACCCATCGCAAAGTCAGATTGAAGAGCTAGAACCAAATCACAAGCTCCACCACACCACAAAAGTCCCGTCGTTGCGTTTCCTCACCCAGTAACTGTGCCTTTACAGTGAAGTAAAATCGAGAACGAAGATTGAAAGAAGTCCTGTTTCCGTCCCCGTCCCAGATGTTTTATCCTTTCAAGTATTCGTAAAAATTTTAATATTTTAGAAATTGAAAACATGTGATATACAAAGCAACGAATAATTCAGCATCACTATTCAATCAAGGCAAACTAATTTCATCATCCAGAAACTTTCATGGTGAGAAATATGAGGCACCTGCTCAATCATTTCACAAAAAGTAGTGGAATCTCGTTAATTTTAACCTGAGGGGGATTAAAACTTTGTTTGAATAATGCAAAGTTTTAATTACCAGGAGCTTACCGGGACCTGCATGTTAGTTTGAATTATCCGCGAGTTTGAATTAAGAGAGCTTGCATTACCGAGATTCCACAGACAAAAATACTTGGAAGCATTTCCTTTACCCTGCCTCGTTTTTAGTATTCTTAGAATGAGTTATTCAGTAGACTTTTGCCCCTTTTATTGGATTAAAACATGCCTCAAAAGCAAATTAGGCAAAACAATTGAAGAATTGTTATGCTACAGCATAAACTTGGAACAACTGAACACACTCGCCACATAAGATCGGCATGTTAAAACGAATAAATTAAGACAGAAACAGTGGCAGCATTATTTCCTTTTTCCCCCATAACAAAATAAATTAAATACGGAACATACCGGAGTCAGAACCAAAACAACCGCAGCAAATTAAGTGGAAGAATATTTTGGCACACGTCGAAATTAGTGAAAATATGGGAAAAGTTCATCTGTCTACTGGTCTAGTTCAGACTGCACCCACAAAGAAGTAAGTTTATTTAATCCGTAAACATACAAAGAGCCTATTGCGATCCCCCTTGTTTTCTCCAGTTCCGCCTTGTCCATGCTTGTCTTATCAGCAGACACATTGTTTCCTGTTGCCGCAAAGCCCTTTCAGCCTCCTAAAGTTCCGCTACGCATCTGGCAGCAACCCTGAAGCGAGTCAAATCATTAGCAGAGCCGTATATGTAGAGAGTTTGGCCGTTAATTGGTAAGAATAGTGAGAAAAGAAGGGCACGTCATTGGCCGAAATTGTTTCAATGACTTTGGGCGCTTTGATTGACAGCTCTTGTGACCAACCGATAGCCACGAATATTCCCCATAGCAGAGGCAATGGGCTTAACTTGTACCCTCCAATCACAATTTGTAAGTAAGGGTATATTCAAGTATTTCATTTCAACAGGCTAGAGTCAAAGTTTGCGATTCTTTGTAATCAAAAGGGTAACGTACGTTAAGTTGTCGTCACGGCGACATTCAGGATGCATTCAATCTTTCTTTTGATTGCGGTCGCAGCCACAAACACGACCGAGTGGACGGTGAAGATTGTGGACTTGGGTGCATGGGAATTGTGACCCGAACTTCGAACGTGCACCCCATGTTCCCAGTTTCGCCTCATGTTTAAGGAACCATTTCTTGTCAATATTAGCTTTTCTGGCTCAGTAAACGCAGTCAGCACTTTGAAACTCTCTATTTCCATCAATCTTTTACAATTAATTATTCATGTACTTTCAGCTTCATCCAGAAACAGGAAATACCTACACTGCGGTACGCATGTCCTTCAAGGTGATCTCGGGATCTTTTTGCTTCGCAGAATCATCATAGAGGGGGAATATGTGGCGCTAACGGTGGCGCCACTTTCACCTCTCCACCCCACCTCCTTCTATTGCCAAAACTCTCTATATACGGCTCTGGTCATTAGTGGTGAACTGCTTTGTTCTATACATGGTCTCCGGGCCATTTCCGGCCGCATGACAGGGAGCCGGGAACACTTCCAGTTCGGGTTTTGTTTGCGTGCTTTTAAAGGGCAACATCACCGCTATGTCTGGTGTGTTCCGCAATTAGATCGGTCTTTTGTTATGTTTCCCGCGTCGACTGGCTTCTTGAAGTGCTGTAATGCTTTGCGATTGACTGGGCAACTTTGCTGTAGCAGATCTCCGAGAAATAAAAGATGCAGTGAGCCGCGGCCGTTGAGCGTGAACAGTCTCTGTCACGCGCGCGTCATCGAAGGTGCACGCATTTGACTCTTCCGGACAGCGAAGATAGTTGATCGAACGAATTACACTTCAGTTCTTATGCAAATCAAGATTGATAGAAAGATTAATTAATATTCGCCCAAATGTTAACTTTTTAATTTTAACCTGGACGCAGGTTTTCAAAACACAGACCCAACTTGGTACTGCATAAAATATTTAATAAATAAAATAAGTTTTTATTATTTTCATTTTTTTTAATCTTAGAGCAGAATTACCTGCCGACATTAATTTTTGTGTGCATGTGAGATTGTGAACAGACGGTTTATGTGAGCCCTGAACAAATTCTGACAAAAACCCGCAAACCAGAAAAAAAAAGGAAAAAAAGGAGTACATTTCGAGGGTTTGTCAGCGGAGGACGTCAGGATGGGAGAGATCTTTTCGCATGGAACCGAACCTGGGTTTTAGTTCCACGTCGATTTCAGACACGTCAATTTTGAAGTTCGAGAGCCAGAATGTTTTCTTTTCGGCATGCAATCAAGTGTCTGTTCGTGACACGATCAAGACGTGAAACAGAAACCACTGGCACAATCCTTTCGATTTTATTACTCGCCCACGTCGTCAAACACAACAGTGCTTGTGTGTGCCCAAATGGAACAGCTCGGACAAATGCGATATGTCCCCTTGTGAATGTCACGTGATTGTACCAAGTCGGACGCGAAACTAGTTTTCTTACCTTATCGCCTGGGTTCTAGAATCCAAAATAGCCTTTTGAAGTACGCGTATGCACCTGTATTCATGTTAATATCATTCACGAAATCCCCACGGCAGCAGTGGCAATCAGTTCATCGAACGACATCTTATCGACAAATTGTTTCATCGACACGCAATGTTTCGTCGACAGATTGTTTCATCGACAAATCGTTTCACTGACAGCTCAGATTAGCTTTCTTCTGTAGCTGCATGAGACTGTCGTGTGTGGGTCGGTCAGGGGGGTTCACGTTTGTAACGAGCCGCTGCAGACTGTCGCCGCAAAGCGGCGTGAGCACAGGTGGGGGAGTGGGTTAAAGCACACCCCAGTGATACTCGCATGACGAAATGTCCCTACAGTGTGCAATTCGCGTAATGAGTGTCACTGAAACGTTTGTGTTGACGAAACGTTCATGTCGACGAAACGTGCGTCCATGAAACGTGTGTTCATGAAAAGCTGTCCACAAAACGAGTTTCGACAAAACGATAGGGACCGGCTCGCTTTTTCTCGGGCACGATCGAGCAAGAGTGGCACAATCCTTTGCACCCTCCTTCAAATACGTCCGACAGGCGTAGCGTACATTGTTTCACTCTGGCCAGCTCAAACACTCATGGTGACATTGCGCAGTTCATGAAGCGATGTCGTTCTCACAGATGCCCTCCCGTGTACGAAAAACACGAAACAATCCCACGACTCGGTTCATTTGCGGGCGTCTAACTTCGCTGAATGTCTCACGTGTACACAAGTTTTCACTGGGCCATCACGTAGGGCCACGTAACTTTCGCCATGGAGGCCAAATAGAACCAGATGTGGTACTTTTTCTTGCCACTGTATGGTCCACAAACGCCCACCGATCTATCTTACGTTTGGTTTTCGACATACCTTCTCTGATTTTCTGCCAAAAAAAACTTAAAGTACACGCTGCTCATCCTTGTTGATTTAAACATACAAAAGAAGCTGGTCAACCAAAAGTTATCTCGGCCACAAGAAGTTCCACCATCACTTGTTTAAGTTTACCTTGGAATACCACGTCTTGTTTACAAAAAGAGAAAGACATCCTCAGTGCATGCAAGAATCTGCCAAACACAACCATGTCAACGCGAATTTTATTTGGTCGCACTACGCTTGATCGACGATCATTTAGTCGAATGGTATTTCACCGGCAACCACTTCGTCGACGATGACATTTGGCCGAATGATGTTTTGATCGGCAAACCTTTCGTCGAAGGCGGCATTAAGTCGAACGACGTGTGATAGGCAATGATTTCGTTATCGGCGGTGACTGGCTAGCAGGCGCATCGCGTACGGGTTTCCACCTATCTGCTCAGCCTAGCACGTCACCCAGGGTCTTTCTCTTTAAGTAAAAGTAAATATTATTTCAGCCGATGAAACGCTGCCAGCGGTTTCATCGTCGAGCATGTTTGTTGACAGCAAAAACAAATTACAAACACCGCGAAGAAAACAAGTTAGGGAGCAACCGGATTATACAGCCAGTGAGAGAAACCACGATGTGTGGGACCAAACAACTCGTTCATGTAACGACATATTCGATTGAACGACTGCTCGTGCGAACACTACAAATGCGGTGCCTCAACAATTTATTGTGCTGCATTAAGCAGACTAATGCAGCCAAAGTATAAACACAACGTTAACAATCGACCTGAGTAACGCGTTGCGTATGCACGAAAATTGGAGACAGAGATGACGTAACTCATATTCCCCCTCCGCCGACCAAGACTCGACGTGAATCACGCTGCCTCGGTACAGGTGTACCCGTTAACCGACTCGCCGACCAAAACAGGTGAAGGGGAAAAAAATAAAATAAAAGAAGAGAGAAAAGCGCTTGAGAAAAGCAAAACAAAACAAGCTCGAAAGAAACCTGTCCCAGAGAGGGAGTATTCACCTCGAAACGATCGGTATTGATGAAGTTGACAAGCTTGACAAGGATAACCTCTCGCTTTGCCCGTCAAACAGCGAGCACACGAGAAACGAGTGAAGACTCGAAAACAACGACATAGAACCAAAACACAACTCTTGATTACTCACGGCTCTTCGAATTCTCTTCTCCGGCGGTGACTTGACCAGCCAGCCCTCGTAGACCACTTCCATGCTAGCAACGGCTGCGCCAACGTCGTACAGAGTCCGTCGGCGATTCGTCCACTTCCTACGTGTGACGAAATCCCCTCGTAAACATCGGGAACAATGCAGCGCTGGGGGTCATCACTTCGTGCCTGTCACAGTCGCGGTCCTTTTCCCCTTTAGGTACGACCGCGCGAATTGCGACATCGCCGCGAAAAATGCGACCTTGGCGACGATGATGCATGCAGCGTACGCAAGGCTAGCCGCCCAGCAAGCCTCGCCCCCCTGGATGCACCATGACGGAAGTCGGCACGAAAAATCCGTTTCCGATTGGCCCTTTAAAAACCTGTTCGAATAAGTTGACCCTTCAAGCGCCTTTTTGAGACGGGAGTTTTGCTGGCTCGTTTAGTTGTGGTATGTGGCTACTTGTTTGGCTCGTCCTAAAGCCGCCGCGCGCCCCGCGCGTGGTCCAGCTTGACTGGCTTGAAAATCGGTCATTTTCAGAAGCAAAACGTGCACTTCCGGTCTGTTTAGCTGTCTACTGTCCGATTTTTCGCGCGTCGTCAACGAGGTAGCGCCGTAGCGCATTGGGTAGCGCGTCATGTAGTTCGTTGGAGGAATGGGATAAATCACTTGACTTGAAGAATATTGTTGTCACAGTGATTGTTGTTTAACTGATTTAACCATCTCCTCGGTTCTTTGGACGCTGGGGACGGCAACCGCAGAGGATAAACCCGATAAACGCATGTAATATCTGCTGTTTTTTTTTTATTATTATTATCTGGGACGAAAGTTGCACAAAACAGCATTAATTTGTAAAAATAAATGATGTGAAATACGGCAGCACAGGTCTGGAAATGCACAATGAACTAATTAAATCGGTCTGCCGCGTATCTGGTTCGTAGCCGCCTGTCGGTCGCAAACCAAACTACAGAAACGTTTGCTACCAAAACAAAACCAACAAACAAAACGAACTCCCAAATCAACATGGGTCTTCCGTGGTGTGCGGACCACAGTAACCCTAAGCACGGCGCTGCTTTTTCGACTGTGAAAAGGGCATCCGAATCATGATTTGCGCCACGCGATCGCTACGATACAGGTGCCGCTCGCCAGCGGAGCGACGACCGCGGAGAAAACAGTTCTAGGACGCGATGGGATCGAACGCTTCGGTGCTCCAATGGCACTGCAAGAGTTGTACCTCCATAAACCCGACGGACAGCGGGAAGTGCATCCGCTGCGGAGTCGGACGGACAGTCGCCGAAGACGACGAGTTGTCCAGGGAGCCATTGCCTCAAAATTCCAAGGACGGGGCATCCAAGTTCACGCTGACCTCACGACGGGTCGAAAGCAGAGTGCTACCCGCACCTGAAAGGTAATCATGCTGCCGTCACCAAACATCGCTCTCTCTCCGCATACTTGTTCTTACGGGACAGAACAGGGTTAGTTTGCTTAATTTATGTTATTTTCACGTTGGTAGAGACAGCGCGGTGTGTACTCTTCGTCTCTTGACGTTTCCGCTGTCACAACGCTCGTATATGGATTCGCTACGAAACAGCTGTGTGTCGGAGCAAAGAAACACACACAAAAGCTCTGAGCTGAGTTTCTGCTTGAACCTTTGGGATTCATACCTCGTGTGTGTTATACGGGTTTGTTCGCAAGCAGTAACGGTTCTTTTTCGTGTGTAAGTAGACTATCATCTAAAAAAACAAATACAAAACAATACAGCGAGGCGATGACATACGGGCGATCGAACACAACACAGACGAGCGATCGAACACAAAGTCTACAGATAAAAAAAAGCAAGTTGTGCTAATGTTTCAGTGGGCAGTTTTGGATCGAAACAGCTGTGCGCGAAAGCGAGAGCCTGTATCTCATATACAAAATATATAGCTGGCTCTGTGGACAACGATGTCCCAGAGTGACTTCGCAAACAATCGCAAATTCGATCTAACCTAAAGAAAGAATAAAAATAAAGCGCCGTCCGTTCGATTTTTTTCCGCGGCGAACGCTGCTGAGATAGCGATTTTTAGGGGTTCGATTCACATGGAACAGCATCGGATAATGGACTACAGGGCTTTGCAACAAACTTTAACAAAAAAGATAAATAAATGGAACATTTAGTAAACACATTAAATCAGCCGGTACGAAACATTCTCCATCACTGTGTTCGAGCCCAACCTGTTTAAAGAGCTCAATCGAACGCAGGTGTCTATGAGCGGCGGAACATCAAAAGCTCCGCTCAAACCCCGTCATGAATGAGACATTCTATGACTCAGCGCGAGCTGCCACGAGCAACAAGCGAAGTCGCCGCGGCATAAAACGCTGGCAGACGACAACATCGCTAGTAGAAGTCGGTTCCGTCCGATTTTGAGGGAAACAGACTTACCTTTTGGCTTCCCGATAGGTCGGTTGAGGTACGATTCAAGCGTTAAACTGGCGCCACGCATTTAGACGAGGAACAACGCAGCCTCGGTCGCGCACCGTAAAAAGCCGTTCCCACGCCCGATTTGGGTTTTGTATGACTGTCGTCAGCACGCTATCGGCACCGCGCCGACGCGAAGGACACACTTCCAGCGGCGTACGTTGCTCGCGCGGTTGAAATCGCGCTGTGGATGCGCCGCGTGAAAGTATAAAAATAAACAACAAAAAACCCCGCTCTCGAAACAGGGAAGGTGAACGAAAATGAAAGTGTTACAGCTGCCGGAACCGATATAGGTCGTTAATGATACATTTTCCCTGGTTCGTGTAGCGATATCCTTGAATATATCGCTAAACAGAAGAGGTTATGTTCAGTTACGGGTTTTAGTTGAGCTAGTTGGTACATACTGTTGGCAATCAGTATGTACCAACTACTGATAGAAAAGGCAGTGGTGTGAATGTCCATTCCTTTCCTGATCGTGTTCTTGTTTTTTCCGTGTTCAGCTGACCTGATTGCCAAAAGGGTTATATATTCTCCTCCCATAAAAGTCACCTAGATAATAATTGATAGATTGACTACTATCATCGAACCTATCAGTCATAGCAGCTATTTATCAGATAGTGCGCTAATAGCTCTTTCGACATAACATTTCCTCACCGGATTTCAACTCCTGGGTTTATTGGGGGGTGTATTTACAGCTCGGCTACTTGGCGTGCCACACTGCTTCTATGTGGTTTGTTGATTTGTTTATTTTTCTTCAGTTTGATTCGAGAATTTTCTGTGAAATGGGTACAGCAGAAAAGGCTTTATATGTACAACCTTTCTAAGAGAGCATAAAGAAAATATCTTGCAACTTGCGACTTCAGGTGTTCTCACTCTTAGCAAGGGATGTCTCTCCTATGAAATGTTTATCCTGAAAGACTCGTGCATTTAAAAAGGTTTTTTATGTTTATTTCACTGTGACGAATGTGGCTTATCAAAACGAAACAGAGTTGTTGAGTGTTGATACAGATTTTATTTTGTGTGTTTTCTGCCGTAAAGGAGATTTTGATGCTTAACTACCGTAATATCTTGAGAGATAGCGCTCCTAAAATCGAGAGAAAATTGGGTGAGAATAAGGAGTGGGCTAACTTTTGGTGTGGAATTAAGATATGTTATTTTAAGATCACGTGTCCCTGCCAAACTTGTTATCGTGGCAGGGCAATAAAGCATAGATGACTGTACTTACCAGTCAGCAATGTTCGCTTATATCTTGCCATTGCTAACTAGACGCATTTACGCCGAGGTCATCATCGATCCCAACACTGTGATTATTCGGACTGGGCTTTCTTTCGGTGTTGAAAAGAAAATAGTAAATCACGCCAACAATAGGGGCGGGTTACCTTTCGGGTGTTTTATGGTAATCTCTCGGGATTTTACGGTAATGTCAAGGATCAGCTTTCTATTTCTCAAATTAGTGAACAGGTGTATAAAAACCTTCTTACTGAAATGACGATTATCTATTTGCAATAAGTAATGAAATCTGTATGAACAGAAAAGATGCTGCATGGGTGAATACATGCATCAGAAGTAATGGAAAAGGAAAAACAGCTGCCAGAAGCCATTTTCAGCACAAATATATCACAAAAAAATTTGGGCCCGAGTTGCAAAATATATGCAAGCAGTTAGGATAAGTCGACTGCCGTTGTCATCAGACTTCAATTTCTAGCATTGCCATCAAACTCAAACCTACAGGGTGAAACAAGGAGACGCCAGGCTCTTTAAATCGACCGGAAAATTCGGTTTCTTAACTTATCGCGCTACGACTTTGTGCAGCGTTGCCCACAGATGGTGCATTTTTTTTTTGTAAAATTTGGGAAGAGCGAACTTACCTGAGGAAAAATTAAAGAAAGAAAAAGGCTTAGCTCCTATGGAAACGCAGCGACGCCACCGGTCTGCAAACAACACGGCGCCGTTTTGCACGGGAGACAAGAGATGGCGCAACAAACGCCGCCAACGAATGAGCATACGGCGCCGAGAGTTGGCTTTTTTAGCTGAAAATCTTTTCGACTCAAAAGCGGCGCGCGTTCCGCAGGCAGCGACAGTCGCAGAAACAAAAAAGACAGGCGCGGTAACAGCAAGGAACTGCAGTTCCTTGTCTGCAAAAGGGCCGGCTCTTGGCGTCGTCTGCTTGTTCGTTGGCAGCAGTTGGCGTCGCGACCGCTTGCGCCATCTCTTGTCTCCCGTGTGAAACGACGCCGTGTTGTTTGCAGACCGGTGGCGTCGCTGCGTTTCCATAGGAGCTAAGCCTTTTTCTTTCTTTACTTTTTCCTCAGGTAAGTTCGCTCTTCGCAAATTTTACAAAAAAAAAAAATTCACCATCTGTGGGCAACGCTGCACAAAGTCGTAGCGCGATAGGTTAAGAAAGCGAATTTTCCGGTCGATTTAAAGAGCCTGACGTCTTCTTGTTTCACCCTGCAGAATGAATATACTATGATTATAATTATGGTCTTTACTTAACACATACAAGTATATTGATCTCTCAGCAGATTAGTAAAGTTGATCTTATATCTAGTATAAAATTGTTGTAAAGCTTGAAGGTCAGCCTTGAAGTGGGCAAACTAGCAAATTCATTAAATCCTGCTTGTGGATCAACCGTAAGGAATACACATGTTTCTCTACAGGAACATTTTGTTTATCTGCAATGCTCCTTCGTTTTGGCTAGGGGTGGCTTTGTTGTGGGGTGCAAAGAGTTCCTAATCTTTGGACACTTGAAACTCTTTATCATTGTTGGAAAAGCGACACAGCCTCTTAGGTTTCCCAACTCTAGCCAACAAGCTTTTAGACCTACTTGCGACGATAATTCCTACAGTCCCTAAATTTCGCAGCTTCGGTGATATGCGGCTCTCATTAACGTTGAGCCAGGAAACTAAACGTAATGTAAAGACCTATGCATGAAGTAACGCGCAGTTTGTAGATTTCACGTTTTGCACTTCTTTTCTTGTTTAGTTGACATTCACCATGTGTACAAGCCACATTCTCAGTGCGAAACTAAGGCTTTTTTACAATAAAAGCCTTTTTCTTTTTAGTCAGTCCAGAACCTTGAAGAAAGAAAACTTGTATTAATGTTTTTTTTAGCCCTGGGGCCAAGTTAATGGCCTTGGAAGTCACTAGAGAAGAGGTGAAATGGGTTAATTATAGTCAGCTAATTAACTAGACTGATTGTCATAACTTTCTAAATTTTCGTTTTTAGTTTAAGACACTTTTCAAAAGTCCAGCAAGCAACATTGGAGTTCACCATTTTTTGCTCACGAAACACGTGATTGGATTTGAGTCCTTGTCAAATGCTGACACAGCGCTTGTTTTCAATACGAGCTGAGCGCGTTGGCTGAGCTGGGTTCACGCCGAACGCTAACGCAGCCCTTGTGTCCAATACGTGCTTAGAGTATGTGAGCAAGCAATGGCAGAGAGGCATTGGCACGGACTTTTGTAAAGGGTCCATTAGGTGACTCATTACCCCATTTCATCTCTTTCCTCGTGGCAGCCATTAAAAAACCCATGCAACTTTCTCTTTTGTAAAAATTCTAGACCAACCAAGTACGGTTCACATTGGAGATTTTGACAAGTTTCACTTGGTTGGAAGAGTTTTGGGTACATTGGTTGATGTGACAGCTTCTTTCCGGAATTTCTCTCCTCCAGGGGACTCGACCAGGGCTACGAACAACACATCTACGACCTCCCGTGCGACGACGAAGACACGGGCGAACCCCGGTGCCGTGACAAGAAGCAGCGTTGCGTGAGCTGGCACGGACTTCCGGACGACGACAATCTCCCGGACCTCCCGGCCGACCTCTCGGACGACCTCCCAGACGACCTCCCCGACGACCTTCCCCTCCCGCCACCACCCGAAGATGCCGAAGACACAGACTCCGATGCGTCGGCAAAAGACGACGAGCCTCTCTACGTCGAGCTCTCTCAATGCCTCTCGGAGGAGTCTGGCGGCACGAGCAACGGCGTCGTCCCGGGAGAGGTGGTCATCAACGACGCGGCGCCCGCAAGCTACCTGGACCGCACCTTCGTCAAGTGTATCAAAAAGAAGAAGCCCAAGAAAGACGACGCGGCAGAACAGCGTGGGACGCCCCAGAGGCTGAGCGAGAAGTGGTACTGCTTCAGCTGCCAAAGCTGGAACTCCCTGGTCAACAAAGTCTGCGCGGCATGCGGAGAACCGTTCTGCGACGACATAGTTGCGACGGGCACGCTGAACGGCAAGACGTTGGGAAGGGACACGACAACGAGCTCTGCAGACTACGCGACGCCACCGGAGAGTCCCTCTGCTTTGGTGCCGAGCCTGGAAGAAGCGCCACGGCGTCGCCAGCAACCGCTGATTCGACGCGCCCTTAACCGCCTCTTCCGTCTGAGCGCGGAGGGTGGAGCCCTGATGTCCGCCATCGCCAACGCCCACTCCGCGGACGACGTCACACTTTTGGACGCCCCCTGGATCTGCAGGCGCTGCGAGCGGAACAACGAGGCCTCCGTGGCGAAGTGCCCCTCCTGCGGCCTTCCGCGGAGGCCTGCGGCCGCCACCTTCCCGCTGCTCCTCCCGCGGAACGCGTTCAGCCTTGGCTTTCTCGCGGAGGTGCTGGGATCCCCGCGACGTCACTTCGCGGCGCGGCGGAGCAGGTCACTGTCCGAGGTGAAAGCGTCGAGCGCTGCGATGAGCAACGGCGCACCAGAGACGTCGGAGCGGGACGACGACGACGCATGGACGTGCTCGGGCTGCTCTTTCGCGCACAACCCGCCGCGGGCAGGCAAGTGCGAGGTCTGCGGCACATCAGACGGGCGTGGGACCATCTCGCGCTGGGTCTGCGTCAAGTGCACCCTCATCAACCCGGGGCAGGACCGGTTTTGCAGCGCATGTGGGGGCTCCAAATTGAACAGCGTCGCGGCAAAGCGCTACCAGACGCTGCGACCCCACGAGAGCTGGGTCTGCTCGCACTGCACGCTGCGGAACCCCAACCACCTCGCCGAGTGCTGTGCGTGCAGCACGCCGAGGCCGTCGCCGGTCAACGGCGGGACGGTGCGCCCTGGCACGCGGAACCGGAGGATGACGAAGCTGCTGGGGGAGCCCGCGGAGGACGCCTGGGAGTGTGCCTCGTGCACGTTCCTCAACTCTGGGCCGCACGCGGCCTGCGAGATGTGCTGCACCTCGCGGAGCCTGGTGTCGCTGAGGCCCGAGGCGGCGAGGCCCAGGGGCGCGCCAGGACGCGGTGAGAGCGAGCTGATGGAGGAGCTCCGCCGTGTCGAGGAGAGTGAGGCGAGGGAACGCTGGGACCACATTGTCTCCTTCTGCAAGGCGGTGAGTCGTCGCAGCTCTGAGCCATCACGAGTTTTGCAACTTTAAAAGTGCTTGCAGATACGGTTTAAAAAAATGCAATACCGTAAAATCCCGAGAAATAGCCCACCTAAGATCAAGAGAAAATTGGGTGAATATAAGAAGTGTGCAATCAAGAAAAGTTGAAAAAAATATGTTATTTTTAGATTACGTGTCTGTCAAACTTATCATCGCATCAAGGGGCAATGAAGCAAAAATGACTGTACTTCCCAGTTAGCACTGTTTGCTTATATCCCGCCATAGTTACAACCAGACGCATCTATGCCCAGGTCATCATTGATCTGAAATGCTGAAGAGGAGCCGACCTCCTCTCTGGCGTTCGCTCTGCTAAAGTGGAAAGAGATGGGAGGAGCCTCCCCTGAATTCTTAACCCGTCACCGACTACCATAAGATACCGGGGGAGCACCCACCTAACCTTCACTAAAAACTGGGTTAATCTATACATGGGTACTCGTTTGCTCAGATCGGGTGCTTAACATATAATTTGCAGAATTCTCAGGTTTGGGAAATGTTAATTGTTGGCGCCTAAATGAGGTGGGCGCTTCCGCGGTATTTTACGGTATAGTAATAATAATAATCATATATTAATCTCTGATGATGTACATCGCAACCAAACGGTTTCACACCCCAGGAGGGAATTATATTGCAGCAGTTGTTAAATAGAGTTCATTCTAAAACCTCCTTGCTCGAGCACGAATAGTATTTTTGCAAAACGTGGTTTCAGTCGTACCGCATTTGGAGGCGTTAACATCGAGTCAGAGACAGTGCTCTCTGCAACTGCGGGTGATTGATGGATTCATCACAGTGAGGGAGGCTCAACTATGATGGTGTCTTCGAGACAGTTCTAACTAGAGGTTTGCCAAACACGAGGTGTGCAGACCTCTTTAGCACGAGCCTTACCTCTTCATCTCTCTCAATATTGACGGTAAGCAAGAGGAACGCGTACCGGACAACTAAGCTCCTTTCTGCCTCTGTCATTCCGTCGGCTGCTACAACAACCCGGTTTGTGGCTGACATTTCGTCGTGCAGAACGGCGAGCCATTTGTGGACGACTCCTTTCCGCCCTTGCTCAAGTCGCTCTACTACAACCCGGACGAGCCGCGGGAGGAGATCGCAGTCAAGTGGCTTCGTCCCTGCGAGATCACGTGCGACGCCAAGGAGGCGAAGATTGCGTGGACGGTCTTCAGGACCCCCATGCCTTCGGACATCTCTCAAGGTGCCCGTGGAACACTGCCCTTGCCCTGCCGGGATGCCTGCTTTGTCTGTGGCACTTCCTTCGCATGGTAATGTTCTGTTTGTTGGGCCTGCCTTCCTCGTTTCACCGACGTTTTTGCAGCTTTGTATTGGGTGTGGCCTTCTTTATCGTTTCTTTGGTTGTGCTCTCTCGGTCCGAACTGTTCCGTCACTCTGGAGTGTTCCCTTTGCCCGCAGGTAACTACTGTTGCTTCTGTCGCAACTGGTTTGTTTGCCACAGAAAATGTTTTTTCGAGTTGCATTTGTTTGCCTGGAACAATACTTTTTCTTTTTATGCTTGACTTACCCTTTTACTTTGTTTCTATTTCACACATTTTATATGATACACTGCAAGCTGCTGGCCAAGAAGACGCTAGATAAAGCGTCTTGCTCATGCTGGCGGCTTTCCCAATTCTGTACAATACGTGTGAAATGGAGTGCTATAGAGCACTCGCTTTTTAAAAGATCCTTCCCCTCTGCCTGGCATAGCTTTTTGACTTCAGCTGCTTTCTTTTACTAAAGTACTCTCATTGTTTGGCGGGCTGTTCTCTTTTTTTTTTCATCCGTCTTCATTAAAGTGTGTGATGTTTTTGTTCATTCGCCAGTAAATATATACCACACCTGCAGCTTTTTCTATAAACACTAGCCACCCTTTTTTTAGGGCTCATTGACTTGCTATAGAACCTGCTACTTACTACATTTACCCAATAATTGGAAAGCATCAGCTTGAGCAAGTGCTGTATCTGTCCTTAATCTTGAAGTTTCCTATTAGAACTTAAGGATGCTACACTAATTTTCAGAATATTTTCTGAAATATGTTTCAATACCATTTGTACTGCTTTTCTTTTTCTCTTTGTTCCCGAGTAGTGATGTCTAGCAACCTGATATCAAGATTGCTTGCCACATTATTGCAAAATGCATGTAGCTTTTGCATGTGTATTCCTCGCAAAACCCACATGGTCACGCGGCGCCCACATGATCTTTCGATACGACCTCGGCTTCCGCAAGATTGTGCGGCTTGCGGGTTCTTGTAAAACCCCCTTCAAATCACACCGGAAGGTCACATAGCATGTGGGTTATTGCAAAAACCCGATTGATCTCGCGGCATCTATGTGAGCTTTCTTCGACGCAACCTCGGGCGCCGCAAGATCATGTGGCATGTGGGTTCTTGCGAAACCCTCGTGATCTCATGTACTCACACGGTCTGGCAGCATGATCTCAAGCGCTGCAAGATCATGAGACACATGGGTCTTTGCAAAGCCCGCAGGACCTTGCAGCACAGCCTCGGGTGATTTGCTGCCGTATTCCCTGCCGGCGGCTCGCTTGTTTACCCTCAACTCTGCATGCCGACTGCACCCAGTACTGCAAGGGACGTCTCCACCCTGGCACACACAGAACGCCCCAAGAGGCGACGGTCCGACCTATATGTTGTCCCGCTCCCGCCGTTCCCGCCGTTCCAGGCATTCTGGGCAACTGCTGGCTGCTGAGTGCCTTGGCCGTTCTGGCGGAGCAGCCGGAGCTGATGGAGCGGGTCATGGTGACGCGCTCCGTCTGCCACCTGGGGGTGTACCAGGTGCGGCTCTGCAAGGACGGCCAGTGGACCACCGTGCTTCTGGACGACCTGCTGCCCTGCGACGCTAAGGGATGCCTCGTGTACTCGCAGGTGGCACCCTCTCTTCCCTTGTCTCTCGCATAACCGTGCGTGGCCTAGGTCAACACCACCTAGATAGAAAGCTGTATTGCTGAATTTTTTTAGTCACCCGCTGAGGGCTAGCGCGGGTCACATATTGGTCACGAGCACTGTCGGCCTTTGGTGCGACTTGTGTTTTGACTGATTGAACGCGAGTTTCAGACGAACGCTGACATAGCACTTGTGTCCGATGTGGCCTCGGTGCTCCAAGTCTTAGGTTATCAGTGCTGTGGGTTGTGAACATGATTCCTTGTAAAGGTCGTAGGTCCAACCGACCTGTTCCACGGAAGGCCACGAATGTCGTCAGCAGGCTCTTGGCTGTAGCGCTCTCTAGCCCCACACGTGCGAGCTACCAGCAGCAAACATAGAATTGCATCAGACGAGAGTCGAAACAAGTTGGCGCTCTCCTTAGCATTTTGCAAAGACATTTCGAACGCGTGGCATTCATAGGGCCTCTTTTGCACTCTTCTCATTGTGGGCACAATAAGGAGGCCACTGAGGAGCAGATTGGAAGGGTCTTGCGGGTATATGAAGGCAGCACCGTGTAACGTGCCGCAACGTCATGACGTGACATTCACAGTGTCCACTGCGATGTCATCGAGGTTACATTTTAGTGCGGATGTAAAAGCCCGTAGAGCAGGCCCTATAAAACAACACTCAATTTCGATGTCGCAACGCTGCGGGGGCGCCGTCTGCTTTCGGCAAAGCGAGTAGCATTCGGATGCTTCACCTCGAGCGAATCTAGTTCCTGCACACACACACTGCCCAAGTCCGGTGTGAGGCAAACGCCGACCGCTTTGTAAACGGAACATTGGCACAGAAATTCGACACACATAAAAAAAAAAAAAGAAGTCTTTTTGCACATCTTGGTAGTCTTTGAAGGAATGAGAATGGCGGAGCTTGTCTTTCGAATGCCCAATCTCCGGCACGGGTGCCACGCTTTCCGCTGCGGTTTGGCTGCGCACACGCGCTCGGGGTGCACGAAATGTTGAAGCGTTGACCAAGGTAGAAAGCTTGCACTGGAGGTGGGAACTTAAGCTGCTCTCCGCCGTTGCCATTTTGTCATAGCCCGCGTGGTGTCAATTGTGCAACTGAAGCACCGCTCTCGTTCCAGGCCAAGCGGAAACAGCTGTGGGTGCCGCTGATTGAGAAGGCGGTGGCCAAGTTGCACGGGTGCTACGAGGCCCTGGTTTCCGGACGGTGCATCGAGGGGCTGTCCACCTTCACAGGGGCACCCTGCGAGAGCATACCGCTGCAGTGTATGTTTCGTTTGGGGCTCTCTTTTGCACAATCGCACGTCGGCACCTGCGGTCTTGCGTCTGTACCACGGCGGCGGTTGCACTTCTGCGGCGACTGGATGTGTTTCTAGAGAAACGGTAGGGAGTATTGCGTGTCCGCAATCTCTACTGCCAGAAACAATGAAGTGTCTCGTTTGGGCAGTGCGCATTGCTTACGGCTCGACGCCCTTCCACAATGCTTTCGGTTATGCATGCTTCAGCGGCGCTTTGGCGTGCGACGCCAGAGCACCACTGAAGTCGGCGAGTTGATGCTGGAGTGCTGGTGACCGAAAGATATGTGTCATGCTTTAGTCTCTTGAGTTAAGGTTTGCGGCATTGCTTATAGGCACTTGTGGAACCTGAAACACATGAAACTTTCCCCTTCCAGCCTCTTCTTCTCCCAACGAAGAGGGCATCGACGAGGATCTGATCTGGGCACAACTACTGAGCTCCAGAGCAGCCGGGTATGAGCGGCCTTGCTGCGTTTGCCATTTGTAGTCGACTAATCGACCGAACTTTAACTGCCTTTCGACCCCTCATTCAAACGTTTGACTGGGTAAAAAAAAATAGTGACCCAGGGCAGCTACTATTCTTTTTCTTTCACTTCTTAATATTTGAGAGCAGTTGACTTTGGGGTTAGGCTCGACAGCAGAACTGAGGGATCTGTGGAGCTTTTTAATTTTTCGAGTAATGCCTTCCCCCATTTTTCGACAGTTTTGGATTCAAACCGTTAACAAATTGTGAGCTATCAGAAAGAAAAGTCTGGGAATGTCGGTCAGGCTTGGTATGCCTCCGCTTTAAAGTTCTGGCCAAGCCATAAAAGTGCCTTACTTAGTTGGGATCCCAAGGAAAAACTTAGGATGGGATATCTCACTGTGTCGCCAAATACCATAATTTTTTATGCAAGTTCAAACTTTTGCCGAAGATGAAGTTTTCTCGCAGAGATTCACGCATTCTCGCTTGTTTCACTCGCTCGCCGTCTCAGATTCCTGATGGGAGCTTCCTGCGGGTCGGGAAACATGCAAGTGAACGACCAGGACTACCACGCCGTGGGGCTGCGTCCGCGGCACGCCTACTCCGTCCTCGACGTCCAAGACGTGGAAGGTGTGAGGTGAGCTCCGAGGCTTCGCTTTCCTTGCCCGAGTCTATCCTTTGTTATTGGGGGGTGAGGTGCCAAACAGTCACGATTTGCCCGCACATTGCGTATCTCAGGAGTTCTCAAACTTTTTGGTGATCTCGAAGAATGCTCATCTGTCTCGATCGACAGCCTCGGCACCGCTCCCGTTCTTGGCGTTGCGGCAACATAACAGTGGAGAAGTCTACAGACCTTGTAAACAGTAGTGCACATGCAACGGAATGTTTGGCTCCTTGTAATGCGTCAGTGAATAGCTCGGGACATTTTTGAAACTGTGCTTAAGCTAGAAGTATCTTTTTACTTGGATGGAGGGACAGCCGAGGAAATTTAGGGTCTCGGGGGGGAAAATCCCTGTGGGTTTTCCCTGGTGAACCTTTAGGTTCCTGGGAACTCGCTTTGAGAAACCTATCTATTCAAGTCTGACTATAGTCTGTTGCAGGGTAACAAAAGCAGTACAAGCTCCTTCCAGAAGGCCCCCTCACTCTTTCCACTTTAGCAGTGTGAATGCTGGAGAGGAGGAAACCACCAATCGTGACAAGCAGAGAGCTTTGTGGGAGGGGCTTGTCCTGCTATTCTAAAACTGCAATAGAATATAGGTTTTTTTTTCTTAAAGCAGTAGCTGTTAGTGGCCTGTCCCCCGGTTTCGTGACGGCGTGAGCGAAAACGGAAAGTTTCCCCGCTAAATTTGGCAGGAAGATTAATGTCACGTGACCTGACGTCGCAGGACCTACAGACAAATTCAAGTTCCCCGCTAAATTTAGCGGAAAAAGTTACGTCACGTGACCTATGCACAAATTCAGTTTCCCCGCTAAATTTAGTGGAAAAATTGACGTCACATGACCTACTGTATTTACTCGCATAATGAACACACTTTCTTCTCCGAAAAATTGACACATATTTAGGGGGTGTGTTCATTATGTGGGGTAAAATTTTTGCATTTACAAACTTAGTTCGAATGTCATATTAGGTGCCAATATCACACGGCAAGGTACTGTGGCACGTCTTTGCTGATGGAAGTGCACCCACGGCTGGTCGTGGGTGCGCCACAGTAACCATGCTTTATAAATGGCAGACCTTTATAGGGCTTTATAAATTTCAGACCTCACAGTGGTCGTACAACTCATTAGAAAGGTTGTACAGTTTATTCGAGCCTTTTGTGGCGTTCCTAAATGCCTACACTCTCGCGAAGGTCTCAGGAGAATCTCGTCGCGTAGAATCCCAAACTTAATGATTCATCTAGTTAGGCCCAAGACCCGATAGTCCAACACAAGTCACACAATTGTTCAGGGTCATACGGTTTGTTCGAGAGGTCGGGCAGTTCATTCGAGGCTTTTGCGGTGCATCTAGATGCCTACCCCCTCGCGAACGCCTCGGAGTCCATTCAGAATCCTGCCCCAAAGAATCCCGGGCTTAACGACCCGTCTCGTCAGGTTGGTGAGGCTGCGGAACCCGTGGGGCCACTACTCGTGGAAAGGGGACTGGTCCGACGGATCGCCGCTCTGGACTCCCGAGATGCGGGAGGCACTCATGCCCCACGGCGCGGACGACGGCGTCTTCTGGATGTCCTTCAGCGACGTGCTCAAGTAAGATGGCCAATTGCTGTGCTGTTTCGCCGTGCAAACGGTTAGCCCTCGCCGTTTGCGAGTTGCTGGCAGCCGTGTGGCCAAGCCGACAGAGCCGATTGTGCAGTGCTAGATGCGAGTTCCCAATTATACTCCAGCCAAACCTACTCGGCGTCACCCCAGCACCGGTCCCACTGGGAGACAGGGTTGAGACTTTGGGCCGGAGCCACGTGGGAGGGAGTCCCAATTTTCCTCTGTCCCGCATGTGCCCAGCTGTCCTGGTGCTCAAAATCCTTGTTGCCAGTTATCCGAAATGGCAAGAAATGGTTTTCCGCCAAACGCTACACCGTTGACTATGTCGCGCGACTCATTATGGAGGGTCATTCGCTGCCTTACCTTTGTTCAATCTCTTTCTTTTGCACCAGGTTCTTTGACTGCATCGACATCTGCAAGGTGCGCCCCGACTGGAACGAGGTGCGGCTGCAGGGGGTGCTCCCGCCCCAGACGGACAAGGACAGTCAGGCGGTAACCCTGCTCACGGTACTCGAGGGCACCGAGGTCGAGTTCGGCCTCTTCCAAGAGGGACAGAGGTGGGTCGTCCCACCTTGCTCGCAGCAAACTCGTCTATATTTTAAAAAAATATGCAAAGGACAAAAAACAAATTTTTTTTTTTAACAGCTTGGATGGAAAAAGATTGTCATAAAATGAATTTACAATGAAAGAAAAAAAATTGTAGAGCCATATTTACAGCGCGAAACAAATTTGTAGTTGGCACTCGCGGGAGCCCGCGGAAAAGTGGCAACTGGCAATCACGTGACATGCCTCTATAGTAACGTGGTGCATATACCAGGAGCTTCCTATGTGGGCTTGCAAAATAACTTATTAATCTTCGTTTTTTTAGAGCGGAGCTGTTAAGGGCTAGGTTCCCCAGTATCGTATCCGGTACCAAAGAAATGTTGACAAAAACCTACACGAACCTCTAGACAGCTACTGCCATCTATAAGCTACAACGGCAACCAGGCAACCAGTCTGGGTGCCACCGTCGCTCATAGATGGCGGCAACCTTTCCAGCTATAATAGAAGAATGAATAGTTCAGCAAGTTGGTGGGAATTCATTGTAGGAAACAGCGCGAAAAACAGACAAGGGCAAAGAAAAAACGCACGTGACGAGGGCAGCGCTCGTCACGTACGTTCCTTTTCCATCCTCGTCTGTCTCGCGCGCTGTGGCGACGTATGCAGCAGCGCGAATGAAGGCCGGTTCAGACACTTGCGTTTGAGTGCGTTTGACTGCGTTGCGTCGAGTACCGAAAGCGAGTCACCGGCGCATCTGTGCTTCGTATGAAGCGTGGAGTCCAATTCAAGGAATCATTTTGGCACGCGATATAAGCAGCAGGGATGTCCTAGTTTCTTGCTGCCGCAACGCAGTCAAACGCAGTCAAACGCAACTGTCTGAACCAAGCTTGAGTCCGCATCCGCCGCGTGCGTCAAGCGCTTCAGATTCTCCTGCAAAAGAAGAGCAAATCGCTCTCCTGGAACGTCACCGCTGAGAACAGAAGCTACAGCTCGGCTGCTCTTCCTTCTTCACCAAAGTGGAAAGACTGAAAGTTTTTTTGTTGCACTTCTCTTTTTAACAAATATTTTGATGTTCGAGAAACAACAAGTATAAGAAAATCGTCCTTCCGTTTTGACCCGTATGACTCGAGCAAGAGCTGCGATCCACCGGCATCGCTGTCCGCAGGTGCGTTGCTGGCCTCGGAGCTTTCCGCAGGGTGGTTCACTGGTACTGGTCTTCGAGGCATGTCCTCATAGGGGCAAAGTCCTTGATACGGTCGAGAAGTCTACGCTTTAACTCCAGATACATCGCAAAAGACGCAGACTACCACCAGCACAGAAACCCAAGAACACAGTGCGCACTGAAGTTGAGTGCAAGTCGCGAGACTCCAACGAGCCTCACATACGTGTTGCTGCCGAGCAACCAAGCCAGTTCAAGCTGCTTACCTCTCCCCCACGCAAAGCATACAGGCGCGACAGAGAAAAGTGGAAAGGAGGACCATTACACCTCGCTTGACGAAAGATAACTTCACGCCGTAAATATGGCTCTAAAAACATTTTTCGTTGCAAATTTGTTCTATGGCATCCTTTCTCCGTCCAGGCTGTTCAAAATATTTTTTTTTTTTTTCGTTGCATATGTTTTTTAGAGGACGTCCAACGAGGCAGTTACATGTGCCTAGATTTTCGCAGTCAAGAAAAAATATCCAATGTGTCGCTATGTGCCACACTCTCCCAATGAGATGTAAACTGTGCTAGACTCCGCCACCTAAAACAAAACAGAAGTAACTCGACAGGTCGGCCCACGTAACGCCACAACTTCTGAGTTTCTTTCCCTCACAGTGCTCAAGATAGGATGTTTCCTAATCGGGGAGAGACTCGATTAGGACCTCACGCGTACGATCGAGGCGATGCATCTCGTCCTCCTCGCTGCGTCGGTGACGGCGTGCGGCGGTTTTTTCCAGGAGTGCAGAGCGTTCTCGGCGCTGCCAGCTGGACCTCTGCGTGGTGGTGTTCCGGGCGCAGGACGCCGCGGCCGGCCTGGTGGGTCCGCTGGTCAAGCACTCCAAGCGCCAGGTCCGGAGCTTCGTTGGCTGCAACGCGGTGCTGGACCCCGGCTCCTACATGGTGGTCTGCCTCGCCTTCAACCACTGGCACACCAGTGAGTCGACGGTCTTCTCGCCACCTCGTGCTCGTGTGGCGGGCAAACAACCTCTGGGAGGCGCCACTTTGCCGCTCGTCCGTGCACCATATTTTTTGGTGACCGACCTTCTACGGTTGGCTAAACACTCACTGTAATGTCTTGAGTGTGATGAATTCAGTGTCTATTAATGAAGATGAGAGGAATGTCGTACTTTCAACTTTGACAATGTTGGTTTGAGGATGCCACAACCTCGAGCTTGCGTCATTTTTTTTATGCACGCCTTCGAAATAGTTGTTGGCGATTGATCATTCCTGTTGTCACAGACGGGAACAATAAGGGGGAGCCACCGAAACGTATCGTCGCCAATGGTCCTGCGCGTCCATTGACGTGCGGCGACCGTGGCGGACAATCTTTATCGTGCGGAAGGAGGCGGCAGTGTGGCGAGATCAGGCGTGGACTTGGGCCCTCTCACCATACTTCTCAATGGGCAAAACATGAACAAAAAGGGTTTGCAATAAGGGCTTAATGCAAGATGGCTGATTTTCTCCAGTGCCTATAAGTACTTTGATGAACGAGCCTCTCAGCAAAACATGCCTTTTTCGGACGTCCGACGGCTGTTTTCTTTTTACCCGGGACACGGGGCTATAGTACCAAACTGCCCAAGTTGCTACCGGAGAAAAAAAGGTTTTCTTTTCTTATTTTGGCAGAAGTTTCAGAAAATAGAGGAAGGGAGAGGCTTTTTTGTACAAACTTGGGGGCACAAAAGATGAACTTATGGTCACAAAAGTGATGCCTTAGGAGCTCGATCTAGGCCACTACGGTGGCTCAGTGGAACCAATAGGATCTAGCTTCGTTGCTCGAAGGAATGTTTGCGCTCGCTCCTGCCACGGACCTTTGTGTATCAAAAACATGAGAGTTGGGAATTCGGAAAATGGTTGATAGCGTGGAGGCGTCTGTGTTTGACAGGCTTGACCAAGATTGACCAGTACCCCAAGTTCCTGCTGGCGGTGCACAGTTCCAAGCGCCTCCTGGTGGAGACTGTGATCCCCCACGCCAACGTCCTTGCAGACGCCATCATCAACCTGACGGTTGCCAAGGGGAGGCGCCACGAGGTGAGGCGTCCCTATAGCGAGAATCCTTGTCTTGAAGAACAGTTGTGAAATAAAATTGCAAAATCTAAGTTAAAAAAAAAACGAAAAAAAACTTAGAGATTTTTCTAGCAATAGTGCATACACTTTAGTCGCCGACAGAATGAAAATGGCGGGTAGGTCTTTCAGTTGAACTGAAGTGGCGATAGAATGAGAGTTGGTTCACGACTAGCTCTGGTAAATACAGCGCACGCAAGGACGAAGACGGAGAGAATATTGCGGGACGAGCGCTGAACTAACAACTATTATTGAAAAAAATTGCTCAAGCAAAAAAAAAGCAAAGTGAACTGTCAAATTCTTTTTTTTTTGTGCAAGAAGGTCGAGAGCTGGCCCTTGCAGTTCCCCGTGCACTTTTTTTCTGTTGCACACGCTTCTGGCACCTCTCTTGCCGCTTTATCGCAGTCCCTACCAGTGACGTGAGCATCATAGAAGTCGGGGTGACAGAGGTAGTCCCGACAATGGCTGCGCAAGTGTCCTTAGAGTCTGAGTTTGAAGGAGTATTTATTAAACGAAAATCATGAGAGATCAGAACAGGGATGTCTTCACTCTAGCCATGCAACGGCCACCAAGCCTAGCATCTTTGTTTCTGTGTGACGACAAGACGATGGTTGAGGAGGTGAGGTTCCTCAAACGGAGTGTTCCAGGCCACCTTCGGCATCGTCGACTGCAAAGACGGGTCATGCTCGTGCATTCTTTCTTGTCAACATGTCGACCCGTTTGGACAACATAAAAGCCCAGCCGCAGAACAAATTGGATTTTGTAAACGACGCCCACGGCGCGTGCCACAAACTCTTTTGCACGTCTGACTGCGCATGGATGCCTATCTGTGTTTACTTCATTTATTTGTGGTCCCGCCAGTAGTACGGGCTTTCTACTTTCTATGACACCTTGCCGTCTCGTAATCTTGGAGCGGGCACACCCGACCAATGCAGAGCGGAAGGCGACGAGCGCACGCCCAAGGCCGAGTGTCGAAAAGAGACGGCCTGCCATTTTCACTCCATCGGCGACTGTATAAAATGTGTTTGGCGTAGAGTTGAGCAACAATGCACAGCTTAGATACGCTAGCCCATAAGCTGGAGAAATACTCGTAAGTTTTTTGGGGGTTTCGAGTTGCAAAGCCAATAAAATGAAGCAACCCAATGCAAGGTCTAACTTCGTGTCTGTCCATTTCTTTCTTTCTTCGTCGTCTTGCGGTTTCTCGAGATTGACACATACATAATCTGTTCTTTTTCTTTCAAATATTATGGAGGGGGTTGAATTTCGTTGCATGTTTTGTTTAGATGGCGCGAAGTTGGTTAGCCCCAGTGGGCATTCGGCATCTCCGCTGTAGATGAGAAATTTAGCCGGTGTGGTAGCACCCCTAGCCTGGGGTCTAGACGTGATCGCGTTGTAGCGATACACGACTGCATGCCGGTACGACGCTCATCCGGATCGAAACGGGCAGGGACGCAGTTTGAACCCAGGATCCTTGGTTCCTAAGTTCAGGATTCTTGGGTCCTGAGTTTAGGATCCTTAGGTACCAGCCATAAAAGAAAGAAAAAAAAAAATTTTTCTTGAAATGCACGCAAACAGAGAAATGTCCCGTCGTGGTGCACGATCGGCGGTCAAAGACGGTGTCGTTGCTGTGCAGGGGCGAGAGGGCATGACAGCCTACTACCTGACCAAAGGCTGGGCGGGACTGGTGGTGGTGGTGGAGAACCGGCTGCCCGACCGCTTCGTGCAAGTCATCTGCGACTGCTCGGAGAGCATCAACGTCGTGTCCACGCGGGCCACGCTGCGCACCGTCGACAGTATACCGCCGTTGCACAGGTGGAGTTGCGCTTCCCTCGTTTTGGGTTCCTTCGAAGTTTCCGTTCTCGGCTTTTGCGTACGCATTGCAAGAGAGAAGTGTTAGCGTCTTCTCCTCCGCTTTTCACACTTTTTTTTTTGCCGACCCATCCCATGACCTGTTCGGTGGTGATCAAAGATTTCTTCGGCAACTGGTGGTGCGACCTTTCGTTGCACCACCATTTGGCAGCTGCCTTGAAATTTCAAAACAACACGACCTACCCTACTCTATCTAGTGTTGCATTATCTTTAGAGATGCCGCAAACATTTTGCGAACCTGAGGTTCGAAGATCGAACCAAGGGGTTTGATAGGTTCGCAATGTTCGAAACGTCGAACCTATTGCATAAAAAATTGATGATTTTCGAACTTTCAAATTTTTTGCACCGAGAAATTTGATTGTTTTTGAACTTGAGATTTTTCTTGCTATGAAATTCAACATTTTCGAACTTATTACGCAGCGAATTCGAGGATTTTCCAACTTTCGAATCTGCCGAGTCCAATAGTTCGATGAACCTCGAACTTCTGAACAAAAGTTTGACAAAGTTTCAACCAAGTTCACCCCCATAGGTTCCAGGCAACAAATATAAATAACACAAGATGTCATGGTGTGAAGTAAAGTTGAAATTGCGCTCAGAGTCTTACCGTTAGCCGATCGTGCCACAAACGACGCGCTTGTAAAGCGCTGAATGATTGCTTTGGGGTGGCCTCGGCCTCGCACCTCACACCTTTTTCTTTCTACTTCTGCACAGAGCCTCCCCCGCGCACACCTCCGTAGTTACCCCGAGGTAACCTGTGGGCCAACAGATCCCTGATCTGCAGGCTTGAAGTTCAACCGAGGCACTTCGCTGGGAGCGTCCTTCGTAGCATTAAGTCGAAGCTCGTTAATTCGACTTCCGTTATTTCGATCATCGCGTTAATTCGATCCTTCCGTTTAGCACCGTCAGAAATGTACAGGCTTCAATAAGCAGAAAACCCCGGTATTTCGATCTGATAAATATCCCCAACCCGATAATTCGTCCCGGGAGCCAGCATCTTCGTAACCGGGAAATATTTTTTTTAAGCTAACACTATAAGTTTAAAGGTTAAAACGGCGCCTCAGTACACAACACGCGTCCCTATCCATATTGGCAAACAGCCGTTGCAGCGAGCCCGCGCCTGATTGCGACACCTCCCCAGACGCGCGATGCCCGTCGGCGCCCCCGGCGCCTCGAGTCGGGGCGCGCTCCGCGAAAGAGCGCCCGCGCAGAGAGGCGCTCTTTCGCCGGCGCCTCGCGCCCGAGAAAGGGCCGATTTGATTAGTCGAGATAAGACCCAGTCAGAGCGCACCGGCCCGATCACGTGGGGAGGCGCGCGGAAGAAGGAGACGGGAGCAACGAGAGAAAAATGAGTGAGCGATGAAGTGAGAAAGAACGTCGGGAGGATGGAGAAGGAGACGAGAAAAATGAGCGAGCGATGAAGAGGGACCGTGCTGTCACGCGGTTTCTGGTTTCTGTTCTTTGGAGTGCGCGGCGTTTAACGCTCATACCGGAAAATGTCGAAAGAAAAGCGAGGAAAGTACTCTTCGAATGATTTAAAAACAAAAGTTCACATACTCAACGAAGTTAGGGAGGGAAAATTGTCCAGAAAAGAAATTGCCGAAAAGTATGACGTCAAGAAAAGCACGCTTGCTACCTACATTAGGAATGAAGCAGCAATCGTGAAAGCTTTTGAAGAAGAGCAATTTGTGAATTCAAGAAACCGCCTTCGCAGTGCAGCCCATCCAGAATTCGAAGAAGCCGTTTACAAATGGGTGATAGAAGTAAGAACGCACAACCTTCCGATGACTGGAGACATGATTCGCGCAAAGGCTCAACAGTTCAGCGAACGTTTGGGCATCGAGGGATTCCGTGCTTCCGAGGGATGGCTCGCAAGATTCAGGGAGAGGCACTCTCTTATTTTTAAGCACGTGTGTGGTGAAAGAGCCGATGTGGATGAAGATTTGTGTGAAAACTGGAAGACGTCGGAGCTCGCACGTATTCTTGCGGAGTATGCGTCCGAGGACATATTCAATTGCGACGAAACGGCGTTGTTTTTCAAAGCTCTCCCCGACAAAACGATAACGTTCAAAGGGGATCCTTGCTCTGGGGAAAACGCAGTAAAGAGCGGGTGACCGTGCTCGTGGCAGCCAATACGACAGGCACGGAACGCCTGCCTCTTTTGGTGTTCGGGGAATCCAAGACGCCACGATGCTTTCGGAACATCCCGCGGCTTCCAACGGACTACCGTTTCAACAAAAAAGCGTGGATGACACGTGAGATCTTTCAAGATTGGCTTCAAAAATTGAACCGCCAGTTCGCGTCCAAGGGGCGTAAGGTCGTATTAGTAGCGGACAACTGCAGTGCGCCCACAAAAATGCCGGAGCTGTCTATGATCCGCCTCATTTTCCTTCCACCCGCAACCACCTCACTCTTGCAACCAATGGATCAAGGAATAATCAAACACCTGAAAGGCTTGTACCGTAAGCATCTCATGGCAAGAATATTGCTTTGTCTGGACCAGGGTAAGCGCTATGAAGTCACTCTGTTGGCGGCGATTCATATGCTTGTTAAAGCTTGGACGGACATGCCAAGCCAGGTCATCGCGAACTGCTTTCGTCACTGTGGTTTCTCGTGTGATGGAAATACCGCGAGTTCGACGACTGCATCGGCTACTACGTCTACATCGGCAACTGCATCGGCTACTACATCGGCAACCACAATTGAAGATGAAAGCTTTGACGAAGAGTGCAGTGCTCTAATGTCCGCTCTACCCGAAAACGTTAGTTTCGATGATTACGTTGCGATAGATGATGGAGTGCTTGTGTGCGGTCAATTGACTGACGACGAAATCATCGCATCGGTTCAGCGTCCCGAGGGTCAGGAGGACGACAGCTGCGAGAGTGACGCCGAAGAGCTGCCGCCACGCCCATCTCCTGCCGAAGCATCCGCTGCGCTCGATGTACTTGCGAACTTCGCAACGTTTGAAGACACCGACGGGACGATGTGGCCGCACATTGAGGATGTGCGGAAATTTGTTTTTGCGAAGCGTCTGACGGGAATGCGGCAGCAGAAAATATCGGCGTTTTTTTCCAAATAAAACTCCGTCGTCACGGTTGTCTTTTCGCCGCTTCTCGTGACGTACGTCGTTACTAGTTTTTGATCGATATTCGATAATTCGACTCTTCGATAATTCGATCTATTTTCGAGGAACCGTCAGAGTCGAATTAACGAGCTTCGACGTAGTTGTTTATGAACTCAAGTCCCTCAATTTCTTCGCCACATCAACGAAAGATGCACGCAGAGATAGACACGCCGATTCACTGCAGCGAACTCTGAATCTGCGCTTACTTTATTATCTTTAGTAACCGGCTGCATTTTAGAGCGGCCACTCATCGAAGCAAAAAAGTTCCAGGCAGTGGCAATATGGTTAGTCCGATAAGAACCGGTCGTGACATGATCAGCTGTATTATGCCTGGTGGTCCCCTAATTTAGTCTGGTTGCATTTTCCTCAACCTCGACTTGTGCTGGGTGCTGTGCCTGTGTTTAGTGTTTTCTCCATCTCATGGGTTATCCCGCCAAAAATAAATGCCCAGAGCAACTAAAAATTTTCGGGAAGCCTGGATGCTTCATGTAAATGCGTTGTCCTGTATATTTAATTGTCTAATGACAGCACTGCACTTAGGTGACGTTTCATTGGATTGCCACTAGTTTGCAAATAAGCCTGACCGCCTCAGGCCTTTTCAATGACCCATTCAACCAGTTCAGCGCTCATTTCAAAAGTTACAACAACTAATAAGAAATATAGGTTGTACTGTGACTACCACAGCACTGAGAAGGAAGGAGTTTATTCATGGCGAAAGAGAAACGGGCAACGTGTTCAGTCAGATTTGTAGCACATTTCTCGATTTTTTTTAGATGAATTCATGAAAACTTAGTTTGAAACTGCGGAATTAGATTTCCATCCATGAAATTCAGACTTGCAACTTATAATCAAAACTTTCAAACTTGTACCTCGAAAAAATTCAAAATATTTGATTTTTCTAACTTAAATCTTGAATAAATATGAAATGTTCGAATTTTCCGAACTATCTATCAAGAAATTGATATCTTCGAACTCTGACTGACTTTCAGAAACCTTAACATTTTTTAATTATTCGAATTCAAAGCTCAGCTGGGTTCCAAAGTTGCAAATTCCTCACATTTGAACCTCAGCGAGGTTCGAACCTTTCGAACTCTAACTTCACGAGGTTCGCAGCATCCCTAATTATCTTACCGAACTTAGCAAACCTGGTTCCCTCGAAACTCCGTAAAGATGTGGAGCCCTTTCCCGTTCTCATCCCCCGCTTTCCGGCTCTTCTCTCCCACAGGCAGGTGATCATAGTGCTCACTCAGCTCGAAGGCAGCGGTGGATTCTCCATCGCCCACCGTCTCACGCACCGGGTGTCCTTCACAGGCGGCCTCCACGACTGGGGGCCGTCCGCGACCAATCACGTGCCACCGATCGACCGCAAGGTGTTCGGACTGCACACGCCGAGGCCCCTGTGACCTCCCCTTCCCCCGACCTTGCCCCCTTTTTGGCCACGCCAACGAATCTCTGACCCCGCCCATTTGTGCAGTGACCACACCCACCTTGTCTCTGACACCCCTCGCCCTCTTCACTGTGGCCACGCCCATCTCGTCTTTGACCCCGCCCCCTTTTGCTGTGACCATGCCCCACCCCTTTCCTCACGAGACTGGTCTCGTCTTGACTTTCCGGTAAATTGAATTTCTGGACTTGCACATTCCGCAGTGTGTGTGTGTTAATGTCTGTCCTGTATGTTTTTTCGTTTGTTTTACATTGCAAGCTTGGAAGTTTTGAATGTGTCTGCTTTGTTTTTTGTTTTATGATGGTATGATTGGTTGCTAGTTTTCATACTCTCAAGAAGGGACATGACAGTATGATACTGAACTTCGTTCACCCCTAAGCTGACAGCACGGTGACTCGTAGAAACCAGTCGTACATCTATTTTTTTTTCCACGTGTTCGCGCTCCCGCCCATGCCCATGTTTTGAGAGAGGGGTTGGGTGATGAAAAGGAGGCAGCCGATTGGTTGGGCATCTCTGCTTAGGCAGTGAACAGATTACAGTACTGTCACACATACTTTGGATACTTGTTTTCTTTCCGATTTCTTACGAACGAAAAAATTATTGTGTCAAGGGGCCCTCTGTTGATGCCGATTTATACGTACAACAACCAATCTGGGGGGCTCCTGACAATTACAAAGTTCTGGAGTTCAGTACATGCTCTCATAAATGTCAAATGTAGTATCTGTGTACTAATGAAATGCAAAAATCTCGGGTCCATTGAATCAGTTGACTTGCAGTCATTGCTTACCAGCATTTTGCTATCAAGTGTAGGCACTCTTTGTATGTGCAAAACACTCTTGCACATACTTTCCAAAATGCTTTTGGAAAGTTCACTGGCCTACTAAATCTATTATGAACCCCTCCTTTTTTTTATTTTTATGCTAACAACAAAACATGACAACTTCATGTCGAATTTTGTCGAGCTTTGGATGATGGTATATCTGTGCGCATGTGTAATCTAATATATGTTTCGAAGTGTAAGTAACGATTTGTACTTTTAATTCCCTTGAGCGCCGAACCTTTTGGGGCTGCGAACGACTGGTTGAATAGATTACTAGATTTAGTGTGCATATCATCTAATGAGCTCTTGCACATTACGAGGCCAAGATTGTCACTTGTCGCGGGGTACGAGTCACAGACGTCGGTGAAGATGAATGCACGGACAAACAAACGGGAGATTTTGTACGAGAAGAACTGCCCTTACTATAATGTAACTGTAATATGCGACATTCAACGTGCGGCGTTCCTTCGGAACCACTAGCTTTCGAAAAGCGTTTTTCCGACGGCGATTTTCAGCATCCTTTTAGGACTGTTGACACCCTTTGTTCGTTGCGTATTGGTTTACTGCAAGGCAATGCTTTTGATTGATGTCGGCTCATTTATTATTAATGGTTACTAATAGTTACTGACAGGACGGACAATGGCAGGGCTTCCAGCATGCGCTCGTTGCCTTTCTTCATGCTTTGGCTGTGCGTGCTTGCTCAAGGCTGACAAGACGCCCAAGTGTTATAAAGGTAGGAAGATCGCACTGGAGTCAGAACATCCGAAGGACCTTCATGCCGTTTTTATCCCATCAGTAACCATGACCTACAAAACAGGACGGACAACTTAAATACTCATCACGACGCCGTACTGGCCTGTGTAGAGACTACGAAGATTCTTCATTTACTAACTAGTATTTATTTTGTTACCATTAACTCATTGTCTATTTATTGCTGCAGGAGCCTTTACAACGGCAGTTTCATACGCCGTTTATTTAGAAGCTGGCTTATTGCGAGCGAAATCTAGTGTATGCGGAGAGCAAGTCGTCTGCTTCTTGCGCAGGAGTTGAAGCGACGTCAGAATGACGCCGAGCTCCGATTGCCTTTGATTCAAAGGATAGTGGTAACTCAATGCTAGATGCCTTGAGGTCTACCCACCATTTTTTTTTTTTTCAATCGGCCAATGCGGGTGCAAGTTCGTCTGTTTCTTGCGCAGGAGTTGCGGGGACGCCAGAACGCCTAGTTCCGATAGGCTCCGATTGAAAAGATAGTGGGTAGACCTGAATGCCAGCCACCTTGACGTTTACCCGCTATCCTTCCAATCAGAAATCAGCTTTCCGACGTCGCCGCAATTTCTGTGCAGGAAGCAGACAAACTTGCACTCTGCACAGGCGAAGTGTCATTCTTTGCTTAGTGAAGCGTAGTGTACTCGGTTAAATTTTTGCTAGTCTTTCTTTTCTTATATATATTTCTATATACTTTACACTCAGGGTTATTTTCCGAAGTCTTGCTTCGATGATTTACTTACCTTGTCGGCCGATTTATTTTTCTCGTTCGGTTAGTTCATGAACTCGCGGCGGTAGACTGCCTTTATCTCTGTGCAAACGAATTAAGTTCTAGTCATTATGTGAGGCGACATAAGCACAGAGGGTCTCCGCATGTTTTACGGTGCGGCCAATTGCATGCGACGCCGCAGTGCTTTGGAACGCTGCTTTCTTTTACAAATTCAACAGCGGCAGAGAGGCAGAGACTCGAAGAAGGTGCGACGACGTTGTGATAAATGATTGAGACGGCGGTACTTTTCAATTGTGGAGCTTGGTACTGGCCCTTTGGCTATTGCTCTGTAAATACTATGGGGAGCGGGGGGAATTTGTACACCGAGTTGTGCTTCTCCAGTATGCATAAGCAGCATTTAGATTCGCGTCTACCTAACCTTGTTCGTCGGTGCGACACTACAACGCACACGACAAACTTGTTTGTGTGTATGATCTAGCGTGGTCAAGTCGTCTGCGACGTGCGATCCTTCGAAATATTCCACGGTTTTGTTCTGGATTAGATGACTAAGCAGTTGAACGGTTTATCAAACATATAGGTTCCAATTTTTGGGTGGTCTGTTTCCGGTTTATCCGAGCCCGTACAGAAATTTCGGGAGTTTGGCACGTTCGTCGAAAAAAGTGTGTCACTTTTTCCACTGGACTTTCTCTATCCTACTTAACGTTTTTGTTGTTCTTTACATGCCACATTCTTTGTTTTCACAATGTGTAGTGTGTTTGCACCATTTCAATGTGTATATCCCCGCATGGAAAGTTTTATATAGTCCACTCAAGCCAGTCATAAAGCAAAAAGACTTTAGTGTAACGTGTAGTGGTTTTCCGCGATCACAAAGTGTCGAGTGCAATTTTCTCGGTCATTTGCGAGACCATGAGTGGGTCGTGGCACCACTATGCGGTCGCGTGGTTAGTTTGTTGTTAAAATTGCGGTCGGTGCAAGTCGCACAAGCTCGTGCGTGCCTAGCACAAATTTTTGTTTTGACCGCCAGAATGGCCCTTGGTATATATCTAGTCCGAAACCCAGTGAATGCTCATGCTCGAATCGTTTCAACCTTTTTATACGTTTGTTTCGTTTCTCTTGGTGCAGTACATTCATGCTGTTACTTTTGAGAGTTGGCATTGCTATTTTATAAAATAAACTTGCATACAAAATTGCACGGACGGAAGTGTCTACTTTTGATCTTTGAACGCAGACAGTGTTTATCGTAATCACGACACAGGTCATTATGACTTTGAGCAACTTTGACGTCCTGGTGTCACGTGGAAAAGGTAATTTGGTTCAAGATGGTGGTCCGAGGTCCCTTTCTTGTTTTCATCGCAAATGGCACGCTTTCTATCCTTCGGCATCGCGTCATGTCGTGTGATGTACGCGAAGTCGCTGTGCGTTGCATGACGTGACATTGTGCGACACTGCGACATCATGTGGCACTGCATCGTGTCACACGACAGCACGTGGAACAGTGATGTCACATGAAGGGACACCATGACTTGTGGAAGCCTAAGGGAAGAGGAGAGCAAAGACCACTCCCACGAATAATGTGGAGGGCCCCCATGAGCTCTAATTAGCACAGACGGAAGACAGCACAAAATGGCCCCGTGACTTCGACTAAACTTGAATAAACAAACTATAAACACAATGATGTATGCATTAAGTTGCTTGATACAAAAAGTAATAAACTCGGCCGACACAAGGTTCCAAATGCCATCGCACTACACCTCCCTTAGCAGCAGCCAGAGAGAGAGTGTAGATTTTTTCTGGGTGCTAGAAAAACTGACTATCAAAAATAGAGACTAGAAAACGAGTTTTATAACAAACAAGAAAAAAGTGAGAGGTTAAAACAAGGTTGTTTAAAGAAGCCTCATTCCTCCTTTTCCTAATGGCACTCGTTTTTGCCCATAAAGGAATCCTCAAACCCCGTTCTCCTGACGGGCGACAGCAGTTCTTTTGTAAATGCTGAACTGCCAACATTGCTACTTGCAGCAACAAAAATTCCAGCTGTCTCCAGCTGTTTCAGGATGTTGGTTAACAAATTCAAAAACCTAATCAGACCCATCACTTCCGGTGCAATGTTCAGATAGCGTGACAATTAAGAATATTGTTAACTGTCAAATCATCCTAACCAATCGGCGCCTCTTTTGTGATGTGCTTGCGAAATTGAGCATCTACAACTTAGCTGCAATTTTAAGAGATGTTGCTCATGTCTAAAAAAAACGGCCTGAACATACCACATTAAGTTTCAGATAGTTTCTTCCTAACTGCATCTTTCCGACTTATTAAGTGGCTTAGGAGGTTTACCATTGAAATCACCTTTAGTTTCCCTAAATAAAAAGATAGTTATTAAAATACATATAAGTAATGGACAAATATTGAAAGGGCGAAGCATTTGGGATTATACATAATGACTCCAAACACTTTGCCTCTTCAATATGGTATCATTCCTTTTTCTGCACGATGCATAGTTTTGATGGAGAAACATCCGAGCCCCTTGATTTATGAAACACCCTGTATGTAATAAAATAGTAGAGAGCTTGTGGGCTTTTGAAGTAACACTAAATCACACCAGAGCTCCGAAAATATTCACTTTATTATCTTCACAGATCTTCCAGGTTTGCTAAAAATTATCACTTTAGTACCTTCATATAGATTCTCCATGGTAAAAAATAAATCAAATGTTCAGCAGAGCATCACCCAACAAAGCAGAAGCTCATGAGAACAACTCTGACAATACTCTTATTCTGACGGCCTCCACTGACTGAGTAACTCGTGATTTGCACTACTATTTTATTTAAACTGACCAGACAACTTGCAACTGCACAAACATACAACATTTCAACAGGCACTTCATGCTAGAACAACATGTTCCATCCGCAAAAGACCAAGTACTTTTTGACTGCCGAAAGGTTACAAAAGGCCACAAACAATTGTGCAAGGCAGCTAACCTGAATGTCGTCTGACCTGCATGTCGTCGTCGACACCTGATGCGCGTTAGGTTGTTCTTTGTATGCGCAAGTCCTCCATACTAAATGCCTTCTTTTACAGCAAATTTCTCTTAGGTTGCTCATCATTTGCAACAAAATTCATAGGCATTTGAAATGCCCCAATAAAAAGAATGGGCACTTGCCAGACATGAAGAAGTTCACTGTGCAAGGCAGTTAGTAAAAACACAACACCGATGCTTTTTTTGGACATGGCAGTGACAGACACCGAAATCTATCGTCCAAGTTGGCATCCCAGACCACACACCCCACCACACTGGTAACGACCATAACAGAACTCTCGTTTGTGAGAGAACATCGGAGAAAAAGGTCTGACGCGCTCTGAATGCCTCGCAAGTGGTGCGCGCTTGCAGATGACAGGTCCGCTTTGCCACAATCTACCCCTGCCATGTAGCAGAAAAATGAAAGCCCGGCAAATGTGCTTTTCCGCAGTCCATCCCCACCGTGTGGAAAAGAGAATGAGTCAGCTTCCGCACAATTCGTTCATGTCATGTGGCAAATAGAACAAACGACAGGTTTGCTTTCCCACAACCCACGCTGCCACATGAAAGGGAGAACATGGCAGATCAGCTTTATTGCAATATTGCTTCATAAATTGCATCGTCGGACAAAGTAAAAAAATAAAAATAAATCTTCATTTTAAGGATAAAGTTGGCAGACGCAGGATGTGCAGCATGTTTTTAGCTCCTCTCACCATTCGAGGTACAAAATTTTTGCAGCAACACAGTAACCTATGTGCCGACTATAACCATGCTAACCAAATCGCTCCCCTAGTGAGGGGTCAGATTATCGAGAGAGAGGAAGTCGTGGTTCGATTTCCACCGAGGGACACAATCTTTTCTAAAGACAACTGGCTGTATTATCGTATTTTTGTTACATTCTGCTATGCTCCAGGCTTCGAACCTAGCCCTAAAACACAATTTGAGTTCCTAAAAGACAAAGATAACAAAGCAAACGTGGTCTGCAGCTGCGGCACCAAGCCAGTCGATGAAACAAAACAAATGAGAACCACTCAAACACATCAGTTCTTGTCTGCACGCGGTCCCACGGAAAATACAGCACTCGGGTAGACAGGCTAAGAATTGAGGGGAAGCTCCTCCCATCTCTTTCCACTTCAGCAGAGCGAACACTGGAGAGGGGGCGACCTGCTCTCCAGCATTCGCTAGGTGACGTCATTGGACGCCACACCGAGACTAGTTTCGATGCGTGGGCGGAATAGGACGCTAAACATGCCAGTTGTAGATGCATTCCGGGCAACGTGACGCAGCGGCAAAATCCGAAGTCTCCCAAGAATGGAGGGCCTCCCAGCCATTAAGATGGCAATTGGGGCCAGTTGGTTCATGATCGAAGACATTCCGGGCAACGTAATGCAGCGGCAAAATCCAAAGTCTCCCAAGAATGGAGGGCCTCCCAGCCATTAAGATGGCAATTTGGGCCAGTTGGTTCATGATCGAAGATAGGCGCCGAAAAAACAAGGATGAGAAGAGACGTGAACATTGGCGCCAGTGTTGACGTCTCTTCTCGTCCTTGTTTTTTCGGTGCCTATCTTCGAACTCCCAGCAATGACTGCTGGGGGGGGGGGTCTTGAACAGTTCAGATTGGCTCCTGCCTGATGTTCCGTAGGCGTCTGCAGTCCCGCATGAGCAAAGCGAGCCGTGGAACATCCCCCCAGAGCGGGAGGGACTTGGAGAAGATGAAGTGTCCCCGCACCTGGCCGTAGCTCACGCCTGGTGCCCTGGCGGGGAAGATCATGTGGCAGAGGCACGAGCTCGACACCAGGCGATGCTGGAGCAGGCAGTAGAGCTCGTGCGTGGCACTGCTGTCGTCCGACTGCACCCGACCCGTGCGCCGGATCTGGCGGTGGTGGCGCAGGTAGGCGGACGAGACGAGGGGGACAATGGCGTCCACCTGGAAAGTGACGGCACGCGTCGTCTGCCACTTCTGCTCCGAAAAACTGGCTGTACCGTGTCTAGGGCAGATTATGCCGGATCTTTTACATAGCGAGGGTAACTATTTGGCATTTAATGGTTAGAAGAAAATAATCACCCTTGCAGCATGTATGGTTAAGACTATATGAGAGAAATTGCGCGGGGACGTCGAAACGCCGAGCTCCAGTTGGAATGATTAGTGGGTAGACGTAAAGCTAGCTGCCTCTATCTCTATTCCGAACGCCATAGGCTGGCGTTTGGCATGTTGTAACAGTACGTAGAGGCAGAGGCGGCTAGCTCTAGGCCTACCCACTAATTGTACCAATTAGAGCTCGGCAATCTGACTTTCCTGTGCGCTCTAGTCTCCTCCTCCCCCTCCGTTTCCACCAGTATAGTAACTGATGCATTGAAAACGACAGGGTGAGGCTTCAGTCCACCAGCGTCAGCTTCCTACCTTTAATAACGCTTCCACGTCCCGTGAGCCTCGAATGCGTGACATGCGTAGCCATAGCACGGCGAAAGGCGTGGGGAATGTGCTGCAGGCTGGCAATTTGAAAAACACGCCCCGCCGTTTCCCCTCCAAATTGCTTTCCTTTCGGGGGTTCACACCGGCGGCATCTACAGGGGTCCTTTCGGCCGCCAACGGGTCGACTTCTCGATCGCCAGCTCATCTCGAGTTCAGACAAAGACGGATCAAGTACCAGCCGACACCCTTTCACGTCCTCAACTACCCTGGCTGGCACGGCCGATTGCAAGCTCAGAGAGCTTGAACAAGCTGGAAAACGCTGCCTTCACACATGGAAAGGTGTGCGGAGTGCAAGTTCGCCTGCTTCTTGCAAAGGGGTTGCGATGATGTCAGAACGCTGAGCTCTTATCGGCTGAATAGTGGGTAGACCTCGAGGCATCTAGTATTGAGGTCTACCCACTATCCTTTCAATCAATGGCAATGGGAGCTCGCCGGCGTTCTGACGTTGCCGCAACCCCTGCAACAGAAACGGACGAACTTGCGCTTTGCATATGGCAAACGTTCATCAACGTCCCGTAAGATTTGGAGCGTGAAGTATGTCGTGCGAAACTGCCCTATGGGACGGGAAACTGGCCGTACACTCCAACGCACCTTGGCGACCAACTCCTCGATGAGGAGGGGGTCCATGTGCCGTGCTGGCTGCAGCTGTTCCTGGGTGAGCACCTGGCAGCCGTGGTCTTCCTCGAGCCTCCTGGCCAGCTCGCGCGCCATCCCGCAGTCTTCTTCCAGGTGGTTCACAAGCACCGTCAGGCAATCGTCGTCGCCGTCGGCAGAACCCTGGCAACGTTTTCCCCAGCCACTTGTGCAAGAGGTCTCCCAGAGAGCATTAAAGGGGGCATCGAAGTGGATATTCAGGTTATTTTTTTATGGTGCAAACTCGATCTACGCACCCTAAGTATCCTAGAAAACCTGAGAGCACAATCACGCGTGTCTTTCTCTGCCCTTAAAAATGCGACCAAACGTGACGGCACACCTTTCTCCTGAAATATATCCCAGAAAAAAGGCGTGTCACGGCGTTTGATCATGCTTTTGACAGGAAAAAAAAAGCTACCGCGTGATTGCAATTTTGGATCTTCTATGATGCTAAAGGGAGGTAGGTTGAGCTTGCGCCGTAAAAAGAGGTTCTCAAAGTCCACTTTAGTGCCCCTTTACTGACTGGGGCTGACGGGCCAAAATCACCTTTTTATTATCCGAAAGGATTGAAAACGATGCCTGGACATAACCCTCAATATTCGATAGGCGGCATGCAAAAATTTGCATGCCGCCTATCGCTTGTGAGCGGACAGCACTTCACTTTCGGGTTTGAATTTCTTTTAGGGTCCTTTCAGCGATCTCAAATACTTTGAAACGGTGTGAGGTTAAAGAGAATGCGCAGAGGACTTTTGCGAGTGACCTGAGGGGCCATGCCGCGCCGGTTCTGCGTGAAAGGCTGCCCCGGCGGATTCACAACCGAAACTACGGTACACATACACCAAACCCAGTTGGTTTGACAATTTCCTTTTCAAAGTCTGAGAGAGCATCGGGCACCTAAAAAATATAACTTTGTCCAATTTCCCGGTTCACCGATCATCCTCAGTGCTACATGCGTCAAGTGCCGCCATGTTTTCTGAAGGAGGATAAAAAGCCAGGAGGCGACATCACTCCAGACTCCGATATTCGGTATTTCATAAAGGGAGGCCGTAGTGCATTCGCAGTAGCGTTAAAAAATATGTTTTACGAATGCCGTTATTAAATATGACAGAAATGTTGCTTACAAAGCTTCTAAATTTTATAATAGATTATGTCCCAAATAAAAAGAAGGAGGTGAGGAGTGGGAGAGAAAAACATCAAAAATAAAAAAAAAGTGCACATGGTAAAATATTTTTTTTTTTTCCCGTTCTGGTATTTTTTTGCGTGGGTCAGAACGCCAAGTTCTGATTGGCTCTGATTAAAGAATAACCACCATGGGCACTCACTACTCATTGCCAACACTTAAATGTACAAAACAACTCATCTTGAAGTACAGAACAGCGAGTGGAACAAACATAACTGCAAAGGAATCGCATGGCGAACAAATCCGGCAACGCATTTCATCTGCTACGTGCGGAGACAAAAAAGAAAAAAAAAACCCGCACGGTCGGGTTTAGCCACGTGACTTCCGCCACTCACTCTCTCCTCTCCACTTCTTCGTGCGGTGCGGGAGTTTCGGTTTCAATTTCGAGCAGTTGCGTTTTTTGGCTTTATTAAAAAAATATGTGACTCTGTAGCAAAATATTATTTGGGTAGTATTCCGACAGCATAATAAATCGCCTGACAAAAAAGGAAAAAAAAAAATTGGGGGGGTGTCAGTGTCCCTTTAAGGTCTACCCACTATCCTTCAATGAGAGCCACTCAAAGCTCAGCGTTCTAACGTCACCACAACCCCTGCAAAAGATGCAGACAAACTTGCGCTCCGCATTATCACGTCTAGCATCCAGATTATTGTTCCTGCGAGACATTTTCGCAGCAATTGCCCACTTGCCATTAACCCAGCGTATTGCTTGTCAACACTAAATCACATTCAGAACCTCTTTAACCATCTTGACACATTGTTTGTTGACATCTTCAATAATGACCTCTTGTCGTTCGAGAGGAACATTCCACTTTTGTTCTAGTGTGTTCTTGCAGTGTAGTGTTTTTAATATTTTTCGTGCACTACCATTGTAGGCTCGTGGCTGTTGGTAAGACTGATTGATTGATTGACCAATCAATAAATCAATCAATCTTTACAATGCCTCGGCATACGGCCTCAACCCATCACACCTTGCTTCTGTTACTCCATTTCGTCGCCTATGTGGAGAGCTAAACTCAAGACGTGACACTTCGTGCACGGACGGCAAGGCATGCAGAAGCTCACCTTTGGTAGGAGCGTGTCCAGGAGAGACACGCACGGTTCATCCTCGTCCTTATCCGCATCATCCTCTGGGAGTCCCGCAAGGCTGCCGTCTGGGATATCTGAACAAACATCACAGCGTGCCTCACCACCGGTGGCAAAGCAATAGGAGAGCTTGCCTCGCTCTATTTCGCGTCGGGTTCAACCGCAGCCAAAACTACAATTTAATGGAGCCAATCGTGCGGTGCAAGAAGTCCGTCGCCTTGGCGCTCGTCGTCTTCGTGCGTTTGCCGTCTCCGGGTAAACCGGTCGCGCGCAGAAATATAAGCAAGGTCACGGCGCATTGGCCGGACGTGGTTGGTCTGGCCGGCGACGACAAACGCACAAAGACGATGAGCGCCGCAACAATGCACTTCTGGCGCTACTCAATCGGCTCCGTCAGAACACAGTGCTGGCTGCGGCCGGACGAGATGTGAAATATGGAACGACTCTGAGTATAGCAAACACTCCTCTCGTGAAAAACGCAAGGGTTGTCTGGCTTTCCGCCGCAACCTTGTATCAGAACCCCTTTGAATAGAGATAGATTTATTTAATTCATTATTTGTTTTCTTGTTCCCAACTGATTACAAAAGCTTGATAGTCTGAAATGAATACTGTGGAAGCTCACTTCGACACTCGCTAAGCAGTACAAAAAAAAAAAAGAATGTGTGACATGTACTTCGTTTTCTAAACTGCCACTGCCACTGCCACTGTCCCCCCCCCCCCCCCTACTTGTGAGTTACATCACAATACTAGAAATTGCCAGGAAATTTGAGCATTAATTTTGGCACCGCCTTCATTCGTCATTTTCTCAGTAGTTATCATGGATACTATATAGCTTGTTGCAAGGAGTAAAGACTGGGTAGTACTCAGAAGATGTATTTAGTCTAGTATATACTTAAAACAAACTCCAAGACAGGGGAAAAGGAAGGGACAAACACAATGAAGTCCGTTCGAGACTTTGTTGTGTTTGTCTTTTCTTTTCTTTTTCCCTCCTCTCGCTTTTTTTTTTTAGGTATGAACATTTACCAGCTAGCTTGTGCCCCAACTCTTATTTCAGTAGTTAGTCTAGGTTACTAAATAAAAAAAAAACGCTGAAGCACGTCCTCGTGGAAGCACGCTTAATATTTCAAGCATGTACTGTGAATCAGCTGGGCACATGCTGTATGTGTGTGACGTCATAAGGTAATGTGACACTTTGACTTGTGCGACGGCCGAGCGTAATTCTGACGCCTTTCTCGGGAAACCCAGCCCTATGAAAAATCCTGTGTAAAAGCACATGCTCCGAAACACCGAACGTCGCCGTATCCTTGTAAGTGCTCACCTGACGGAGGCCTGTGGACTTGGTCCTCGCCGAGAGAAGGAAGCAGATGCAGCTCTCTTCTCTCCCCGACGGGCGCGATGGGCAGTGCAGCGCCCCACGCGGGGACAGTCTCTTCCCCAAGACTCAGTCCCACTCCGGAGTCCAGGCTTGGGTACGAGTCTGCTCGGAGCCCCTTCTGGGGTGTCCAGGACCCACCGTTCGCAAACAAGCCGTCCCTTTCCGGGTTCTTGGCCTTCAGCTTGTCTGCATGCGGTGCAGCGATTGGCAAAGTGTAACCTATTGCGGTGGTTACGGAGATCAGACCCTATTGTACTCCGTCTCCCCTTACGACAAACTGCGGCCGAAGCTATGAGCCTTAGAAGCTAATCCGGAGCTCAGAATGTGTCATGTAACTGTGCACCCCTCCCGAAGGTTACGTGACACTCATTCAATTGGCTTCAACGGCTTGTAGCACTCACTGCGGTCCATTGTAAGGTGAAAAGGATTACCCCCAAAATTCGGCACGGGATATGACGCTTGACGGTGAATTCTGCTGGTAAATCCAGAGTTAGATTATACCTTGGGTTTTCTGGGCTTTCAGGTCTCTAAATTACCAGACCAAAAGCAAATTTTGGCCCCAAAAATTCTACTACCCAAGAACACAGTGCATTGCTGCCAACTTTTCACGATACACTGATTTTGGCAAAGCGGTTAAGGCACAACTGGGAGCACTACACAGGGTCGACACTGCTTCAAATCGTAGGGCAGTAAATGGCCATGTTAATCAGGATCTCCCAGTGGAAGATGTGCACCCCAAACATACTAGGTGTACATTCTTTACAAATAACTTCATTAAAAAAGTTAAGGCACTTCTTTAATCCACCACTCAGATGCCTTCATGCAGAATGCATTAAATTAAAATACTGCAGAAGCAGCCATCTCGTCCAAGCACCCACCATTAACATTTTTAAAACTAGCGAATTCTGCAAATTATACATTAAGCGACCTATTTGGCTGGACAAGTGCCCACGTCTAGATTAACCCAGTTTTCAGTGACAATGGTGAAGGCGCTCCCCCATTATTTTACGGAAGTTACATGTACTAAAATCTGAGCAGCGTGGCAATGTGATGTCATGCTACCAAATGACATTGTTGTGTCAAGTTGCGGTGTCATGTGACGGCACAGCGACATCACATTACACCAAGACTTGACATCCAACGTATCTACATCTAAAGCCCTGTTGACACCGTGGCATTGAGTGACATCACAACTTCGCACCCCCAGTGACGTGACCTGGCATGGCCTGATGCACGTCATGTGGTCACGGTATCCGTGGTGGCATGATGCACGTGACCCATAACAGCACACCACTAAACAGTCCCTTGTCGAAACCCCATCAAGCAACATTGGCAACATAGGCAGTTGCCATTTCTTGCGTGCGATTGGATCAGACTCTTCGCCGAACTCTGATTAGCCCTCTCGTCTCAACACGGGATCAGAGCGCCTGTCGAAACAATGACAGACCCGGATGGCTACAGAAATCCCAACTTTGCCTCTGTTAAAATCCATTCCGCATTACAAGAAAATACAACTGTTAACACGGATGCTGCGAAATCTGCGGCCTTATCGCAATGCATGAGCGCCCACCTCTGATTGGCGGAAGCAGCTTGTAGAGTACGTCCAAGCGCTCCGACTCTCTGAGCACTGCCACCAGGTGTCCCACGCTGTTGCTCTGGCAGCAAGCGTCCAGCCGCGGATAGAGCTCCTGCAGTGCCACCTGAAGCGGACGCAGGCTGACCCGCCGGGCACGCTCCTCAATGCCCTGCATCCAGCACAGTTTCTTCTTAGCCACGTGGGTTGGGGCAGGGGACCTTCGACAGCGTTTTCATATTGAATCAAAAGTCAAACTTTGGGGGTTTTTAAGTGCAAAGTTAATGGAGGGCTTCTAGCACTCCAGCAAAGGACTGAGGATTAATTTCAACCATCCGGGAACCTTCTGACATGGAGTTGATATCTCGGCTACATGCTGCCTTCTCCGCAAATTTCGATGGGAACCATGGGGCACATTCTCATTAGTTTGCAGTGTCAGCACCCTGCATCTGTGGCGGTCTAAAGACCCAACAAAAAGCAGAAACATCGCCGAAAAGCATCAGTGCGCCTTTGCACGAGAGAAAGACCACTGGGGCGTGAACACGCACGTCCCGAGGCTGGCGCTCTGACCAACCGTCATTCCCATTTCAACTGATCTCGGCGCTCGGTCACCGAGCTAGCTCCGAATTTGAAATAATGAGTAAATATGTTTTTATTTAAGTAGCATGGATGTCTATGTGTTCTCTGCTCTACACATCCTTTGTCCAATGTCAAATGAAAGTTTCCGAAAATCGCTTCTAACTCTGGAATAAGACAACAATTTCTGAAACCTTGGCTCCAGGTTCGTACCTCTAATGCTACACTTGGGTGGAAAATGAGCGTTCGACGATGCATAGCTTATCTTTGCGATTAAAAAAACACTGTAAATGTTTCCTGGGGGACACCCTGTGCATTGAATGAAAAGATTTTAAGGGTTTGAAGCACCAGCCGCCATTTTAAGCAATGGCCACTACTAGAGCTGGTACTATGCATGAATAAATTAACAAAAAACTGGCAGTCCCTTTGGCATTTTCCAAAGGTGAAAAAAATATGTAGCATTTATAGGGGCTCTCAGTAATGTGATTGGCCTAAGCAATTTTGGAGCACATTTCGGAGCAGGCAAGCAGTGTTTTGGAGCAGCAAATGTGGCTTTTTGAGCAACCAAAACAGTGTTTCGGAGCAGCAAAAGTGACTTCTGGAGTAGCCAAGACAGTGTTCGGAGCAGCAAAAGTAGCTTTTGGAGCAGATAGTCTTATAAAAATAAAAATATTAGTTTTAAGTGCTGTACAAATGAAGGACATTTTGTATTGTGTTGTGTTCTGATGTGAAGTGTTGTGACAGAGCTTGCTGCTTGTGTTTTTACTGCTGAGACATCTATAAGTATAGAGTAGTGTAGGCATTGCCGAGCAATTCCGAAAAATCGCTGGCCACCGTTTTACTGATTCCCAACGTGCCAGAATTTCGTCAAAAGTAAGCAAACGTAAAACAATGAATTGCAAAGCTTCCCGGCTGGTGCCTTTGTCGTGCAATCATGTCCGCATGCACGTGAGGGCAACTTCGGCAGGCTTGCAGTTGCGCATGCTTCGTCGTGCGAGCGGAGACAACCGCTGTTCGATCGAAATTATGTCACTCAGCTCTGTCGCCAACTGATTCCCAAAATTATTTCAAAATAAAAACTGTCGAGCATACAAAAAAAAAAGTCCCACAGCGCGTGTTTTTTAGGCTGGCAAACAAGATACAATCTAAACACACACACAAGAAAAAAGAACCGGAGCGCATTGATGCAAGACATCACGAGCCAGGGTCAAAACGTTCTTGGAGCGCTTCGTGCAACGACGGAACTTGAGACAAACAAGCGCGCTGTGCGGGTTCAGCTTGCATACATTGCCTACTTTGTTATAGCTCCCTACCCTTCACCAACTTTCTTTCGCAGCAGATTTTTTACATACAGGGGTCCCTCTCAAAAGAAAGCCCACCGAGAGAAACTATAGGTAATCAATACCTCGACACAGCAGTCTTTATAGAGGGATTTGTGTAGTAGCGTATGATTTAAAGAAGAACAGGACTGTTGATGAACATGCGGCGGTATCTAGTTGCATTTTAGAAAGCGCCATATCTGCAGCGACGTGGGGACGGCAACACCCGACGTCGCGCGACCACGGTGACTGGAAGGCAGGACCCAAACATTGCTTTCAGGAGCGAGTGCTTGATCAGCTCAGAAAGTAACACCCGCCGCGCAAAAACGTGGTTTCGTTTCAGAGCATGACGGCATGGCTGGTACCCGGCACGCTAACGTCGGAGCGTCCGCACACACCCGCGTCTATCGTTGAAAATATTTTAAAAAAAGATACGCGACGAGACCCATGAGAGCGCGAAACGCGAGATGACGGCAAAACCATGCAAGCGGCCGCTTGCGCCACGTAACACACGCATGCTCAGTCACGGTACTCAGTTTAGTTCTGGTTTTGAAAGGCGACCGGAATTGTTTTGGCACATGCTTGGTGCAGATTACCGATATTTTGGCAAAATATAGCAGGGTTAGCCCCTTGGTGCAGTTTGGCACAGCAATCACATCACTGGGCTCTTCACACTCCTCCTTTTGTGGGCACAGAAAGAGGCCACTTAAGAACACGTATTGAGGGTTTTGTGAACATATATAACTGTCTCCGAGTCGCATGACATGACATCACGTCATGGTATCACCTGAAGTTAGTGTCCCCCTTTTCCCCCCCGAAATGCAACCGGCTTATAAAATATACATTTTGTCAAGTCATGGACCAAGACATGGACATCCCAACCACCCTAGCCCTCACAACCCCACCAAAAAAATTCCTGGCTACGCCACTGCACCTGACGTCACAGAAAACCTGTAAATACCATGCATTTAGATAGAGATTTAGTGTGCCTTTGGGATGATGTCACAGCACAGCTTCCACGCACAAGAAATGCTATGCATACAAAAAACCTTGAAGCAGAGACGGTGCTTGTGAAGCACTCCGGGCGATGGCCTGTGCCGTCTTAAAAGACAAGCGACAATGCCAAGAGCCAAGGAAGATGAAGCAGACATACCTCCAGCTGCGTGTCGGGGATGCCTAAGCTGGAGGCAAGCAGCTTCCACGTAGAGCCCAGGAAACAGTCGGCCACAATGCGGCTCATGTGAGCGGCCACCTCACCGAAAGGTATGGCGTCTAGCCGCCGCTGGTTCTCCTCGTAGAAGGACAGCAGACGGTCCCTGTCGTCGCTCCACTCTTTCTCGGCCAACCGCTCCAGCTTGGAGCCTTTTGGTGCAAGGCGACAGGAAAAGAAGAACGAGGACTTGTAATGCTTCTCTTATCTGCTTAAAGGCCGACGTACAACCTCGGTTTTCTGCAGGGAAGATAATCCTCTTAACGCTCCCCTCTCCTAAGTTGCGAGGGGAGCCAAGTTGGGACAAGGTAAGAAGTGGAGAGGATATAGGAAAGGAGGAGGCCGGCAAGAGTGGGAAGCGCGAAGTGTACGTCGGCCTTTAACAGGGGTACTCTGGCGTTTTCCTAATGGTCCCCAATTTGCCTCGAAATTGAGCGGACACACCAACAAGCATTGTTGAGATCTATGGTACATGAAACGCGTCTGCGACTGGTGTGTTTAGTGTCCAGTAGACTACTCGCCAAATCTCTTCAGCGCACCGGCCCACACTCGAGAAATCATGGGAACGGTGTTCCTTCAGTTCCCTAGTGATCGGTAATTTCGACCAATTTGATGCTTACACACTTTTGAGTGTAGTTTGGAGTTACCCTGAATAAGCGTCATATACATTGCAGATACCGGTCATATCACTTTTAAAATTCTGCGTCAATCAGCGATTTTGATGCTGTGCATGCCATCCACCCTGCAGAAATCTCTCACAATATTATCATTCTCGTACAGCTTCAAAGACGCTAAAATTCTACAAACAACCCCACTGACTCCGAGCGAAATCCTGGTTTTGGTCGTTGCAAATTCTCAGTAAACAGTAGTAAACAAAAAATCAACAGAGTATTTGACTGCAACTGGCTGCACTCTGCAGCCTTTACTTTTGTGTGGTCTTTTTTGAGGGAACGTACCGGCATGCTGGCACCATCTATGGGGGCTCTGGAACTGCAGTTCACTAGACTGAAGGCTTTGCAGTATTTGCTAAATGAAATCCATGCATTATGCTACAAGGAATGTTCGCTTATAACATTGCCGGAATTACTTCAAGCCCATAGTGAGAGCATGATACGTAAGGAAATGGAAAATATACAGAAATCGCGAGGGTTCCAGGTTCCCAACAGATAGCACCAATCTGCTCTCTCGTTATAAGGGATCACGAGGATGCACAATGTACTCGCTTACAAGCAAATGCAAGTGTAAACTAGCCTTTATTCGTTGAACTACCAGCATATTTTTAGGACTACGGTCCATGGGCTATTTATGTATAAAAGTTGAAATTTTATGCAGCGTGGACTATCTACAGGTGAGGAGACTATGCAAGAATTTGTTTGTTCGAAGTCATTCATTAGGACGAGACGTGATGGCTTTTGCGAATGAAAGATCATGGAAGTGATAATTTCTGCGGGATACAAGCTTCTTTGTGTACTAATAAAGCGGCCACTTTTCAGTCTGTGCCTTGTACGATATTCTTTCTTTACTTGCTGTCTAAGGATTTTTTTTTTCTTTCTCTGCTGAAATTTATGTTTGCAATCCAGAAAATATGGTAATTGGCAAACATTTATAGGCGTTTTCTGGTAAGTATGTGAACACTCGACATACTACATGTTATGTACTTCAACTCATACAAGGTTAGATTGAAAAGTATCCAAAATCGCCGCTGGGGTGTTTTTTTTTTTTTTTTTCCAAAACATTTTAAGTCTGATTTTAACAAGCACTCTAGTCCAGCAACCATGAATATTTTCAATGATGGATGAAAACAATGATATACGAGCGGTCATCAAATCTATTTTTATTCGGAGGGAAAAACTGCGACGGAAATTATATCTACGTTGAATGCTGTTCTTGGGGACTCATCACCTTCTTTTTTATACTGCGAGTTTTCGGGTTTCCGAATTCGAGCGTGGTTGTACGGACACAAGTGATGAACTGCGGTCAAGAAATCCAAAAACAGTCACCACACCAGAAATTGTGGATAAAATCCGTGGCTTGGCTTGAGAAGATCGCTGCATAAAAGTGTGTGAAATTGAGGAAGCAGTGGGCATCTCTTCTCAACGAGTTCTTCACATTTTACACAATGAATTGAGATTAAATATCTGTAAGATGGGTGCTGCACTTGCTCAATACGGAGCAAAAACGCATTTGAGCCCGAACGTCTGCCGACAGTTTGCAAGTGTTTCAAGCAAATCTAACGGATTTCAAGTGACGATTTGTAATTATGGACTAGACCTGGATTCACCCTTACATGTCGGAGACAGAAGGTCAATCGAAACAATGGACTAGGCCCAATGAATCGGCTCAGAAGGAGGCAAAAACCATTCAGTCGTCTGGCAAGGTGATGGCATCAGTTTTTTGGGACACCAAAGGAATTTTGCTCATTGATTATCTTAAAAAAGGAAAACCTGTTACTGGCCAATACTAATAACACTTCTGGACAAGCTGAAACAAGTAATAAAATTAAAAAAAAAAAAAACTCCCGGGAATGGTCAAGAAACAGGTGTCGATTCGTCATGACAATGCACCCACCCATTCAAGTGCAGTCACTAAGCAAAAACTGACAGAACTGAAGTTAAAAATCCCTTTGCATCTACCGTATTCACCTGATTTGGCTCCCTTCCATCCATTCCCAAAGCTCAAAACCTTCCTGGCTGTGAAGAGACTTATGTCAAATGAAGGGGTGATAGAGGCTGTGAACAGTTATATTGGAGATCTCAAAGAAAGTCATTTCCAGGAGGGAATCGAAACGCTGGAGAAACGCTGGACCGAGTGTGGCGAACTTTGGGGGGATGATGTCGAAAAATAAAGTATAACTTGAATCAGATTTACGTTGTTTTCATTTTTCATTCCGGAAACTTCAATCTACCCTCGTAGATAGGTATTTATTTGTGCTCGGAAGCACAGGTGCCGCAGGAAGGCGTGCAGCCCGTACAAGTGCACGTCTAGACATTGATGATGTAATGATGACGTATGGTGAGGTATCACCAAGAGAGAGGTGTGGTTATGTGCTCGATATTAGGCGTTAGTTCCACCACACAAATGTGTCACGATAAATGCAGTGTGCAAAGGTATGATAATATATAGTAAATAAACAACCCAGAAAAACAAGATACAGTACAATCGTAACCTTGCATCACGAAGCAAATGAAACGGTGGAGATATTTAACACTGCTGCAGTCAGACAAAAAGGGTATTTTCCCTTACATCGCCAAACGATTGCACCTTTTTGTTTCTTTTTTTTCTCTCTCTCTCTATATATATATAGAGAGAGAAAAAATATATTGTGAAAATTTACAGCAGCTGAGTGAGCTGTAGTTCACTCAGCGCATGACCACAGCCAACGTCATTTCGCCGTATAGGCCCCTTTCAAAAAATCTGGCAACAGCGAAAATCCGCTGAACGAGTCCAACAACATTGGGCGGCCGGCGCCATTGGGAAGGACTCCGTTGCGGCCGGCATAGTTGTTTTGACTGTAGCGTTCTTGTTTCGTCGATCCCTTCGCCTCTGTATAACTGCAGGTAGCGTTTTCCCGATCACGGGTTGGGTAAACGACCTTTCCCAGCTCTCAGCCGTTAAAGATGATAAGGTATATCGCTTCTTCAAGAGCCGATCGGACTCGGAACGACAATTCGACAGAAGTTACAACTTCCTCGTTGAGGGGTTCGTTGTCGCCGCATCTATAAAGGCCAACTACGCAAGAAAAAGGTAATTACTAAGATATTTGTAGTTACGACATCAAACATGTGTTAGTATACATCAGAAAACGATAGGAGCCAATTATAATTTACGGGCTGTAGTTAGAAGTCGCCAGTACTCTCCGGATGTGCGACGAAACAGGCGCAGGGGTCCCGCTTCGCTGTCGCTCGGACAGTCGCGCGATGAAGTCCACCACATAAAAGCGACGAGCGAGCGACCAAGGCCATGAGCGTCGTTTTCTAGAAATCCCAAGCCAAGCGACGCGACAAGCGACAGTAGAACATTTTCGTCACTCGTAGCCGACTTTTGTCGCTTGTGCCGTCGCTCGACTCGTCGCTCGTCAAATCGCGTTTTTTACTTGGAATTAAGACTTAAAATTTCAATGCGCAAATTAACCAGTAAAGGACGTATTCGACGCAAGTTCCTACTTGATACGTCGAGTCCCTTTTTCTTGAGAAAGATTTTAGAGCTGAAATGTAGAGCAGCAAATTTTGCAGTGAAGCAGAAGTTGCAAGCGCGTGCATGTTGCTTTGCATAAAGCATACGCTGCACAGATGTCTGCGCTACAGGCAGGTTAAAGCGTCAGGTCGTATGGCTTCATGCGTACCTAACATATAATTTACACGCGCAAGTTCGAAGCACCGCGAGCTAGTGCATACCTGAAGCTAGGCGCTCGCGAAGCTGTCACGTCCACAAGCGATACCACGAGCAACATTATATTTGTATTTGACGCTTCGATTTCTTCAAACTAGCTGAAACTTGAAAACTCTACCTCCAAACGCAACAAAGTGAGATTAAAAACACCTGACTCAAACACCCAAGGAGCGTAGCGTAAGAACGGTTCATGTTCCGTTTTTGCACTTCAGCAGGGAAACGTTTGCGCGGCTACGCCGCCGTCAACCGATAACGAGTACTTTCAGACTTGTCCAGATACCCACTCTGCTTACAGAGGGGTACGCAGCAGTACGTTGGCATCGTGGGCAGGAATTGACTAGCGTCTACGGCCAACGCAGCGTATGCAGCGGCGTGCACTATCCTGCAGCATGGCGGCTGCCACTAGTTGCTGTTGCGTACGACAGGTGGCGCTTTTTTCTCTGATGGGTCTATTAGTGCACTGATCCCTTTCATTGAACGTTAGTAGGTTAGTACTGCGGCGTTCTGACAAGCCCCAGAAGTGTGCGATACGAGCGTGACCTGTGGAGATTTAGCTAAAATTCGTTGACTCACTCCAAACATACGCCACTAGAAGATCTCAGCGTTTCGCTCTCAATTTACTCCACATAGATAGTGTGTTCGCTTAAAGGCCGACGACCAGACTCCAGATTCTGCAAGGCAGAAGATCCTCCTCACCATGGGGGAGGAGGAAACAGGCAACGGTGGACAGGGTAGATGGGGGAGAGGAGGAAGCGAGGGAAAAGTGGAAAGCGCGAAGTGGTCGTCGGTCTTTAAAGAATGCGAAACCAAGGTGATAGATAATACAAAGCTGGTATGTTCCGTTTTGCAACGATAACACTCCGCTGAGGATGCTTGCAGAAGTATAACGAGAGTTGCCGTCCGCTAAGCTAATTACGGAAACAGACACACACGAGCGAGACCCAATCCAGACAACAAAAGGTTATTATTATTATTATTATTACTATTATTATTACTAAATTTTACCCATAAGTGCGATCGGTGCGAGAGCATCAATCGTTTACTTGAAGCGAGTTGTTAACCGCTCTTACATTGAGTTTCTCCTGGTGAGACAGCTTTGCCGTTGAACACAGTCCTTTCTCCAGCATCCATGTTTGCTGTCATTAGGTTTCCCAGGACACAACCGCCCCGCAAACAAGGAATTTACCTCTCGCACCTGCACCTCAGCCACATGAATGCCGCCATTTTGAAAGTTAGTCGGAACAGGACCGCACAACAAAGCAAACGGAAGTTGGCGCATTCATTTTTGTTCGCCTTTTGTATTATTTATAACTATAATTTAATTGTAAATGTTTATATTAAAGTAATTTTTTTTTGGTTATTACTGGATGTCTAAAAGTTTGTTAGAAATAAAAAACCGAATCAGTTTGTGCGGACCTGTTACGGGGGCCGTATACGCTCCAAGACGTGTTTCCCCAGTGTGTGTCTGTGTGTGTTGGCTCAGAGGAATGCCTCCGAATTCGCGTCTTCCCCGCGCCGTAGGCCATCAAAATGACCCATGTGTCCGCGCCGCACCGCGTCAAAGTTAACGCAAACCCATGACGCAGGTGCGTGCCCGAACCGCCGGACTTACGCGCACCTGAAAACATGAATTGGCCCCGACAGCACGGATACGTCCTAGCACTGTGCCTACTACTCGCCGACTGCATCTGTACTGCCGACCGCGCGCTAGAGCGCCAACAGTCCTCGGCCAGTTTGTACAAAAGTGACAGAGATGCCTCTTCGGACTCCGGTCAAGGCGCACAGTCGGCGGGGGAGAAAGGTAAAAAAATCATTTAACCCCTCGAACCCAGCTCCCCCCCTCGACCTCCTCTTCCCTTTAAAAAGTTCGTCCTGCGCTTGTTCGTCGCCACCGAGGCGAAGGTGCCGCTAAGAAGTCAACCATGCATTGAGTTAGTTGCCTGGCTGGCGCGCTCCTCGTACTCTGCGCTCTTAATTAGTATATTGGAGTTCGTGTCTGTTGCCCATGATCGCTTGCGTAACGACGTACCCTCTCCAGTTTTGTCTTTCCTCGCGGCTTCCTTTTTTTTTTTTTTTTTTTTTGTACGTTAAGCGTTTAGGGTTTTTTCGGTGCATTGCACGCACGTTCGTTGCTCATCGCCGTATAGTTGCGGTTTTATTGTTACTATCACATAACGCGTGATTGTGGTATGGTAGCCTATGCTGTCACACACACAGACACACAAAAAAAAACAACGAAATGAAATTAACTTCCGAAATACCTTGCACCCCTGAATGGCGTATGACTTGTTAAGAAACCAAATATCGCTTCAGGCGTTCGAAGTTTGTGTGCCTCATTCAAGCTGCTCCGTTCTCTAGTGTGTGACGCCTGTTGAAGTGAGCTCTTTTCATTCAGATCTGTAAAAGGGAAGGAAGAAAAAAAAACTTTTTTTAGACAAAAGGGGGGGGGGGGGGGGGGGGGTGCGTGAAAATACTGCGGGAAACGACAATACAACAGGTTAGGAATCTTGTCGGCTAGTCGAGGTGCCACCGCGCGTCTAAAAAGTTCCACTCACGCGTGTCTGTTTAGAAACGTTTGTCGCAAGACGGAAATGAGTTCTTGTGTATAAAAAAAAAAAAAAAAAGAAATAATAATGAGTCGTCCGGTTGTGCGCGTTCGTCCGTTGGCGATACCGTGACGTATAGTTGCATCGAAACGCACGGCTTCGCAAACTTGCCAACTGTTTCAAAAACGTAACTCCCCCTCCCCCCCCCCCTTTTTTTTTTCTTTTTTTTTTTTTTTACACGTAGCATTGACTAGTTGTTTTGTTCTCTTGGAATGCTACGAGCAAACTAAAGTGACCTTGACCTTAAAAAAGATGGGGCAACAAAACGTTTATGAACGGCGGTCAACAGTCTCGAAAACTTAAAATCCGACTGCCTCAGAGTTGTTCTAAGGCTGTTTCTCTTCCCTTCACACCCTCCCTCTCTTTCATTCAGCATTTTTGGGGGAGGGGAAAGTGGGGAGGGGAGGTGCATTTAATAAGGACAATGGAGAGACCCTTTAGAGCGTTAAAGGAGGCAGCGACGAGCCAAAGCAACCATCGTGAAGTTTCTCTCGCTTGGGAATTGCTCTCGTTGGTGTGGTTGCCCTTTGCTTTGAAAGTGGCGTGCGTTCTGATTGTTTGGCCTCGTTCGAGTCAGCAAACTATGTGCAGGCGAATGCCCAGCGGCGGCCTTTCTTGCTGAACTCGCTGAATGTTGTGCAGGGGTTTGAACAGATACTCAAAACGAGTCTCAAGCTAGTCAGAGCCATCTATAGAAAGGGTCTGGTCAATGGGAGGCGCGGGCAGAGCCAAGGCATCCATCAGACGCAGAAAGAGGGCTTGACATGCTCTCTTGGCCAACCAGAGGCTAAAAAGAATCCCCTAGCAGCGGTAGCGAGAAACAGTTTTATTCATAGGTATATGGTTTTAATAAACGCGTAAGAGTTAAATGTAGTAATCCTTCCTGGTTGAAAATAGGGTGCACGCAATGTTTTGATTATAATCACGCAGAAAGATGTAAGGAACGAATGTACCGCTCAAACTCTGTTTTTGCTCGGACGGCAGGCTCTTGGCCCTCGGCCGGGAATTCGCCGTCCACTCAAAATCTCTCGGCCGCTCAAAAACTATGGCTTTGGCAAAACCCTAAGATTTGACCAGAATCGCGTCCTCTTGAAAGGCGCAATTGCGAGAGAATCTTCTTTCCTTGGCATTTGCAACAATATGTTTGCCCGGTAGTTTATTTTAAAACCAAACATTTATTCAGCAACAAATATAAAAAAAAAAATAGATCAACAAGCTAATGGAATCTGGTGCCTTGCCTCCGTCCCATGGGGTGTGAGGTTTTCCAGCGTCTTCACTTGAAAAAGTGCACTTCAGATGCATCCTGTCCCCTTCGAGATCGGTCAGAGAATTTGGATAAAATTGCCAGGATAAAAACCTAGACGGAGGCAGCAATTCGACAACATTGTTTTGGTAGACACCGCATTAAACGCTGAAGTCAGAGTTACCCAATTGTCACCAGTCTTACAAATGTGATAAAAAAAGCTATGACGTGCATTAGGTACGTGGCCGGGTAGCATGCTGCGTAAGTCGGCGTTGGGCGGAGAGCTAGTTAACAGAGCCAGGCAGAGACAGACAACAAAACAAGTGTTTTGTTGTCGAAATTTCTCGTCGACCTGTTGTTATCCCGAGATGTTTCTTTTAATAATTTGTGTTACTGTTGCACTTAGAGCACCACTTTAATCTAGCATTTCGTAGGACTTTTCTCAGGCTTTCAGAGCTTCCTGAATATTTTCTCTCGTGTTCGTGCACAGTGATTCTCGGCAAAACTGTTGCTTGGTAGAGGATTATCTGATTCCCCGTGATTATCAAGTGGCCATGCACAGGACGGTGCGTCTTGCCAAGTTCCATCTCATTGCAGGGGCCATGGAATGATTATCCACCTTGTTCCTCCCCAGCTTTGCTACCCAACTCAAAACCGCATCGTGATGTGCTTGGGCACCAGTGCAATGACTCCAAGTTTCCCCCGTGCTTTTCAAGCACACCATAGAACTTGTCATTCACAAGCAATGATAAGTGCCGTTACGGCGCTCATTGGCCACGAACGCGAATCCAAATATTCGTTGACGGATTGATTGTTGACGAGTGTATACATCTGAGTGACGCAGTGATCGTCTCCAATGTGTGAGCTGGGGTCGGCTGACATGCTTTGTGTACCGCTGATGTATCGCAGTGAAAAGGTAGAATAGTCCGTTATATTTTCCAATTTTCCCACTGAAAAGCAGGGTTTTGAGTTTGTCCTCTTTATTTTGGCCCACTAAACAATATGAGATTGGTCAGATTCCAATCTAAAATTATTTATCCTAGTCAAAAATAATTTCATATCTTTTTAAGATTGACTATTTCTTCCAAGATTATTCAATTCATGGACCTAAGCCTACATGAACTCAGTCAAGATAAGGAATCTGAAATTTGAAATGAGCATGCTAAGGGGGTGGTGTTTGATTTGGACGAAAGAGGGGACATTTTGTTTTTTGTTCGTTTAGATCCTTAGAAAGTCAACATACAGCAAATTCCAGCCCATTGACTTCCTACTGGCTTACTTATCATGCAGTGGCATCATTTCATTAATTGCATGCACATTTTCCTTGTAATGTTTTTACTGCCTGTTGAAAAAAATGTCGGGTCTTCTCGAGAAGGTCACAGAGAATGTTGTCCCAAGCGCCAGCTTAGGTTCCCCGAGATACCCCAGCCGTAATGAAAACCATAGGAAATTAGAGGGCCAAGCACGCCAAGAAATTCGGCCAAAAAAATGGGGGTGTAGGACAATTTGGGTTCAGACAATTTGGTCCCGAGTGCAAACCTGGACAAAATGATCCCAGTTAATTTTTTCGCCACTTTGGGCGCTGTCTAAAATGTCGCTGATATCTGCAGCGATTACTTTTAAGGTGAGTGATAGAAATGGAATACGGTCCATTCGTCACATGTTGATTCGTCATAGGGGGAATCAAGGCGATTTATCATGCAGATACCGCATGTTTTGATGCAGTGTTAGGAAATAACAATGGAAATAAAAATGTTTTTGAACACATGACACGTTTTGTCATGTTCCAACAAAATGTACGATCTTGAAGTGGCACTTTGTGTGGGAACGTGTTAATATGGCGCACGTCCTTTAGAGGGTCATTTGTGGTACGGCTCCCTTGTACGTACTGTGTGACAATTGTTAGAAGTCGCTGTTGCTTTTCTTGATAAACTGGTTCAAACTCAAGTTGAACGCATGAAAAGAAGAATGAATGGTGAAAATTATGCACAAAAAATATAAAGTCTAGATTGACAAACAGCTCACAACATAAGTATTTTGCGAATCACATTTAATAACAAACTTATGAAGACCAAGCAATAAAAAGGTAACTTCAAAATGACCAATGGCTCGTCATAAGTGTTTAGCAAAAATAAATACACGTAATATACAAACCTGTGAAAAGCAAAAGAAAGAAAAAAGCCGTGAAAATGACTTGGGACCTTTTTGTCCGGTCTGGCACTTGGGACCATTTTGTCCGGGACCATAATGTCAGAGACCATATTGTCCGGATCCCGAAAAATAGTGCAGCTTATTGAGTTCCAATGGGCTCTTTTTACTTTCAGTCTTCTTCGACTAGCATGTGTGAAAAGCCCGGTCTATTTTTGTTAATACATAATCAATGCTTTGTAAACAAACGAGTCCTGCTTGTTGCACTCCATGAACTACATGCTCTGCAACATGACTGACAGGTCTGGTGGGGTGGGGACTGTTTTGACACATCATTATTTTGAATCGGTTGACCGAGTAATTTTTTAATAAAGTTCTTTCGTTTCCCAAAACAGTTGAGGAAACCGAAGTGTTTCCTTAACCGTTTCCAAAGTGGAAACAAAAGGGGTATCTCCGTAAGGCTAGACACGACACTTACTTCCTTGCCATATTTACGGTGACTTCCAAGAATAAATTGGGAAAGCATTTATCTCTGAAAAGTGGGGAAAATGTGACAATTGTCTGCACTTCTTTCGGTTGAAAGTTTTGTATTATCTAGTGCGGCCCAGGTGTTTAAAACCTTCAGCCGATTGTATTCTATCTGTCTAAGGGTGTACAGTGCAAAAGGCAGCATTATAGCTTTTCTTTTTCCCCATTTCTTGCCATTTGAGAAGTTGGCAGGTGACATTAATTTTTTCTTTTGTGGCTAAATTTTTAGGAGTTTTTAACTTTTTCCTGACCACAGGAAGAGTAGCAATTTTCGAGGGATTCGTGCAACTGCTTTTATTTTCCCAACTAATTTGCGTATCTGACACATCAAAATATGGCCAATTAGTCGTTCTTTCAAAAGAAACAGATGTTTGTATAATCTGAAAAAAAGATTTGAATATTTAATTTCTTAAAAATACAATGTATGTGCATTTGGCATATAATTGGCAAAACTTCAACAATTATGTCAAAGTAAACGACAAAAAAAAAAAAATTAAGAACATACAAAATGTGCCCTGCACTCACGGCTATTACTTCTGAAAGTTAGTGTAATCTAACTGTAGTTGTCTATTTTTGGTTCGTCGGAGAGTGAGCCTCCATAACATGCCTGCTTTTCAGCGAAGGAATGTTTATATCGGTGAAACACAGATAGTACACCTCACACCCCCAGCAGAATGCTTTCGTTGTGTTCCACTTTGCTTTGGTCATAGCCTTGATTGCAGCTCCTTCATATTTATCATTTTGCTCACGTTGTTGGATACATAAAACAGGCACACCGGCTCGGGACAGAATTGGAAGTTATAGTGACGCTTACCGACAACCATCTGTTAAAGGGATGCTGAACCGAAATCTGGATTCCCCAAAACACGCGGCAAAAGCAAGCAACGGGATGCTACAAACACCAAAACATCACTCATACAGCGATATCTAAAACGGATAGCCGTATTTTAAAAAAAAAAAAGAGGCGCATTTGGCAGGAACGTTGACGTCATGTTTCTCTGAGAAGGAGAGGGAACGGCCTCGCATCTTCTCCGCCTCGCGGCCTTGAGGGAGCGAAGCGAAAAGAGGAGGAAACTAGATATCCTGACGTCACGCGCCTCGTCGGCCTGGTTCAATCTCGACTTCTTTTTCCAAAAATACGGCTGTCTATTTGAGATATCGCTTTACTAGTAGTGTTGTAGGGATTGTAGCGTCCCGCCTACATCTCCAGCATTGTTTTTTTTAAATCCAAATTTCGGTTCACCATCCCTTTAAGCGATGCCTACTGTCGAGACCGGTTATAACGAAATAGCGGCTACAACAAAGCGATCACGATTTTCCATTCCCTTTTGCACTTCGTTAACCGCAGTCGGTTATGACGAAATGGCAGATTTAGTGAAGTGATTTCCGATTCCTGTTGACTTCGTTATAACCGGTCTCGACAGTATAACATCATTTAAAGTTTCCCGACAGCTCTTTAGGTCTAAAACATATGCCACAATACAGTTGAGTTATGTAAATAATGCCCCTTCTTTGTTTTGAAGACTGATGCAAGCGGTCAGCCGAGTTAGACAGGTGCAACCACCGTTCCCAGGACTATTTTTGACAGCCCACCAGCTTGTGATAAAGTTCAAACCTACGTTGAATTGGAACAAAAGTTCTTCGGCTACCCACGAGATTGTGGAACATAATTCTCTACACTAAATTAAATTTTTTGATGGCGCTTAAAAACCATTGATTACCAATAATCGATGGCCTATGGGCGCGGTCGGGAAATATTTCAGTAGACCGTGGCAAAGTACCGATAGCATATTATCCGGAGGGTAGTCTGCAGGAGCAAATATTGGTTAAAGGAAAAGTTTTTCATTAGATAGTCTAAGATACAAAGACGCTCATGTCATACATAAATCATCTCCTTATAACGAGCGACCTAGAAAAAAAATTAACCTTCGTATGGTCCGAACCTGTAGAAGGTCCAGAAACTACGGTATCTTACGACTCTGCCTCGAGGCGTCCGTCTGGTGGACATAGAATGCAGGTCTCTTTCGTGTTGCACGACTGCCAGATGTATATTTCTGATTTTTTCAGGGGGCAGCGCTACATGCGAAAAGGTCAACGCCTGTGACGACCTGCTTGGCTACGAGGCGATCCAAGCTCTACATCAGCAGCTGGACGATGACGACAACGGAAGCGTGGACGTCGCCGAAACGGACGAGGTGAGTGCATTCCTTAACATTGGGTTCTGCGGACTGACGGATAGGCGAGCAAAATACGACCGAACTCGTGGAATTGGGTAGCAGCATGCACCACCTTGTAGCAGTAACAGCTGCGCCGTTTACCCGAAGCCACTCTATTTCAGCGCCACACTCTCGGCACGTGTTATAGTCATTCACAGGACATCTGTTTTGAATGCCTGAGCTCCATCACGCGCTCAATGCCGTCAGTCGTGCATTTGTTGCGTGTGTGTGCTCGAGGTTCGTGAGGTGCCAAAAGTGTCAACAAAGGTAAAGAGCTCTGGCTGGAAGAGGGATATAGATCAAAGACCTCCCTGGACATCCTCACCCTGTGTCTGACTATAGGGAGCCGCCTAATTTGAGGGCGCTTTTTAGAGCACATGCTCAGAGCGAACTCACATTTAGTAGGCTGTCTAGACCGGCAATTTTGATGGTGTGGAATGCCCCTTGCAAAGGAACTGTGGAAGCATGCCATCAGCACACGCCCAGCAGTCGCGCAAACAGCTATGGATGCCAGTGAACACTCCTTGTAGGCACAAATGAAGTGTTAGCGTCCAACACAGATTTTCTTCCAATCGCCGAGCTGGTGGGCACCAATGGCACTGAGCTCAGATTAGATCACGCTCTACACATTAGAAACGGCGTCTGAAGCACGGTGCCCTCTAGTTATAGTGAGTGGGGATTTGAAAGAAGGCAATTCTGTACACCTCCGATAGCTTGGATAGGGACAGTCATTGTACCGGAATGCGTCATCTGAGCACCGCAGTGTGATGCACTTCGACAACGCTTTGACTGGCAGACACGCTGCTCCGACCCAACCGCCCGTTTACACAGAGGCATAAGGCGCCTTTTAATATAAAGCTTGGCTCTCACTATGTGAAAATCTCTTAGTAGGTTTTGGCTCCCAACTCACTGAGTCATGAACAAAACCCTTTTTTGGCTCACATGACTCAATAGAGTTTATATCTCCTTACCACAAGAGTGATGTGCCCTCATCTCAAGGACGTGTCTTTATTCAGCGAAGTCGCAGTATAACGCCTCGTGACTCGTTGCATATGTCACGGGAGCATGACTCTTCATGCTGCCATGACTGCAATGCACTTCATGGGAGCATGACTCAGAAAATGACCTAGAATTGGGGAAAAGCCCATTTGGAAATAACGAAGTTAACCCTGTATGACGGTACTCTAGAAAAATGCAAGTAAACATTGGCCCTCGCATCTGCACCAACAGTGCTGCCCTGTGTACATACAAGCGAGTCAATAAAAAAAAATAAAGAAACACAGTAATAGCAGCTTGGTGCTCTTCTCGGAAAATTATTCGTACAGCTGTGTCTTTCCAAATCCCAGCATTTCTTTTTTCTTTTTTTGTGCAAATGTTTGTTGTTTAGGTTGACCTTTTCTGCCGAGTTCTGTCATTGTTTGTTTTTCTTTATATTTGTTTTTTCACCTGAGCTTTATGCGTGAAGTGTTCTGGCTTGTTTAGAGAATAAAATACTGTCTGCGCAACCCATCGAACCATGCAGCAGCGGCATTTCTCGGATGTTCCCGCCTTCCTTAGGCCTTGGCTGTTGTTTTCTGTTTTCAAACAAAAGCTGAAATTGTTTCAGTGTCTCTTTAAAGAGAAACTCTGCTGGCAGAGAGGACTCTGAACTCGGGACTGAGTGAAATCATATGCAGAGATGGAGAGGGCAACACATATTTTAATATGCTGCACTATTAAAATTACTGGTAGAGGGGTTCTATTTGTTAAATGCTTTGGAAAACAAGAGCTTCTAAAACTCTTTTGCATTGGGGACTCGTCGATGGTTTGCAATAATTCTTGATTACAGGATAGTAAATTTTTATTGTGCCACCTATGTACAGTTGCAGGGCATGAGTCAGCTTCTCTGGTCCTATGTGCTCTAAGTTTTTGTGAAGATAGAAATTAATGATAAACATGCTATGATACTTAATTCTCAACCTGCTGAAATATCTTTGTTAGGAATTATTTACAAAAAATTTCTCCTTTGTCTGCCACACGTCTCGCTAAACCTTATTCCGAGACGAAAAACAGCATTTAGGGAATTTGAGGAGACCACAAGATACTTGGAGCAGCAATTGCCCTTGCATTTGTTTTATTCATTCCCATAGTTTTGTCAAAAGCAAATTATATGCCACCGCTGCCTTCGGTTAAATTTGACTTTTGTGTGAAAAGCAGGTTTAGAGAAGCAAATATTTGCTCTTGATAGTCGTTGCGTCCTCACGAATGAAGCTTTGCTGGTCTGAAGCCACCGTTGAGGACTAAGTAGTCAACTCTGCTTTGACACTTACTTCCTGGGTCATGTGAGCTCCCGACCAACTGCCCGAAATATTTTCAAGTTATAGTCTGTCTAGGGCACATATATTCATCAATAAACATAATAGAATCCGCGAAAGAACTTTTCGTGACCACGAGGGAACCACAGAAGTATGTTCATAAATAGAAACTTTAAGCGCATAGTCACAGAGAGTAACTTGCAGCGACTCCCGTACATAGAACGCAGTGTCCCATGCTAATCCTTTAGTTTCTGTATGACAGGGATGGGCAAAATGCATGCAAATATGTATTGAAATACAGATACAAAATACTTCATCAAAAATGTATTTAATTACAAATCTAATTACATTTCCATAAAAGCGTTTAATCACAAGATACAAATACAACCAAATGTATTTGGTGTCCTCCAAATAGTTTTCCAAATACTTTTCCAAATACTTTCCTCAAAATTTGCGTCAGCGACTTCAGGGCACCTGCAACGGGGGTTTCTGGGTATCTCATTTTAATTTTGCTTCGCACACTCGGGAGTTAATGTTCGAGGCTCTAGTAACGTAAAAGAAATATAATCACAAAAAACATGTAATCAGCTTGGACGTAATAGTGAAAGAAGCACAGAGCTTCAAGCAGCTTTTTTTTTGTCGATTACATTTTGGTATAGGCCAACAAAGAACCGAGACGACCAAGACACGCAGCACTAGCTAGTCTATTGTTGCAACTCGCACCAGTTACGAAAATCTGGACGACCCGCGCATTTAGAATGTTCCAGGCAAAAATATGGATGGAAATCAGGCTGGAAAGCATCACAAGTTGTCACAGGAAATTATTTAGCCAGTCTGCCTGTGAACGTCGATTTCGTCACTATTCTTGCCCTGGACTAGCACCGTAATCCCGAAGTCACTAAACGCTTGTGCTTGATTGAGAGACACGGCATTCGGTGCAGAACATAGTTTTCTTCCTGCTCTGGACAGTGCCTTTAAAATAAAGTCGGAGGAGAAAAAGAGAAAAACCCATGGCCGAATAAAGGATGGAGACTATATCTTACAACCACATGCAGAAAAACAAAGTTGCCAAAGTTACAAGAATTGTAACTTTGGCAATAACATTTATTTAGCGTAATAGAGAAAGGTGCCGCGGGCGCCCGGCGTGCCCGGGTGCCTGCGGTGAACGAGATGCAAACGGCCGCAGGATTGAGAGTTTCTTGGTTTGTTTTTGCCGTTGGTGTTGGAGATGAAGAAAGAGCAGCTTTGGACACATCTTAGGATGAGCGAAATGAGTCGTGACAATAAATTTGAGGGATGTACTTTCACCCACAAAATTGTATTTAATTACAATTGTATTTGAAATACCACGTTTTAGCATTTAAATACACACGTCAAATGCATTACCTAATTTGTAATTAAATACAAATGCAAAATACACAAAGTATTTGAAATACATATTTCAAATACTTGTATTTGAAATACGTATTTCAAATACTGCCCATCCCTGCTGTTTGACTTTCTTTTTTTTTTTTTCTTAAGCTCGATTCACTTTTGGTAAAGGTTAGATTTACCTTGAGGCACCTTTTGGTGGCTTCGAGTACATGCAAACACCGGCACCGTCTTATCTGTTGGTCGAGGCACTCTCTTGGAGTGTCTGAGGTTGCAAGTCTGTTTGCCAAAGTGCTCGACCCCAAGACCTGAGCCCCCACACTGCCGAGTGTTACCTGATAAGATTGTCGTACCGCCATGTCCCGTGCTTGCGTGAAACGTGCCATATACCATAATATACCGAGCATAACGCCTATGTTACAATAAGTGCCCACCCCCCGCTTTTGAAACATCTGAAATATCGACAAAGGTCATACCGAGCACCTGACCCGACAAACCTTTTAGCCGACCGAGCTAACCAAGATGCTCCTCTCTGTCAGCTGTTTGTCTGAGAAGCCGGTGCAAAGCAGTGAAGCTTTATGCGCCCGCATTGGTGTGAAACAGTGATGAAGCTTGGCGCAAAGCAGGCTTGGCGAGAGTGCTGCGGCTGCTTTTCCAAACGTGGAGTTCTGCCTGATCCTTGTTCTGTCGGATTGAACAAGGGCCGCTCAAGGCTTACCGTGTGCCCCTTCTGCTTTTCCGCCGTAGGCAACAAGCGCCCATTCTCTCGTTTTTGGTGATTATCTTCAACTTTTCGGTGGGTGCTTGACCGGTATTTTAGGGTAGGTGGGGAAGTTTTTATTTACAGCTTTTATATTGTTTCACTTCAAGGTTGGAAGAAGGGGGTAGGTATAAAATGTTTGACTTCGCTTTTTGAATAGGGGAAAGGGACTTTGTTTTCTTGAACGGGAATCAAGGAGGACTGCTTGCATGATGTGTGTGTTACAGTAAGACCATGTCCCTGTTATTTTATGATCAGCAACTTCGCCTCAGTCAAGGTGGATGTATGCTTCACCCTTTCCCCTTTTGCTTGCTTCCTCCTTCCCCTTTCACCCTCCTTTTCCTCCTTCATCTTGCCCTTCTCTCCTAATCTGCCTTTTGTTACCGTCAAGAGGGTTGTCTTTCTCGCAGAAAAGCTGCACCTGTATGTTTAAAATGAAACCCGCTGTCTCTTGGCCGTGCACTTGTGCATGTTGCAGTGGATCGTGAACTGACTGTTTCAAGCAGCCAGAGAGTACTGATCAGTTGGTTCCTTCTTTCTTTTTGCCATTAGTTCCTGAGGGACGAACTGCAGTACGAGAATGGCTACGAGCGTCAAAAAAAGTTCCATGGCAATGACAAGTACATTTCACTCGAGGAGCTTTGGCAGTCCTGGCAAGTGTCTGAAGGTAAGCTGGCGAATCTTTTGCACATATGCCCTTTTGTGAGTTTTGCCCTCCTTCTAAGTGCGAGCGGGGTAGCCACTTAAACTGGCTACTCCCTGATTCAACAGTTAGCAAACTTTTATCAAATCAAAATCAAATTTGGGGATTTTACGTGCCAAGCCAACGAGGGCACGCCCCAGGGGAGGACTGAGGATTGATTTCGACCACCTGGGGATCTTTTGATGTGCAACCGAAAGTTCTGTTACACGACACTTCTCCACAGTAAGCCTCCGTCGGATTGCGGGCTCCTTCGCCGGGATTTTCACCTGCCACCGGGGAATTCGTATGCCAGCACTTTGCCTTAGAGCCGCCAAGGTGGCAACAAACTCTGAGACAACTGATGAAGAAACATTGCACTAGCACCATACACCACCTTCACTGCGTTTACCGGGCTTGTGTCTGCATGTGCACATAATACCGCAAGTTTCGTGAGGTTTGAACCTGTAGCAAAGATCAAATAGATGTCATTCTCTTGCTTTCAAGTTTGTAAAGGCTCAGAGGTTGCAGAAAATCTAGTTATAATGGTGGCAAACCTGCTCGTCAATGAAACCAACATGACAAATTCACAGTGACATTTTGCTCGGTAGCTGGTTTACTAAAATCTCTTGGCATGACGCTGTTGACTTCCAGTTCTGAGCTTCAGTGTTTGTTTCCAAATCATGCAACTGAGATGTTGCAACCAAATTTATACCTGATGCTTCCGAAACAACTCAAACTTTGAGTGCTTTTCACTTATCGGTGTTTACTATCTGCAATGATTTTTTCTTGTAAACCTCCAGACAAAGAGCAATGCTTTTTTTTTTAATAGATTGGATAGCATTTCTCAAATGAGGATTTTGTGATTTTTATAGTACCATATTGATTGTGTTAGCCATGGGAATAAATGTGGTGTTGCAGTCAGAGTGTCGAACCGATATTTTTATCGGTTCGGTTCGGGTTCGGGTTCACGGCTTTCGGTTCAGTTCCGGTTCAGTTCCGGGGCACAAAAAATAACGGTTCAAACCGGTTCGAACCGGTTCAAACCGGTTCGAACCGGTTCGAACCGCTAAATTGAAAATATATTTTCCGCGTTGTTCTGTCAATAGGCACTATTTAGGCCGTGAAACTAACTACGGTAAACGACCTGATTTTTGCGAGGACCTAATTTTTGAGAATTTCGCGAATCGCCTACAATTCGCGAAAAATGGGTCCCGCGAACAATTTCGGTAAAATGTAAACACATTGGAATTTATATTGGGATTCCACCGCGTCGAGAAAATTACAACCCGCGAGTTATTCCACAACTTCAGCTTTGACCTAAACCGGGAAATATTGAGCCCACGAAAAATAAGTCGTTTACAGTATATAGTTTTTTTATCGTTTGTTCAATCCAGTTTTATTTTCAGATACCAAAATTATAAAATTCTGTTATTTATTTCTACACAAAAAGAAAAGAAAATCTACATTAACATACAATACGTCGTGTTTAGACGACTCAACATCCCTTCGTTTACCAGAGTCACATACATTGTACCTGAATCGCAATGTTTTCGCGAAGTAAAGTAGGTTGCCTAAAATACCCGTGATTGGTACAACTTCGCATCGCAGTATTAGAAGTTGAATCGTGGTTTTGCCCTTGAACTAAGGAATTAATTACAATGAATAAAATCATGAAATGGGCCCCTCGTCGCCATATATATCATAAAATGTGTTTTACGGAATACGTTTCACAATATATATATGATGACGAGACGACTCAGCTTAAAGGAGCGATGCAACAATTTTTGTACTTCGCGCGAATACCGCTTAAAACGGATCCCTAATGTTAATGACCTATGAAACACGCGTTCGTTTTTCACCCCACGCAATAGAAGTCCCAGAAAAAAATTAAAGAAAAACGAGCAGCGTTCACCCCCTCAACTCGCAGCCAGAACAAGCCGCCACGTGATCTGGAGCCGATTGTATGCCGTCAGTGTTGATCATAGCCACGCGCTGGGGTTGGCAAAGCGCAGGACACGCGCTGAGTTCCAGACATTGTTATGGCTCGGCTGTTGTCGTCGTTGCAGCGATTGGACACGGGTCACTACCCGAATGCTTCTCGAGCTAGCAATTATCACGAGCCCAAGTCGAGTGCCCACGCAATGAGTGGGTCCAATCTATGAACCGCATTCAAATATCGTCACTTGGGTGTACTGCGATCCCCACGTTACGTCATCAAATTTTGCAAAGGAGAGATTGAATGAAAATGATCGCTTTTGTCCTTGAAATTACACTGCAACAAAGAAGTTTCTTGGCCAGTGGCGTTGCGTGTGAGTATCCTTGAGTGCCCCTAGTGCCAGTAAGCTCGTGTCAAGTGAAAAACATTTTAATTGAATATTGTTGCACCGGTCCTTTAAGGCAATATAATTTTCAAAATGTCACAAAAGTTTTAGGACAAGCCCTTTCCAGTCTATATTTTATAGAAACACTAAGCGACAATCGCAATGCTTGTTTTTCGAACCAGCATTGTTTGCTCTCAGCACCATGATGCGGTCGACGAATCATGCGAAAAGGAGTGGCTGAAATTGTTCACTCTAATCTATGAGCACCTTCGTACTGAGATCGAATCTGGCCTAAAACAGTGCTTACCCATGTGAACATTTTCTTCTATTGGATAAACTAGCATAGCCTGGATGTTGAGGTTTGTTCTTGACAAGGTGCCGGTCGATTTAATTTGCAAATAAGCATCACCCTCGCTAATTGACTTTTTTTTTAAATAGAACAAAGTGTTATTTCATGCTCTACTAGCTCAGTTTGGAAGCTACTTAATTGGACACTTTCTGACAGTTTGCGTGTGTAATCGTCATAGTTCCACCATTCGTCCCAGTGTATTGTGCTTTGGTTCGACCCACAGACACGTAAAAGCTCTGTTTACCACATAAAAAAACGCGATATTAAACTTTTATATAATTGAGAAGTTATATAGGCGTGAGGAACACATAGTTATTTAAATTAGCTTCAAAATAAAAAAAAATATTTAAAGCATTGCCAAATCACCTATAACGTGTCTATAGAGGATAAAAGCGCCAAAAGCCGACCATCTTTCAGATAATTTGAAGGTGCATTTACTTATATATCTTTTAGGTGAGGATCTTTTATTTATGCTGCCAAATCTTGAGACAGGAACTAAGTATATTTTTATTATCATCGATAAATTTGACTTTATGAAGTTCATATAACCGCCTGAGACCGACACGGAACGACGATACTTGAAAATACGCCAGCTGTTGAGTCTTCGGAAACGTGCTTTTGTTAGCTGTTTTGCAGTGTAAAACACTGGGTTGCAGGGTATGCCAAAAAAAGACTGTGGTCACATGATATATCGGAAGGCAAATACACGAAATGTGCATAAATAAGGAGATGACAGGTAATTTTTCTAAATAATCCCTTACACAACGCTTTACTGCAAAAAGAGATGCATAGATATGCATAAAATGATATTCCCAATTAAACATAAATTGCACGCAGGGCAAACAAAGAGTCTTAGGATCCTATTATAAATCTTTTTTGGGCATCAGCTTGCCTCAGTTCAAAACGTCGCGAGATACTGCCTCGGGAGGCTAATGTTATATTAGGTTTTAGGTGCACTTGTTTTGGGACCTTACTTCACCACTGTGTTCTTTATCAGTCATGCGCTCTAACCTTTCATTAGGCTGCCGTATACCATCGCGAGACTGCTATAAATACTACACAACTTTACAACCTTGGACGTCTACTGCCAGTGTTGCGAACGTCGCACTTCACCAGAAAGCTGAAGTATTTAACATGGTTTGCACGTGACATCATCGCTCTTTATGCTGGATTTCATTGCGAGTTGTTCTTGCTGAGAAAATCAAATCCGGTGGGGCAAAAAGCACGCTGCAAAAGGTTCGCGCTCAGTGCAAGCTATGTATTTGAGAGGCACACATATTTCTTGTTGGTGCATCGTCGTTAGGCACGGCGTGAGTATCTGGCACGACGAAAACGTGCTTTCTAGCAAGAGATGCATGTTTTTACAAATAAAAGTTACACCAACTACCCATCTGTCACTATCGTTTCCAGGCCACACTTTCTGGTCTGCGCTGAAAATACGGGGCAGAGGAACCTTTACAACACAGTATGCTTTAAACCTACCCCCCCCCCTCCCCACTCTCTTTTCTTTTTTAGTTGCTCCTCAAGATATTTTTTATTCCTCAGGGATTGCCTGCTCCGTATTGAGTGGCGTTCATTCGACAATTATATTTGTGTCACTTGTTAACAGTAATTCTTCCCTGCTTTTACTTTGCACCAAACTGTGAAGTTTAAACAAAATACAGGGCGGTCGAAACTTGGAGAACTTGAGTACGACACTCGTGTGACACTTAGAGCGGCTGCCAACGGTCGGCTATCCCCCTGAGGCCACTAGGATCTTTCTTTTCAGGTATCCCTCCCGTACACACTAATAGTTTTATGTAACGTCGGACTAATACGTCACATTTAGACCCTTTAACACTTCTATTCTCGGGACAAGTTTCTGAGGCAGTTCAGCAACAACGAAAACATGTTTGGGAGCCTCAATGGTGTGTATACATGTAAAATGGGTCGTACAGCATTTTTTTTACCTTAAGTTGAATAAATACCGCTAAGATGTAATCCCTGACGTTGATTAGCTGCAAAAACATGCATTAGTTTGCCCCTCCGCGAAATGGCAGACGCAGTCGAAAGAAAGAAATGAAACAGCCTTCCCCTCCTCAACTCGCAATTAGAACTATCAGCCACGTGATCCGATCCTAATATTTACACCGTCAGTGTTTATCATAGTCATACGCAGGGTTGGCAAAGCATAGAGCATGGGCTGATATTCAGATATTGTTTTAGTTGGGCTATAATGCCCGAGCCCCACTAAAACGACAAACAGAAACAAACGACAGCGGCAAGCCTTAAACCAGAATATTTCGCGATTTGACAGGCTTTGTAGAATAAAGAAGGCTATGCTTAAACACGAGCGTCATGCACACGAAGGTACCACTTGCAGACCTGTAAACACTCGTGCTAACTTCACGAGCACCGAACACCTCAAAGCCGTAGAAAGGTACCATCGCGAGCATGCTGCATGTGTCTGAGGCTTGTCGCTGTCGTTTGTTTCTGTTTCTATAGCTCTAGTGGGACTCGGGCCTATTATAATCATTGCGTTGAACACGAGACGTTACCCGAATGTTTGGCGATGCTGGTTGTCATGAACCAGAGCATTCGACTCGGGATCATGACAATCGGGTACATCATGGTGTCACATGTCCCTCAGTGCGAAGTTGTGATGTCATGTTACGTCACGGTGTCAGCAACGTTAATAGATCTAGCGACGTCCTCAATTTGAATCGACTTAACGCGGTGAGTCACGTGACGTCATGGGGTCACGTGATGTGACATTACTTGACAGCATGTCTTGACATCATGACGTCACGTGACGATGTGACACATGGCTAATCATAGTGCCAATAAGAAAGCGCCGCAAAAAACCAGGATTTATTATGCATTGCAATTCTGTATATGACGATTTGATCAATACGTAGAGGAATACACGTGCCAATTTTTTATTCCCAAATATTAAATTTGTAATACTAACAAAAAAAAATACCGTGAACCGTTTTGAACCGGTTACCGTTATATTTTTTTCCGGTTCAGTTCCGGTTCAGTTCCAAGATGGCGGCGAAGATTTCGGTTCTGTTCAGTTCCGGTTCGGCTAAAAATAACGGTTCAGTTCCGGTTTTCGGTTCGGTTCGGTTCCGGTTCGACACCCTGGTTGCAGTCTCAAGCACGACTTCCAAAAGTCTGTCTACAGCACACTGTATTCACAAAGCAGTGTTATACGTGTGCATACATGCTCATGGAAAATGTTGCAGTTTTGGGAAGCTATAATACAAGGTTGTGCCTGTTTACTTTTTGTTTCCTTTAAATGTCTAGATTTAGTTTCAGTCCAAAATAACTTGTGTCATACGACCTTTAAGAAAAGTGAGCTTTGGTGCTAAAGACATAGTGTTGTGAGTTTGCGCATCAAAATGATGGCAGTTACTTTTGAGATTTATAGAGCTGTCCGTCATAGTGGCTAGCAGTCATGCAATTCCCTCTGGCGTTTTTTCTTCACATAGCTTGACTTTTTACAAGCCGCTGTAGCGTTAACAATGGGTGTCCTTCTCATCACAGTGCACAACTGGACAATGGAGGAGACCATAGAGTGGCTTGTGAGCTGCGTAGAGCTGCCACAGTACGTGAAGGCATTTGAAGAGAATGGCGTGGATGGATCAACCCTCCCGCGGTAAGTCAGTGTGGCACCCTTTACCTTTGGAAGCTTAAAACTCTTTCAACGTAGCAAAAAAGGGATTGCTAAGATGCAGGTGCTCTCTGGAAATCGGTGGCTTCTACTTTTCTGTCACTTTATTGCTAAATGTGATAAGTTTTGAAATGTTTTAGAGCGCAGCTCTTAGGCGCCCGTTTCCGGCTTGAGCGGCGTTGACGTTGCCGTCGGCGTAACGGCACGGTGCATTATGGGACGCGTGACGTCACTGATGACGTCATTGGCATCCGCATCGTCATCGTCATCGCCACTGATGACGTCATCAGTGACGTCACTGATGACGTCATCTGCATCGTCATCGCCAGTGATGACGTCATTGTCACGTGACCCCACAAGGGTCACATGACCCCCGTGACGTCACATAACCCCCGTGAGGTCATGTGACCCACATGAGGCGACGGCGATGCCGCTCGGACAGAGGAATAGCAGACAGGGTGAGGAGGAGGGAGGAGGGGTATACCCTCCCCTCAGTACCCTTCCCTCCTCCTCCTCAAGAGCTGCACTCTAATTCGTCGTTACATAGAGTTGCAAACGGCTTTCATTTTTTTAAGTGCGGTAGCATTTATGGGCGAACCGTATGCATTTGTGTGTTCATGGTGTGGTTTGTAACCAACAAGGTATCTGTTATATACCTGCTCCAGTTATGCATATAGGGGTAATGCGCCAAACGAATGTGGTACGATATATGCACCGAGAAAGTGAGGTAGAGGAGAAGATGAGGGAACGTCAGAACGCTGAGCTCTGGTTAGAATGATTAGTGGGTAGACATAAAGGTAGCAGCCTTTGCCTCCACTGCATAGGGGTCTTATTATGTTCATATACATATACCTAGTAAGATAGAAACATTTCAATTGCAGTACTGCTACAACAAAAGTCATTGGTTGGTCACAGGAGGCTTATTCGTGGGAAGTAGACAATTAAATAAGAATATTGTGCGAATTGGTTTTATATAGAACAAAAATCTTTGCAGATGTTTACGAAAAATATTTTTAGAATTTCCACGGCCGCTCTTATGTAGTTTCATAATGAAACGTTTATGCAATTCAAGATGGCGTCGCACTTCAACGACAATCTGTGCAGCGATTTCTGCAATATTTTTCTTTAATACAGAGTGCAGCGACAAAAGTGGACGTTTTATATCACTTTGTCACGCTTAAATTTCACCCAAGTTCAAGAAGCACTCCTCTCAAGGATTATTCGTGTCCCCATGGAACCCTGCGGGAACTTTAGGGCACTCTGGGAGAACTCCTGAGCTCTTCTAAACCAGTTTGAGAACTCGTGCCATATTTCATGTCGCCGTTACAGTATCATGCCATCAGTTTTGATATATCCACCGGATGTCTCTATGTATCCACAAGGATAATATAGGATTATCGGAGAATTCAGGACAAAAAGGATACCTCATTGCAGTCTTTTTTTCCACTTGCCTCCTCCACTCTTAAAGATGTTCAATGGCTGCCATAAATTACATAGGGAATCAAAAAGACGTCACTGGGTACTCTACTGTATGCGAGCCAAGTTTTTTTATTTGCAAGTGGTAGTTGCTATTCGCAATCCATTGGGATAAACACAGTTGTCATTGGGCTTTGAGGCAATTTTTATTAATGCAGATCAGACGAGGAATTTTTGGTAAAATTTTCGGGGACTACGGAAATGCACATACGGCGGGCAGAACTCCGTGCATGCTTAGCATCATGACATTTCTGGTACTTGGCATCATGACATTTTAGTGCTTGGAATAGTTACACTGTTGATGCTTGGAATTGTGACATTGTTAGTGCTTGGCATCATGACATTGTTAGTGTCTGGTATTATAACATTGTTGGTGCTTTGCATTATGACATCATTGATGCTTTGTGCCACGACATTGTTGGTGTTTGCCAACATGAAATTGTTGGTACTTGGCATCTTGACATTGTTGGTGCTTGGCATCATGACATTTTTGGTACTTTGCATCATAATGTTGTTGGTGCTTGGCATCATGACATTGTTGGCATCATTAATGCAGGATGGCAATAGCCAACAACAACTTCCTGAGCAGCGTCCTTGGCATCAAGGATGTCATCCACAAGCAGAAGCTCACCCTCAAGGCCATGGACGTGGTGCTATTCGGGCCTCCGAAACGTAAGTGCAAGCTGTAGCTGTAACAGCCTGTGAAACACGGGGCGTGGCGACTCCCAGGCATCCTACTTCTGCTCCGCAACCAAAAGCTGGTTGCCTTCGGCGATCAGAACGCCGAAGTGTGTGGCAAGGAGCACAATGATAATAAGCAGTTTTCAGCATTTCTGTCAGTGACTGAAGACCATTGCAATGAATGTGTTCTGTGCACTGCCATTTTTGTTTACTGGGCTGTTGAACCTGTCCCGTGGATGTGCAGTAGCTCTCCTGTGGAACATCAAACCTCACATATGCATCTGCAGCCAAAAGACTGGCCATTTTGTGCCCGGGCAATAAATGCTGGAAAGGTGTTTACTAGCCTTACCCGAGTTTTGGAACCCCCTGGCGTGATGAGACGTCGAAAGGGCGAACTAATAGAACACTACATGGCCTTTCTTGCTGTGTGCTTATTAACTTACTCTAAATGGCTTCGTATTTGTTGACCTAGCGTACATTTTCTTGGAATTTCATAGCCTTTCTAGGAATACTTCGCAGGGACCCAGTTTTGCAATGTGTAGTGCTAGGCTCGCGGGATTTGCTTTTCGATCAAGCAATAAGGCAAATGGAATACCGGACGGAACGCCTGAGATAGAGGATGAGAAACGATACAGATGAAGAAACACAAAACTCGAGACATAGCCTTGTTTGGGACTCGTTTCGTCTGCCCCGGTCTCGGGTGTTTCATCGTCAGTCTTTTAATTTAAAGGGAAGCACCCATACGAGCCTCCAAGACATCAGGAATGATTGGTGATGATGATTATGGAGTGTCCATTATTGCATTCAATGATGGCCTCCCCCATTGCAGACCACAACTATGTGAAGGATGTGCTGCTGGTGATGTCCCTGGTGATTGCCATTGGAGGCTGCTGGTTTGCCTACATCCAGCACAACTACTCGCAGTCCCACCTGAAGAAGATGATGAAGGACATGGACAGCCTGCAGAAGGCGGAGGAGGCTCTCACCGACTTGCAGAGAGAGTGAGGGCAGCTCGTGCGGCAGCCATTTTTGCTCGAGGACGGACTGAGTCGTGTCCTATGTCCAGCCAATTTCGGGTTTCCGGTTTATCACTGTCTTTCGTGGCGGAAGTAGTTTTGCTTCGAGTCAGTCTTGTTTCTTTCTTTTTTTTTTTTCAACCATACAAATGTGGGCAGCTTGATTTTTTTGTCATAAACTTTTCTGGTGTGTATTAGATTGCTGACAAAGAAGGCTTAGCACAAGGGTTCTCAAACTCTCTGATCTCGAGGAACCTCTGTCTGGCTTGACTGAAGGCCGATGAACTTCTCCTGGTCTCAGCATTGATGAAATGAAGCAGTGCAACAAACCTCGTAAATAATGATGCACCTACTAGGGGTTCCCATAGTTACGCTTCGGTGGATGGTCCTGGGCTGCTTTGATAGTGCTTAATCTGGAGAAACACTTTACTTAGACTAGCTCCGTTTAAATACCAATCGGCCTAGGCTTGGCATGGCTTGGCTGGGCTCGGCCTAGGCAAGCCAAAGTGAGCTAATTATCTGGCTATGTAGTACAGTAGTAGTTAGGTCTTCAGGGCACGGTCACACTGGTACCACCGATTTTTCAGGTTGGACAAAGCCAAGATGGAACAGGAGACTGCGGTGATCCTCAAGCAGAGGCTCGAAGATGAAATCCTTGCTGCAAAGGTAAGCGAGAAGTCCCAAGCGCATTATAGCCACAATTCAGTCGGTTGTCTCGTGTCGGCGGTTGTGTCGACTACCTATTGGTTTGCATCTTTCTGTAGCCGGCTATGGTCGGTGACAGGTTAGAAAAGAAATGGAAGCTCCTCCCACCTCTTTCAGGCGACCTTCTCTCCAGCGTTTGCTCTACTAAAGTGGAAAGAGGTGGGAGGAGCTTCCTCTTTACCCTTAACCTGTCACCGACTCTAGTTGTGGGAGTCACCCCCAGGTTGTCAATGGTTTGAACGCGGCTTGTTGATTTTACGCGAGCGCTGCGTGAGTGCCTGGCTCAGGCTCGGTTACGATCAATGTCTTGACACAACATGCGGGGCATGGCTCGTTGTCAAGCCGCTGCAGTGAATGGAATCGTCAAGTTTTAACAACATATGGAACCGAGTACTGTGCACCTCCAAACCTAGTGCGTGGCTACGACGAACGTTTGCGGCGTGCAATCGCCACCGGATCATGTGACAGCTCGTTCTAGCCCTCGAGTTAAGGAAGTGAACGTCGCTCGTTTTTCTCCGATTATTCCGCGACTACTGCCACTTGGAATGGAATACTGATACTAGTATGCGTTTTGTGGGCCACAAAGAGGGTTCCGTGTTTTAGGGGTTTGTTTATCTTTTAATATGTTTTTTAATTCTTTTTTCTAAATTTTTTTTTTTGGCTCTTCATTTTTTTATATGTATTTTGGCATTGCACAATAATTGGCGTTTGTCGGGGCCTATGACGAAGAAAACTGGACACGGCCATGGGATTCCTCCAGGGAACAGGTTTGTGACCGGAATATTTGGTAAACACTAGTACCAATAAGAGAAAACAAAGGGTGTGGGTCCCAAAAAGAAAAACAGTCTTCCGGATAGCTCGGTGCCGAAACAAGATAAAATTGTAAACAAAAATTTCTCCCCCAAATATTGGGCTCCCCTTATCCAAGGACAGTCCCAATATGGTGATTTTCGGTTTTCCCCAACTTCTATAAAACCTACTCGAGGGTTCATTTTTCGTAGATTTTAGAAATAAGAGGGAAAATGGGTTTCCGTAAACACGGAACCCCATAGCCTTTTGCAGGTTTAAGTTGGTAATCGATCGACTTGCCCGTCGCAGTTGACAACCTTTCGGTGACCCGACCGACTGTGGGTGCCTTTGGCAAATGGTTACTACCCAAAAACATGAATGTCTGAACCACTTGTCTGATTTAAATGACACTTACAGGGCTGGTTTCTGTTTGCGTTGAGAACATTTCTGCCAAACTTTGTTAACCTCGGTGAAGTACAAAAAAAAATTGCAAATGTTCAAAGATGAAAGTGGGCGTGTCTGCGTAGGAAAAGCATAGTTTTGAAATTACTTATGAATTTGTTGTTTTTGTGTGTTATGTTGCTTTAGAAAAGCTCAGAGCAGATAGCTATGGAGCTATATTTTTTATTTTATACCATCTTTCATGATGAAAAAGCCACAAACACAAATACTGTTTTTTAAATTTCCATCCTTTGTCCAAACGTCAGTTCTTGAGCATGAGAAACGACAAAAATAAAAATTACAAGCTCATAGCTATCTTCCCCTTAAAATTTCATCTCAGAAAAACTCATGAAAATGAATTTTAGTTGTGTAACAACAAAACAATAGTTTTTCTAAAGTCAAATTTATGCCAAAAGGTGTAGTGGAGAAAAAGTGCTCCAAATTCGACTTTTTCTTTAACATCGGTGGACCGAAAATAATTTATAAAAAATTAACTATGCAGTGTAAACTATTGAAACTTTCTGGGAATACTCTCTAGATGTTAATGGATGTAAATATGACATTTTTCAAAATCAACTTTTTTTTTGCAAAACGTGTTTTTTCTGCGTAGTGTCCCCCCTTAAGGCACTCAAAAAGCAGGGCAAGCTCCCCCCAGAAAGCTTTCCACTCTTTCCCCTTTAGCAGAGCAAACGCTAGAGAGGAGGAAAGCCCCAATCACGGTGAGCAAGGAGCCTTGTGGGAGGGACTTGTCCCGCTTTTCTCGACCTGCTAAAAACCGTAGTTGGGAGCATCGAGGATTCGTTCCGAGGAAAAGGAAAAAGCGTCTTTCTCTGGCGTCCGTTGCAGCAAGAGAGGGAGCTCTGGTCCTCCGACCCGGAGCAGACGAGCACGCTGGTGGAGCGTCTGCAGGACGAGGTGCAGAAGCTGCGGGAGCAGCTGGCGGCAGCCCAGGCGGCCCTCTCCTCGGCCGTGCGGGGCGCCGGAGGCCACGGCTGGGCGCCCCCGCCGGCCCTGCAGCACTGGCTCCAGCTCACCTACGAGCTGGAGCTGCGACACTACAACTCCAAGAAGGCCGCCGCCGAGAAGCAGCTCTTTGCCGCCAAGGAAGGGGTGGGTGCCACATTGTATTTCCGTAGATCATACTTTGTGGACTTCATGAGATCATAGTTTGCGTATTTCATGTAGATTGTAGATCATACCTTGTGTACCTCATGTAGATTGTAGTTTGTGTATTTCATGTAGATTGTAGATCATATTTTGTGTAGTTCATGTATATCATACCTTGTGTACGTTGTGTAGATCATAGATTGTGTATTTCATGTAGGTAGATCGTAGACCATACCTTGTGTACTTCGTGTAGATCATACCTTTTGTACCTCATGTAGATTGCAGTTTGTGTGTTTCATGTAGATTGTAGATCATACCCTGTGTACTTCATGTAGATCATACCTTGTATACCTATGTAGATCGTCGTTTGTGTATTTCACGTGAATTGTAGATCATGCTTTGTGTACGACTTGTTCCATGAGTAACCACTCGTGCAGCTGGCACAACAAGGCATGCCAACGAGGACATGCGGATTACCTTCTTATCGTCTGCGTTATCGCGTTGCCAGCCTTTTGCCTGCTGCATGTTTGGAAACTTTAGCGCACCCCCACACTGCAGACGTGATTTACGATGACATTCAGCCAGTTTTTAATTTGAACCATATGTTTATTTTCACTAATGAAAGAGTTGTATGGTAAATTTTAGGTAACCATTTATCTAATTAGTATGTTTCCTGCAATCCCTGACGTTTGCCGTGATTAACCGTTTGTTCCCGAAAAGGTTTCTTTTTTTCTCAACCACCCTTTTGGCAGAACTTTTTCAACTCTGTGGTGAAACACCTGTTATATAAGAGACGGAGGAACGTAGAAAAATTTTCTGCGAGGTTGCTGGGGAAATGTTTCGGTGTTCCACTGGCCCCCTGCAAGTTTCTCGCTCGTTTCAGTGTGAGAAGCTGCGCAAGAAGCGATCCAGCTTTATGGGGTCATTCCGCATTGCGCACGGGAGCTCCATCGACGACATCGACAACCGTATTCTTCAAGCCAAGTGGGTGTTTTGTTTGTTAACCCCAGTTTCGTACTCGCATTTGCTTATGACCGAGTTCTTGTGATGCAGTTCTAGGGGTGGCCCCGGAACTGCATTTCACTAGAGCAAAGGTTTTGCACTATTTGCGAGGTTGAACTTACTACATACTACTGTAAACGGCTTAATTTTCGCGAATTGCCTACAATTTGCGAAAAATAGGTCCCACGAACAATTCCGGTAAACTGTAAACACATTGGAATCTATATTGAGATCCCACTGCATTGCTAAAATGAGAACCCGCAAATTATTCCAAAATTCCAGCTTCGACCTAAATCGTGAAATATTGAGCCCGCAAAAATAGGTCGTTTACAGTATTTATAAAAGGTCCTTTCTAACTTTTCGGAAAGTTTCACTAGGGCAAAGGTTTTGCAGTATTTCTGAGATCGAATGCACATACTATCTATAAAAAACAGTTCTTTATAACATTTTTCAAAATTTTTCTGTCAAAAAAAAAAAAAAAATCATGCAAAAAAATTTTTTAAAATTTTTCTGTCTAAAAAAAAAAGTCATGCAAAAAAAAAGAGTTGTTAAGTGCTAATTGTCATAAGACACATAGATCTGCAATGCATGCTCTGGACAAAATAAAAAGAAATAGTGGTTAAAGAGAAGTGAAATATTTCGGATTTATTTGATTTAAATATGATTAATTTTAATTCAATTTAAATCACTGTTGCTAGAAAAAGATAATTATTTATCGCTAGATGTATTTTTAAACGTGGAAGATACATTGACTAATCCATCAGGTTATTGAAAACAATGCGGACGAAAAAATTACTGTACATTTAAAGTAATGCTTTAATTTACAACTTTTTATTAATGTAAATCCTGCCTGCCTAAAGCAGAATAATTTTTTAGCTAGTAAAAAAGCTTTTACACAATTTTTTACGTTCTGATTTGCTTTAACATTACTTTTGTCGTTTTAATTTTTTCTCGTGTTATGATTTGATTGCAATTGGTCGCCAACCGATTTTTCGAACTTCGCAGGGGCCGAAAAAACGTCTGAGTAATAGAGCAGTCCGAAAAATTAGCAGATAAAAAAACTTGCTTTTATTACGTCTAAGCGGGCTTTAAAAATCCATAAATAGTGCTTTGCCTCAGGTTAGGCCTGTGCGTTTTGTTTTAGGTTACGCCTCTGTTTGTGTTCGGCAACTGTTTGCTTGAGAATCATTGCCTTCTTTTCTAGCGTTATGGTCGAGTACTTTCTGCGCTTCTTAGCAACATTTCGCGGAGGCGGAAGAATAGGTGGGGCTATGACGTCCAAGCCAGCGTAGTCCAAAAATGTGATTCACTGAGACCAGATCTAGATGAGTAGTGCAAGTCCATGACTGCAATGGCGAATGAACAAAGCAAAATGGAAACAACAATGATGATGATAATTATGCACAGCTAAAGAAAAAAAAAGAAAAGCCGTACAGCGTCTCCTTGCAGTAGCAGTACTTAAGTAGCACTGCCAAACCAAGCCAATCCATATGCAGCCAACATAAAATTCAAAATGGCTGCTTCTCAGTGGTGTTTCCCGCTGATCGCCACCAGCGGGCGATGAAATATTGAACAAGTCCGAATTATCAGTCGGCGACTGTATACCACAAAACCGACACAGTGGAAAGTAGAAAGAAAGCTCGACGTTTCGATTTGCATAGAAGAGCACTGCTTTTTGCTCTTGTTCAGCCCGCTAGAACAAACTTTCTGGCTCTACGATTATCTGATTCAGATACAAAACAAGCGTGCGTATAAAGTATCCAATGAAATTTTTGGGAATTATTTGCGAGGGAAAGGTTCGATTTAAAGCGCGACTTCAATCATCTTGATTTTTATCCTCCACCTCGTCTGCGAAAGCAGGCTTACCTGTAGTGGCGCGGCCATGTCTTCACAACGAGTGGCTCGTGGTTTCAGGGCTGCCCTGTCGGAGGTGACCAAGGACCTTCAGGAGCGCCTGCAGCGGTGGAAGCAGATCGAGCGCCTCTGCGCCTTCTCCATTGTGAACAACCAGGGCCTGGGCCACCTGGAGACCGTGCTGCGGGGCTCCTTCCTCAACGGCAGCACGGCCACGCTGCAGCACTCCCACTCCGTCGGTGGGTTCCCCAGACGGCTCGGCTCTGAAGCAGCGGCTCAGTGCAGGAGCCTTGCTCGAACCTCGCCTGCTTGCATCGGCCGCACCTGGGGTGCCTTCGTGCGTGCCTCGCGTCTCTGATTGGCGTGCTTCGCGTGCATCGAAAGCAGTCCCGAAGTGGTAACAAATCATGTCGCGAGAGCCGAAGTGTTGTGCTCTCGGAGGTTACGATTTTGGCAGTTGGGCGTGGAAGTTCCGGATAAAAAGCACAAGAGAATGCGAGTGCCTCCATTGTCGCGGCATCTCGAGTCCTCGCCTCCAAATCTCCCGTGGAGTGTCGCACCGGAAAACGACCCGCAGCGAAATGGGCGAAAGGCGACGCTTTTACGACGTAATCGGGGCGAAAACCGAGGGACTACTTTCCGGGACGCGGTAAAAGCGGCGTCCAGAGGACACGTTTCCGGGCAATGACGTCGGACCGGTTTTGTTTGCGACTCCTTCGTATCTTATCTTCTTCTGGAACGCACGATAGGGTGTCATTCAGCACGAGCTCTGGGCACTGACGGCGCTACGCTGGCATTTCGCCGCCAGCCTTGCCTTCGTATTTTCCCAGCGGGCGCACGCCGTTGGCGTCAGGAGCAACGGAGTACGTCTTCGCCCCAAACAGAAGGATGCGAGGCACCCTGGCCACACCTGAAGCTGCCAAACGAGCTGCGCTCGTAGAGTAACGGGCACTCCGATCCCTGACTGCCTCGTGGGCGCCGCCATTTCAGTGCTCGGCGCAGAGTGGGCGCACTCGGCGATCGTTGCGATCGAAAATGCGAGTTTTCGGTCTTTCGACGCAGTGTCGGGAAGCACGGGCGAGACCGTCTCAAATTGGTTCTGACCGTTGAATCGGTTGTGGCTGCTGAATCGGTTCTCGCTCGTTTTCAGGCAAGAAAATGAGCCGCTCTGGAAGCGAAGGCACCCTCGCCGAGGAGGATCCCCACGGGCAGTACGCGGCCAGCGTTGGTGCTGGTGAGTCCGTCAGGCCGAACGGGGCCCCTTCGTTTGGGTCCGGGTCCTTCCCTTTCCAGCCGACACGTTTGCAAGCTCTCCTTGCGTTTTTTTATATTCCACATTTAATTCGGGTAAATCGTACGTCCGAAGGCTGCTTACGTCCTCTTGCGATATCTCGCGAGAAGAGGACATGCCGGCGTTGTCTGTGAGGTGGCCCCGGAACTGCATCTCGCTAGAGCAAAGGTTTTGAAGTATTAACAAGGTCAAAGAGAGATCTGTGAGAAATTGTTGTTTATAACATTGTCAAAAGTTACTCGAGCTGGTACTAAGAGAATAACGTGCAAAGAAAACGGGAAACACGCGGAGGTCATGACCTCCGCACATTTCCCGTTTTCCTAATAGGTGGCGCCATTGTGCTCTCTTATCGTAAGAGATCTCAAGAGGTTGCAACGCGCTCGGGCATAAGCAGTCGCGAATGAGGGCCCTCAACTTCGGGGCTTCGCCTTTTATCGATCTGCCGACCGTAAGGGAATAGGGATGCGCTGGTCAAAGTGCAGTCTACTGCGTAGTGATTTTCTTTCTGGTGCTGTAAAAATTTCCCGTGTTGTGTAGTGCGTAAACCAGTGTCTCGCAGGGTATGAGTGATGTTACCGAATGTTGTGTCTTTAAAAGTTCTACAGGTTTCAACACCGGCGCCGCTATGCTTCAAGGACTATGCAAAGCATCTTTCTATTTCTCAATCCCTGTGTTGTCTTTTTCAGTCACAGTCAGATCTCTCTGCTGCTGCTTTGACACTATTTATGTGCCACTACTAACCCTGCTTCCATTCTAACATGCTAACCCAGCGAGTGCCTCTATGCTAACTTGGGATTTCTGTCCGCTTGCTGACTTCTGTGTACTCCATTTCACAGATTCCACGCAATGCTACCGGTGCTATGAACCTCATTATTTAATAGGTAGTAAATTTGCGTGCAGTCTCGCAAAAGGCTCGGGCACAGGTCTGTAGCTCTCTTGAATACCTTGAGGGGCTGAACACTTGCACAACAGAAACACTTTCTCTCCAAGGCCTTACGCTTAACCTGTGCCTTTTACAGTATCCTGCACAACTTGTCAGACCAAGTAGTTTTGCAACACCCTACATAATTTGCGAAATACCGAGTGCTTGCATTATGCAAATATTTTAATTTTTGAATAGTAGTTCCAAATAATGTGCTATTCAATATTCTTAGGGGTGAACTGCAATATTCATTTTTTTTTTTTTTTTTTCAAAGTGTTGATTGCAGTGGGTTAGCCCTGTTGATCATGGTTCTTACCCACAGAGCTTGCCTCTGCACATGTTGCTTTTCTGCAGTGTGCTGATGCTCCGTAAGAAGTGCTCTTGAGGAACACCTGCTACGATCAACACTTATTGCTGCTCCATGCTCAGGAGGAAAGCACTTTCAAAGAGGGATGGTGCGTGCATGCACTTAGTGTATTAAAAAAAAAAAAAAAAAAATTGAAACTTTAAATATACTATACAGTGAAACATTCAAAATTAAACTTTGGCTATTATGCAAAAGTGTGTGTTAGACAGAAGTGTCCTAACAACCTGTATTTATCATTTATGATTGTCTTTATTTATTTTCTCAAATTCGAAATTTAAGGGGTAATATGGCCTGGGAGTGTCAACTTTTAACCCTTCACTCATATGGGCACGAATTTTCAGGGTGAATAAAAGCTTTTAGGGATGATAAAATCCAAAGTTTGATCCTTATAAGCCAATTCTACAGCATCCTACTCTGCTTAAGCTCCATAAAAAAGTGACTTTATTAGGAATTGTATTAAAGAAAAATTATACTTGCAATTCACAAAATTTGTATTCTAATGTGAAGTAGAGTGCCCATAGTGCAAGTTAAGGTAAATGTTAATTCTAGAAAATGCAATTAAGAAAACCATAACACAAAAAAAAAGAAAGATGTTGTCACAAATAAAAAATGATGAGGCGATGAATAACTGAAATAACTAAACGTTTAATGGGGCGAACTTGTGCCCAAAACAAAATAGAAGTAAGTTAGCACCGCAGGCGTCGATGTCGGCGAAACAGCAGGATCGAGTTCTATGGCGAGACTGACTGCGGCTCGCCACGCGGAGCCCCTTATGTACACACGTTGGCTTCTGGAACAACGGGCGTAGAAGGTTCGGCGTGTAAAACATTCGGACCTCGAACAAACAACAGGGTTCTCCAATTTACCAGAAATCTAAATTGAAAGAATAAATAAGAGATGGTGTCGCTCCCAGGAATTAAACCCTGGGTTTCCGCACGAGAGTCAAGCACGGTAACCGCTTGGCCAAGCACATGCTCGCTCACCGACACGCGTGGCAATATTAACAAAATTTTGTGTTTTAGATTTTTAACTTCATCATGGAGCGAGTTTTTCTTTTTTTCTTTTAGATTATGAGTACCTTAATTTGTTGCTCAGGAAATTTCAGTTCAGGACACCCCAAATGAATTCTACGCTTTTACAATGTCAAAGAGTACATTTTTTATATTTTCATGAATGACAAATGATGAGGCGAAGAATAACTGAAGAAACTGAACGTTTAATGGGGCGAACTTGTGCCCAAAACAAAATAGAAGTAAGTTAGCATCGCAGGCGTCGATGTCGGCGAAACAGCAGGATCGAGCGCTGGGGCGAGACTGACTCCGGCTCACCACGCTGAGCACCCTTTGTACCGGCGTGGGTTTCTGAAACATTCGGCCTGAAACATTTGGCGCGTAGAACATTTGTAACTCGGTGAGACGAGAAAGTTCTCGAACTTGCGAGAATGACAAGTAGAAAGAATAAATGAAAGAACATTCCGCTACTTGGAATCAAACCCAGATCTTTCGCACGAGAGTCAAATGCGATAACCATTTGGCCACGCATGCTGTCGCTCGGCGACGCGCGTGACAATATGTAACATTTCCTGCCAAAAAGGAAAACTGAGACAAATGAATTTGAAGTTTCAACTTTAAGTTTCCTTATTTTCTATGAAACACGAAATTCACCTGGAGGATAGGTATGTAGCACCTTCCTCTTTAAGGCTTAATTGTCCCCCTGGCATTAACTGCCAGCTTGCATCATCTGTGAGCAAACTAACTTTGGTAGCAGACATTCCTCGGCAGATAAACTGCCGAGAACTAAGCGGCAAACAATACCAAAGAAGAGCGTCGAAGCAGCTATCTGGCTTGTGGAAGATACTATCAAAAGGGCACTGCTGAAGATAACACAATCGCATGCCCCATTTCGGGTCTCAACCAGTAAGATTTCTCATACCATGTTTTCCGCTATTTTTTCTGTTTAGATTTATGGAGTGATCCTGGTTATTGATCCTTTTAAACTTGCAAAGCCGCTACAGGCTAAATCTAGAGTAAATGGCGCTTCCAACAGGGGTTGAATGTTCTTTTGGCTATGTTAAACAAGCATGGAGCACCCCCAATTTAAAAAAAAGGTCAAACTTTGTTCCCTACTGCTCTAGAGGGCTACCGGCATGCCAAAATTAATTTTTTAATGCAAAAGCATTTAACTGTTCCATGGAGCAAAATCAGCTTTGTCTGTAGCAGCGAAACGAGAGAGAAATTGCCATTGGCTGCAGCACGTCATGTGGCTCCATAGCAACGGCGTCATCGTCGCTAAGGAGCCAGCCGAACTGCTGGCAGAGCAGCGGGAGGGGGGGACGCGGGTATGCGCTGGCCTGACGTTGGGCCTAATGTTAGGCCTATTGTTATGCTTTCATGTCTAACGTCAACCGGTACGCGCAGCTGTTTGACGTAAGGGGGGGACGCGGGTATGTGTCCCCCCCTCACGTTATCAAGCATGTGCTGCTCATTCGTATGCTCAAGGACGACACCATCCTTGGCGTTGTCCTTGAGGTCGTCCTAGACGGCGTCCTCTAGGCGTCGTTCTCGACCAGACGTCGTTTTTGAAGTCGTCCTCTAGGCGTCATTCTCGACATCGTCCTTAAGGTCATCCTAAAGGTTGTCCCAGACACTGTACTTGGCGTCGATCTCTAGGACGTTGTCCTAAACTTTACTACGAGTAGAAACATTACATTAAAACATTTCATCCGCGGACTATAATGCTTTCGCCTTCCTACATGTAAGCAGTCATAAGTGTCCTCCTGTTAATTTTTCTTTCGTGAGATAAATCCTTAATGTTTATAAATTAAAGTTCCTACTAGATGCCTACTAGATGCACCTACACCTTACATAACTTGTGAGACTATATGCTTTCATAACACTACACTTCTGAGAGCAAGCGTTCCTACAACACTTTACACAGATTTTCAGAGGAAATGCTTTCACAACACTGTGGTTTGTAAGAACACTTCCACAACCCGTTTATTAACAACTTATAATACAGCTAACTATGTAGCAATTGGGACTAGGAACTTTTATAATGATCTGTGTACACAAGTCTGAGACAGTACATTCACAACACTTGAAGCTAGTGTGGTATTTTACAACTGTATCTAACTTGTAAGACTAGGTATTTTAACAACACCCTCCACAATCGAGGTCAAAAGTAAGGATGGTCCTTGAGTCTGTTTGAGGAAGTGGCAGGGCTGGGGTGTCTTTTCTGGTGTCAAGCCAAGAACTGCATGAAACTGCCTTGCAGGTCGTGGGTTGCCGATCCTTGTTCCGACAATTTGTGGAGCTAAATATTTTCACAGCACCTTGTAACACCCAGTGATACTACTAGATATTTTCATGACTCTCTAGACTTGAGACTAGGCATTTTCACAACACCATTTACGACTTCTGAGACCATGTATGTTCATAGCACTCTAGACAATTTGTGAGGCCAGGTATTTTCACAGTGCCCTAAACAAATTGTGAGGATATGCATTTTCATAACTCCCGAGATAATTTGTGAGACAGGTATTTTTGCAACACCCTACACAACTCAAAAGATTAGGTATTTTCACGACGACCTACACCACTCATGAGGGTTTTTTTTGTTTTTTTTTCGTAACTCCGTGGCTTTATGAGGCTGGGTATTTTCCCAACTCCCTCGACTTTCGCGAAATTATGCATTTTCATACCTCCCGAGATAAATTGTGAGACTAGGTATTTTTGCAACACCCTACGCAACTCTTGAGATTAGGTATTTTCACAACACCCTACACCACTCGTGAGAAGTTTTTTTTTTTTGTAACTCCCTGGCTTTGTGAGACTAGGTATTTTCACAACTCCCTTGAATTCTGGGGCCAAGTACACAGTGCACCACAAAATTTGCGAGGACGTGCATTTTTGCAACTTTCCACGATTGCGAGACTAAGTATGCGCACCGGCAGGAGGGTGCCTGCAACATTGAGACTGCACACATTGTGAAATGGGGTACACCACAACTGTCTCGTTGTCCAAACCGTCTTTACTGCCGCAGTCCTCTTAATTAACCTCGCGTTCCCCCCCTTCTTTCCCCACTCCCTCTCCCCCCTCTGCTCCTCCCCCGTTCCCTAATAGTGCAGCATCTTGTGCACAACTCAGCCGCTCTGTTTCTGGCCTCGGTGCCTCCTGCTTGCGACTATGGCGAGTGCGCACTGACCTCTTCCTCTGCTGCTGCCGCCGCCGCCGCCGCTGCAGGCTTTCCGCCTTTCCGGATTGTGCCCGTTAACGGTAGCCACAGCACCGCCAGCCTTGGCGGCTGTTGCAACGGTGAGACAGATGCCGACTAACTTTTCCTCTCTCTGGCTTCTCTGCTTCCCCTCCAAACTTTTAAAGTGGTTGCTGGGGCACACGAATATCACGGTGGTATTGAATCAAAGTTTATTTGGATTTTCATGGGCACTTCACATTTTGGCGACGTTGGCTTGGCCCGGTAAGGATCAAAGGTATTTCTACCAAACTGTGGCCTCTACGCCCCATAGTATAGTGGCTTTCATATCTGAACGAAAATGAAGGCCACTACTGGTGCTAGTACTGCCATAGGTCGTGTTACTCTGGCAGCTAAAGCCACCGTACGCTGTATATGCCGACATTGATTTCGCCCTAAAGCCAGTGTTGGGGCCGGCTTTGGAGCCAGCATGAGGGCGAGCTGCCATTGGTCCTGGGCCAAGCCATTGTCGTTAAAAGGCAGGGTCGGGCTAGGCTCAATGCAAGAGCCAAACGGTACTTTACGTTTCCCGACATAAGATCTGTAACAGAATAGCATGTAACCGCGCGGGAGAGTCATTTCTAGTTTGATCTTTCAGCAGACTTGCCTTTTGAAGTGTACGAGGCTTTTCGAGGGGTACACCACCTGGGAATGTCAACTTCTGAACCGCTCAATCAATCAACGTGATATTTGCAGGTGGTGTTTGTAGCCATATAGAGGGAGGGCATGGAAAGTTTCAGCCCTATGAACCAATTTTATGGGGTACTGTATCCCCAGAACGAAGTAAAGCATAGCTTTGCATGGAATCTGCTCTATGAATTTATTGTTGAAAAACGGTGTTGATAACCACCTATTTTTCTGGCAGAATGCATACTAGAATACCGTTTGCTATAAAAAATTCTTTTAAAAATTATTAATTAAAAATTTATATAATTTTTTTTTATAAAGTTTTGGAAGTTACAATTTTTCATAATAAAGGAGCATGAAAATGCAAAATCTAAGTTCATAGTAACCAGCTCTATAAAATTTAGGCATATAAGCCGCAAATATTAAGTCTCTCGATGGTTTCATACTGAAATGATAGTTTTATTAAAGGAAATTTATGCTAAAAAAGTGAAACGGAAAAAAACGCGTCAGAAGTGCTTTAACCTCTACCTTTTCTTTGGTATCGCTGGACTGAAAATAATTTATAAAAAAATAACTATGCAGTGCAAACAAATGAAACTTTCTGGGAATACTCTCTAGATATTGGTGAATGTAAATGTGGCATTTTTCAAAATCAACTTTTTTTTGCAGAAATTTCTTTTTTCTGGGTAGTGCCGTCCCTTAAAGGGATGCTGAACTGAAATTTTTGATTTCAGAAAACAATGCCGAACCGCCAGGCGGGACGCAGCGAACTTGAAAGCATCACTCATAAAGCGATATCTGCAACAAATGGTCGTAATTTTGTGAAAGAAGAATGCGCTTGAACGAGGTCAAAAAAGCCCGTGACGTCACGATTCTCGTTTCCTCCTCCTTTCGCTTTGACTCCGCAAGGACACGAAGAGGGAAGGAAGCAAGGTTGTTAGTACTTCTCCGCCTCAACAATTCTGCAGGAAATGCGACGTCGCGATTCTCACTCAATCGCATCATTATCCTACAAAAATACGGCCATCCGTTCAAGATATCGCCTTATGAGTGGTTTTTTAGGGTTAGTGCCGTCACATTGAACACCCCTGGTACCTTATTTTGTGAAATCTGAATTTCGGTTCAGCATCCCTTTAAAGGGATCGTCCGGTCGAAACCGAAAGTACTTAGGTTTTTACGCTTGTTACATCGAGAAAGCCTTCATATGGGCAAACAACATTTTACAGCGGAGCTGTTCAAGGGCTAGGTTCCCCAGAATCGTGTCCAGTATGTCGACACAAACCTACCTGGACAGCTATCGCCATCTATAAGCTACGGCGGCAAGCACACAACCAGTATGGTTTGCGCCGTCGCTCGTAGATGGCGCCAACCTTTCCAGCTATCATGGAAGAATTGATAGTTGGGCGTGTTGGTGGGAATTCATTGTAGGAAACAGCGCAAAAAACGGACGACGACGACGACAAAACACACGTAACGAGTGCAGCTCTCATCACGTTTGTTTCTTCTTCCTCGTCTGTTTTGCGTGCTGTTTCCTACGCTCTTATCAGTTTCAGTTTGGACTCACAATGGGTCGGCCGCGTGCCCTTTCGGGGAAAAAAGACAGGCTGCGGAAGGAGCGGCGACGTACGCAGCAGCGCGAATGGGTTCGCAACCGCCGCAAAGCCGCTGTCTTCTCAACTTCCACTGCGTCCAGCGCTTCGGATTCCCTTGCTAAAGAGCACATCGCTCGCCTGGAAAGCCGCCGCTGAGAACAGAACCAGCGATGTAAAGGGCACCGGCGGGCCACGGAGGCTAAGTGTAAGCGCGAGGCCCGGTGACGGCTGCACTCCACACCGGCTGAACAGTTCCTGGGTGCGATGGCGAGGTTCCGGAGGGAGTTCGTAGAGAACCCGTTTGGCGTCACGTGCGCCGTGTGCGACCGGCCCTCACTCACCGGAGACGTATCCACGATCGGCGGCGTGTTGGACGAGGAGAAGCGGGAATCAAGCGCGTGCGTGTTGCGGCAATGTATCGAGTACAGCTCCGCTGGTACTCGATACACTGCCTCGATACACGCTGGCACGAGAGTGGAAAGGCTGTTTTTTTTTTATCTTGATATATGATCTCCCTTTATTAATTAAACCTTTCATGACCGTATGTACGAAACTGCACCCCGAATTTCGACAGCGTCAATGGCTGACATCCGTAGGTGTTGCGTGACGTCACAAAGCCAAAGGATCGTCAGATGGTCGGGATAACAAGCATTGGTCGATGGACGTCTTGTATTTTGTTTCGAATTACTATATAGTCTCCTAGGCTGTACCCTACTGAAATATGTTTCTTTTAATGCAGTTCCCATGTGTGCAAAAAGGTGATGCTTTTAAGCAAAATATTACTCAAAAACAGCCATAAGCTTCGAGCAAATGTATGTTGTTTCGCGCAAACACAACTGCGACGGTCACTGAGCGAACTAGAAGCGCTTGCAAAGCAAAGGATGCAGATTATGCCTCTGAAGCGGCATCTGGGAACACATATCGGCGGATCCACTGGGTCGGTGATGAGGCTGCCGGTCATTCTCTCGGAGGCAATGTCCGCGGGTGAATAGTTCAAATGCATGTCGTCAATTGACTTGGACGAGCTTGGCAAATTGTAGCCACGCATCATTTTCACACTCGAGTCAAGCAGAATCGGGCAGCATGCGTGCTAAATACAACTTTTGGCCTCAATTCCAGATGGCCTAGCTGTTGGTTTCGGTTTCGCTCCATAATCAAACCGATGATCCCGATTCAGGCAAGGAGTCTGTGGACGTAGCTGAATATCGTTGGCATAGCATCACATCTCAGCTTACGAGCCTTCTGTCTGCTTAGAGCTCAGCTCTTAGCTCTCTTCTGTGAGATGATTGCTACATATGCAGGCTCTCGATCTTAACAAGAACGCACCCCCTACACACGACAGCAATCTATTTTGCACGTCACTGCACGTCCCACGGAAAAGTGTGGAACGTGACGTCTTGGCTCGCATGTGCTGCCCGGTGGTTGCAGCACCCAACTGCGCAACGAAAATTTTACTCGTCCACGAAATAAGGCAAGCGCAACAACAAAAACAAAGCACACTGCGGCATCCACTCGGAGGCAGACGACGACACGGAAATGTTTGCTTTGTGTTGCCAACGAAAGCTGCATTTGTGCTAGGATGTGATTGGAGCAGTATAAACTCAATTGCTCATGCAGAGGGGCATATAAATTTCAGATATTGCACATACGATGTGTCTCGAGGCAATAATAATGATGTTCAATTGTTTTCTCGAATACAAAATTGGACCGGACAATCCCTTTAAAGAGTATGAGCATGGAGTTACCGAGCGTAAGATCAAGGAGGCATGGGGTTACCAAGTGTAGGATCAAGGAAGCATGGGATCACCAGAGCCAGCACCCTTACCACGGGTCATTTTGATTCTGGGGCAGGGAGGTGCTAGAGAGAGATATTGCCATTTCGTGCCAGCGTGTGGGCTCCCATTTCTCCTGCGTGGTGCACATTAAAGACCCCATGCCGGCAGTGCTACTGCAGCAGAGATGTCGGGCACCCTCTAGGGCAGTCTTTTCCCACCGTCTAAACAGACGAGCGACGCAATTTTAGTTGATGGACGGTTGATGTGACGATTGCGTCGTCTACGCGTCAGGGTCCGTGACCAGCATGGCCTCCCTGCTGAGCTTCCGCTGTCCGGAGCGTCCCAGCACGCTTCCGGTGGGTGCCGCGGCCAAGTCCAACGGAAGCTCGTCCCAGAAGCTGTCCCTCCTGGACGAGACGGAGGACGACGAAGACTCGGAGTTCGCCGACACCTGCGCCACCCAGGCGTCGCACAGCGCGGCCACCACGCCGGGAATCGTGGCGTTCTCGGTCGGCGACGGAAGGTGGGTTTCCTCTTACTTGAGCGCTTGCAACGAGAGTTGTGGAGGTATGGTGCTTGAAACGGTAGCAATGCAACGTCAATTTGGACCCAATTTAAGCCCTTTGCTATACTTCAATTCATCTTAAGTATGAACGAAGCCGACACTTTGAACCGGCGGTACCAGTCACGCACGGTGTTCATGTTTCTGTACATGTTCTATCATAGCCGAACCAATCACGTACAGGGAAGGCCCAATGACTGCACTTTTGATGCCGTTTGATTGGCCCTGTCGGCTCATGGCATTGGCTGCCTTATGACTTAAAGGTGAAACGAAGTATAGTATCCTCAAGAGATTATATAGGGCCTTCATATATGCCATTGCTGTTTTCAAGCCCCGCACAAAACTGATTTTTTGTTAATAGCGGTTGAAATTTAGGTTTTAAGCTTAAGATCCTAATTGTGCTTGTTTTGTCTCTGCCAGTACGATGAGCAAGTGTTCCAATTGGTTCTGGCTGCTGAATTGATTGACTGCTGAATCTCCTCTCTCTGCTGAATCGGTTCTGGTTGCTTAATTGGTTTTGGCCGGTGAATGTTTTGGCTGCTGAACAGGCTCTGGCTGCTGAATCGGTTCTCTCCGCTGAATCAGTTCCCTCCCTAAATCTGTGCTTGCCGCTGAATGGGTGTTTGCCGCAGAGTCTGTTCTGGCTGCCGTATTAGTTCTGGCCGCCGCATCGGCTCTTGTCGCCGACTCGTTTCTCCCTCGCCGATTCTGCAGCCCACCCGAGCTGGCTCCGCTGACATCGCTGACGAGGCCGAGGAGCGCGCAGTGGCTGAACAAGGCGCAGAGCCAGGACGGGTTGGTCGACCGCAAAATCTCGACGTGCTCCGAACCCGCCGTTCCTTCCGAGTTGTCGGCGCATTCCAGCAACGCCGCCAGCCCTGCGACGGATCACGCGCCGACTCTCTTGACGGCGGAGGCGATCGTGCTTCCGCGGCCCCCGCTCACGTCGTCCGCTTCGATGGAGCGCCGCAAAAAGGCCGGAAACATCCTCGTGGCCGCACTGAAGGGCGGCTTTTCGGGAAGCGCCGGCGGCGGGCTCGACGAAGAGAACTCGACGGACTCTAACTCCACGGCAGACGACGACAGCCTCCGCGAGAAGAAGAAGAAGGCTTCCATCTTCCAGCCTCTCAAGAAAAAGAAGTCGAAGGCCATGTGACTCCTTTTCGTTTTCCCCTTCTCTCTTTCCCTTTACTACCATCTCTCTCTCTCTCTCTCTCTATCCGTCTCCGAGCGTTGCGACAAGGGCACCAAGTGTTCCTTGCGTCAGACTGCGAGAACTCTCTCGGTGACGGCCACGGCGACAGTACCCGGTTCCTCGGAGACCTTCGTTCCCCCGGTTTTGTTTTCGAAACGTGCCGGGGTTGTTGGCAGAACTTTGTTGTTTTTTTCTGTTTGTATGCGTGCCCCTGGATTACCTTTCCACGTCTCCACACCCAAGTTTCTTTTGTGTTTTTTTTTTTTTTTTTTGACACCGTATACAGGTCTGCAGTGATGGACACTAGATGTCGGGAGCGCTCGATGGAAGCTTGGAAGGTTCTTTTTTTTTTTTTTCCTCTAGGCTTCCTTTTACGCATTTTGTACAATTGCTTTATTGGGCCGGGAACGACGGGCAGAGGTGCACGATCAAGGAGAGAGAGCGATATTTTTGTAAGTTATACTTTGAGCACTGTGCGAGATCCTCCTAACCGATCTTTGTTGGCAACAATGCTTCAATGTCTGTACATTTTTCTTTTCTTTTTGTGTGGGTTATTTTTGCGAAGCACTTCTCGTGTTTGTAGCTTCCCGGCTAGTGGGAGTCCCGCAATTTACAAAACAGTTGGATCGTCTTTCCTGCAGATAAAGCCGTATACTTTGTTTAGCTTCGCTGGGAGGAGGGGGGAGGGGGGGGGCAACCGGTAATAAACAGGCCCGCCGACTAGTAGCATTTCGTTGCATTTTGGCTTGTCGAAAAAGCGTTGTCCGTCTCCGTGCAAGTTTCGTCACGTGTTGTCTGGTACCAGCATCTTTTTTTTTTTTTTTGTTACCTTTACATGTTTTTTACGTCTTGTGCCCAGTTTTGCGAAGGACTTACCCTATGCCAACCTGCTTGAGAACAATGCTTGCGAACTAGAACGGAAGAGCAAATCGATTCGGCGCGGCGGCGTAGGCCCGCGCAAATGCGTCGCTTGAAAGAAAGAAAAAAAAATGCAAATCTGTGATACCGGTAAGGAATCTCGCATGGGCGTCTCTCCACCGCCGCGCAGGCAATAAGAGTTGCACAGAACGTAGTTCGGAATAGCGTTTTTTTTTTCTTCGCGTGCGTCAAATGGCACGAATCGGTGAGTTTTCGTGTCTCCTTCGACGCGACAAACTTTCTTCAGAGTCTTCCCATTTGTTCGTGTTACTACGTTTTAGGTGTGGCATTATTGGTATCGTGGCAACGTATTTTTTCTTTCTGATCCTTTTTTTGGAATGAGTTGAAAGTATTCCTGAAGTCTGATCCTGTCCGCGTTACGTAGTGTGTTCCGACCTTTGGAAGGGACTGGGTAGGAGAGGAGAAAAACCGCTATGGTGGCACCTGATTTTAAAAACAACATTAAGTTCTTTACACAGTTTGAATGTTAGCATGTTGAGTAATAATAGTACTCTTGCTCCGACGGGATGTGCTACAGAGATATAAAATAAAAGCCTTCATTTTGTGGACTCTTGCGGTTTCCGGCCGCCTCATTTATAGTGTATTCATGCGACTGATCTTTACCTCCAGAGAAAACTGACTATATGTTAAAGGCTACAAAATCTGAGCGAGCATTCGCATGATGAAGTCGCGCGTAGTTGAGCCAGCAGTGTCTTCCTTTTCGTGAATATGTTTGCAACCTTCGGGGCGAATGTTGGAATTGAGCCGAAGCAGTTTTCAAATCGCTTCAGCAAAGCTATGTGGGGACTTCGGTCGTGAGTGCCTTACTATGACTCGCCACTTTGACGAGAGACGCATGGTAACTGATTTACAGCTGATCTTTGCAAGAGACGTGGTTACATGCAAACGTCCTCCAGAAGCAAAGAAGACTGGAGAATAATTTATTTCCGTCGACACAGTGCAGGGAAGTTGCAGAGAACTGCCAAAGAGGGATTTCGCTTAACGCGAAGAATGTCTGAAAACAAGTCATTCAAGCAGACGACACGGAAGACACTCCTTTCGTTGTGTCATTATACTGGCGGGATGCCGGGGCTCCCCATCCCTGCGCTGTGCAACCGATGGGAAAATCCGAATCCCCTGGCCTCGCGCCTAGAGCGAAGAGAAGGTTTTTTTTTTGTAGCGGCGACAACGGACAAGGTTGAAATCTCTGCAGTGTTGCCCGTAAAGCTATTGCTTTAAAAGGGCATGGAAACTAAATTTAAGCTGTTATTTCTTTGATTAGCTAGAAACTATGTGTCAGCCCCTTAAAAACACCAGTCTTCTGCTCGTAAACACACAAACTAATTTTAATACGATTATGATTTCTCAACACCACCTGGTAGTTCAGAGGCTGATGTAGTTATGACGTTGAATTAGTAACGCAAAACTATCGATAGTAAAAAAAAAAAACTATCAATAGTACCATCTATAGTTGACTATCGAAAAGTTATGGATAGTTGACTATCGATAGTCGACTATCGGAAAATTATAGTTAATCGACTATCGGAAACCTATCGATAGTACTGTCTACGGTGTATTATCGATAGTTTTGCGACATTAGTAGTTTGTGTCGCTCCCTCTTCTTTCTCCCGCTTTATTTTTTCAAATGGGACACCAACTAGCCCTAGCACTTACCGTCCCAATTTTGGTTCAGCTTTCAGTGACGACGAAGACGGGAGTTTGGGTGGAGAGGAGGAAGGAAGGCGAGCGGCGGTGCGGCAACTGTGTTCGCTCTAGTGGTGCAAAACTATCGATAGTACCATCGATAGTCACCAGAAATCTGACTATCGATAGTAAAAAAACTATTGATAGTCGACTATCGAAAAACGTGATTGTACTATCGATAGTTCGATAGCTTGGCATCACTATGTTGAATGCCTCCCGCCCCAGCACCACTCGGAAGTACAGCGCAAATGTATAAACAATTCTGGCTTGAATGGAATCGGGGAAGCTTCCATAGTGCTTCCGCAACGTGTATTTGACACCATCAAGATCGCCATTCTCAGCAGGCGACAGGTAGGAGCTTGATCTGGGGATGCGGGGACCTCTGCCAGACCAACCATACCACTCCCCCCCCCACACTTTTCAGATGTGCTGTGAATACCATGCTCAAATATGGCACCCAGTGAATACCTTATAAAGAGTATTCACTGGACGCCTTATTTTCACGGCTTTTTTTTATTTTGTTAACTAACCTGTTAAGGGCGATGTTTAGGGTGTATGCTCAGATTGAGCGCACATTAATAGCCTGCTAAGACCGGCAATCTTGATGGTGCGGAATGCATGTTGCAAGAGAACTGCGGAAGCTCACCGTTGGCACGCGCTCGGCAGCAGTGCACACAGCTATGGTCATAAGTGAATTCTCCCTATATGCATGGCTTCCAGGTGTTGCCGTTGCTGTGGTGCTGACGGTTATTTCTATTTCCTAGTTCCCTCGAGCTCCTACCCGCATCCTCAGATCGGGGATTGTATTCGTCATTCTTGTCCAGCTCGCTCGCACCTTTACATTTACTTGCATGATAATCATAAGCCGTCAGAACCTTTTCTTTTTTCCGTTTTATTATTGTTTTCTTTCTCCTCCCAGTCTCGGGGTTTATCATCACGTTTATAATACCGACATTGATTTTCTCTGGAATGTGGATCCTCACACTGGATTCACCAAAGTACCCTTATGGGCTCCCCGAGCTCCAAACTTCCCTGAACCGTCCCGAACGGCTGGTTCAAACACTTGGAACTGCTTACGACCGTGTGCCTTAAAACCTCTGAAGATCTGTTGGGACGATGGTGATGACGATGTTGCTGTGGCTATTTTTCTTTGAATCAGGAGGACTCTAACAGAGTTTGTGCCCAAGCCTGGGCGCGTAGGTATCTTAATGCTCCTTGAGATGGATCTTCTGCCACCAGTCCTCAAGTCTTCTTTTCGTGTCTGCAACAAACCTGTTTGTGTCGTTAAAGGCTACCTTCAGCCCCGTAGTTGGGAAGACTTCTGTGAATTGTCCGATTCCGCTGTGAGTGAAGCCCAACGCTTTAGCTAGTGCTAAGGGTTTCGAAAGTCGTGGGCCATTGCCCTGTGACCGGCACAGCTTGAGCCTCGCGCAGTCTAGTACAATGTGCTCCACCGCTTCCTTGTTTACCCCGCACACCCGACACATTGTTGACGTAACAATGGTGTCGAAACGATGCCTATAAGACGGCGTTCGGAGGGCCCTGGCACGTGCCTCGAAACAAGCGGCAACCCAGGCTTCCGAGGCGATGGTCGTTTGGGCGTCCTACACCCCCAAAGTAGACTTCGTTTGGGCGTCCTGGAGCCATTGTTGGTTCTCATAGTCTCAGATCCTCTTTCTAACTTCCGACGTCCACTCCGTCTCCGTCGATGCATCAGTAGGCTCCGAAAAAAAAGCCGTACTTCTGTTGAAGTTGATAGAGGCACTTCTGCCAGCGGGTCCGCAGACCGGTCAAGTTGATGTATATAAACAATCTCTTTGCCCAACCCCTGGGACACGCACCACTGCATTTGCAAATGTCAGTCCGGACACCATTACCGCTTTCCACAATTCCCGCGAAACAATGAACCTGTAGCAACTCCAGAGGCTCCGCTGAAGGGAGATGTTGGCTCCTCGTATGGCTGCTTGGCAGAGATGGGTGTGATGGCCTTGCAGGTAGTCTGTGTCGTTTGACATCGTGATGCCCAAGTACTTGTAGGAATTAAGAATTGGTACATCGCACCCCCCAAGGCGAAGGCTATCGAGAGTTGTCTCGAGGGAGCCTGAAAACACCACCGCCGCAGACTTGCTGGTGTTAAATTTTAAACCAGGTCCCATAGCCTCCTTGGAGCATATTTCAAGAAGTTTTTACAGTTCAAACACTGATCCTGCTGTCAGTACCACATCGTCCGCTTATGTCACTCCCGGTAGTACCCAGTCAACTCTATCCCCATGCTCCAGATGTGCTAGCGAAAAGCCCAGTCCTGATTGTATAAGTTGCTTCTCTAGAGTGGATACATATAGCATATACAATAGGGGAGAAAGCATGCAATCTTGGCGTAAGCCCCTCGTCACCGGCACCTCCTCAGAGTGAGCATCATTGAGGTGGGTCATAACCGTGTTGCCATGGTATTGGCGCGAGATGAGTGTTGTCCACTCCAGTGGCATGTTAAGCTGTCGTAGGCTAACAATAAGTTGAGCATGGGAAACACTATCGTAGGCCTTTGCAATGTCAAGGGAACAACATATTAGGCTCCTCTCCTCTTTCCATGCAACCTCAATGCTTGTGTTGGGGTAAAAAGATGGTTTTCTAATCGGCGTCCTTGTCGGAAGCCTCCTTGCATTTCTGTCAGCATACCCTCTTCTTCTGCCCATGAGGTCATGCACTTTTCCTTGATGTGGGCGAATGTCCTATACATTGTGCTTGTCACAGTCGGGGGTCTGTACTGTCGAAAGTACTGACGGTCACATCCTTTTTTAGGAATCGGGACGACCCTGCTACATTCCAGTTTCAAGGAATCTCTTCTGTCACAGATGCAATATCATTGAAAATTCCTGCGAGTTGATCCCTGGAATCTTTGCCCAGTGCTTTGAGCACACTTGCCGGAATGTTATCTAATCCCTAGGCAGTGTTGTTCTTAATATGCACTTCTGCACGTATAACTGACACCCTACCAATGGTTACATTATTGTAATCCAGTGCACAATCTGAGTCTTGTTTGGAGCAGAGATTTTGTAGTTGTCTCTCTCCTGGAGGCAAGAAAATTTCAATGAGATGGTCTGTAAGGCATTGCCCAAGTCTCTCTGTGGGCAGCCCTGTCTTCGTCCAGGATTGCTAGGCACTGGTCTCTTAGACTGAGTAATAAGCTTGAGGTTTGACATACACTGTTAGTGTGACGAGAGATCACACTAACGCCATCTATTGGGTAGCTGTGAAACAATTTGTTTCAGTATATTTTTTCTTCTTTACGGGCATGATTCTTTCTTGGCTCGGAAAACCTTTGACAATGTTATAGGCAATCACTTCTCATAGGTAGTATGCGCCCTTCTCACAATTCTGCAAAACTCTCGTTCTAGTGAAATTCAGTTCCAGGGTCACCTCATATATGGCGCCAGCTTGCCAGTCTGTTCTCTCGTCGCAAAAAATTGCAAGAGTTTAGTCCTAACCTGCGAAAGCGTATGACGGGCCTTTAGTGAAGCCTCTTTCTAGTTTAAATGCCGTCTTAGCAGATCTGAGTTATCTATCAATGCATGACTATGAATCAAGCACTCCCTAGTAGTATGTGCAATATTGTTTCACAAAGTGTGAGCTTCACAAGAGCTTTATTTCCTCGGTGCCAAGACGAGGAACATTCCTTGCGATCGAACACAGAGAACCGGTGCTTTAGAACAGCATCTTATGGAATGCCCCTCATTCAAAAAGAAAACACAAAGACTGTTTCTTTTTCCAGACCAAAACTGAACAGGTTATGCTATAGTATACGACAATTTATTCGGACCGACGACGACATGCACGGTGAACAAATATTATGGCTGATCTCCTTTTCTACACAACAGGACATTACCTGAACGGCAGTGTCGCCATCAAAAACAAGAAAAGATCTCAGCAGCACGAAAAATATATAAATTACACAAACAGGGTCAGGCTGCGTAAGCCAACCAAAAGGCCGGGCAGATAAATATATAAAAACAAAGAAGCAATGAGCAGGGGAACACGACTAGAATGGGGCCACCGTTAACTTGCATCATACTGCGACCGTCCATGCCAACCCTGTTGCCATCGGTCGCCGACGGGGTTAGGGTAGTAAAGGGGAGCTCTGGCAGGTGTTGTAGCTACCCAAACTTCTAAACACACTCTCAGAATGCCCGGGCTTTGGCCTTCCCGGCACGCCATCTTCTTGCGATCAGATGGGAGCAAGTTGCATCGCCCCTAATTCGGCTCGAATTACAATGTTCGACGTCACGTTTTCGGCGTTGCCAGTATGTCCCCTCACCCTCGAACTTTCAAATGACTTCGCAAAATCAAAATTATTGCGACGTGCAATTTACTAGGTCACGTGTGTCTGTTAATCTGTTGAACCAATTTGGAGCCTAATCGGCGAATGCCGAAATTTTGCCGGAGCTCCCCTTTAAATATGGCCCCTACGTAATTCTCGGTGACTGTGCCCACACACAAAATAAGCTGTCGTAGCAGAAATCCAAGATGTCGAAAAAGGACTGATGAAAGCTCACGATGGAATTTTGGCGCCGTAGAAGGAAAACAAAGAACAATGTCTGGCAGATCCCTAGGAAGTTATAAATAGGGCTCGATGTTTTTTGGTATGTGCCAATAAACACCAAAAACAGGCCCCAGAGTCGGTTTTATTGAAATCGGGGAAACCAAACAACCCCGAATTGAAACTGACCTTGAACGAGAGAAATCTAAACTTTACAGGAAGAGATCTTTATCTACAGCTCTATTTCGTGATGGCCCAGAACACTGCAACCGATTTTGAAGCTGGTACTTGAGAACCACACCCCCTCTCTCGTTCCCTTCTCTTACTGGTACCAGGATGTTTCCTCAAGTATCCGGGACAAGCGCATGTTCTCCAGAAATTGGGGAATTCTGTGCCCATTTCTCGTACTCACCAACACAAGTACTGACAAAAGTCAATCTTTTGTCCAACAGCTAAAATTGACAGCAAAAAAACACATAATTCATGGCAGAGAATAAATCCCGAAACTCCACCCCCCGACTTTTTTGAAAAGAAAAGAACACCAAAAACACGGAACCTTAGTTATAAAGTAAGCAAAAATTGTTTCCTTATAATTTTGTTTTTTAACCTTGACGTTTTCTTAAGCCTCACCATCCACTGCAAGCCCCTGCAGCGTGCCCCAAGCGCTCGCACATGGCACATGTTCTATCTGTCCGAATACTGTCTGTTACAGTTCGCACAAAAGGCCAAAAACATGCACAGTGTAGCATCCCGTCACAAAAAAGCAGACATTGTTGGAAAGGCCACCATGTGTTAAGGCACAACATCGCAAGAAAAAAGGCACAGTCGACTACAGTATAATGGAATGGAATGTGACTGTAGCTTTCAAGTGAGAGATCACTCTCTTGGCACAAAAGTTGAGACTGTTGTCAGCATAAATAAGACCGCTCAATCAAGGCACTGACAGTTTGCACCACCCACAACAGAAGCAGCAACTAATCCAGAAAGCGACGTTACAATGGTCTGCCAGTTACAGAGGTGGCAGGCCACATTTGATTAGTTTAGAACAGAGCCACAGTTGCCGACGAGCAGAAATTAAATTCGTATTGCATCACAATAAACGAGCCACATCCATTAACGGATGTAACGTCCACGCGCATCTTCAAATATGTGAGCTTGAGAGTGTGTTTTGCTATATCCATGTACATTTAGCAAACCTCGAGAAAAATACTTCCCAATCTTTTTGATCTCCAGCCACAACCCCCTAGTCAGCTCTCTTGTGACAAGACAGCTAATGAATTAATGAATTTTTCAAGCAGAAACTCCAGATTGAATAAACCAAGTTCTGGCAACCTGGTTCGAAGAACCCTTGTTCTAGAGCCACCAGCTAAAACTCATTTTTGACTGAGTGGAATGCAGACAAGTGGGACTCATTCTAGAGCACTAAAAGAGTAACAGAGTGAGAGGTGTTTGTCTCTTGCAAGCTGTCAAATAGCATCACCAAAGCCTGTACAGTCGAACCCGGATATATTGAATTCAAAGGGGATCGTAAAATAGTTTGATATATCAATATTTTGATATACAAAATATGTTAAAATAAGCTCGAGTTGAAACCTCCTGGCGTGTCTGCTAACACTAAAGGTCGCGACAAACGGGAGCTTCCCAAATGGAGCATTCAAGAGCCGCTAATCACAATAGAACATAGTTGGCACAGACCGCAAACACTGCCGTGCTTACACGTGCGCCTCGCTGGGACCTTCACACAGCATAAGCGACAAAACACAAAAATAATTTTTAAAAAAATTAAAAAGAAAAAAAAAAACGGAAAAACGAGACGCACAAAAAAAAAAAAAAAAAAAAAGGAAGGGGACACACTTCCTGGGAGGGTCAACTTTTAAACCCTTGGCTTAAAATTAATGAAATTAACAGGGTAGGCTAGTGGTCATGCTAGAGGGTGCATAATAACATTTCAGGTCTGTTGGTTAAATGGGGAGGAAATTGGAGCAGCTTCTATCAGCAACACACCTACATTGTTTAGTCAATCTATCGTCAGAAAACTCTCACAATATTCAAGATTTTTATTTACTAAATATGTAGAGAATGCCAGTGGGTGCAGCTATGAAAAGTTTTATTTTGTAAAAAGTCATTTATTTCTATAAATTTTCTCTTATGCTAAATTGGTCAACTTCTGGTTTTTGGCGTCTTCGACAAAATGTCAACATTTTTTATAAAAGGCAAAAGTGACAAAAAGATTTCATAGCCGCATTCCTTATGAAATTTCAGTCAGGAAAAGTGAAGAACGAGCCGTCCCTGTATTGCCATTATCAAACGATAGATTAACTAAAATGGATTTTATATCAAAAAGTGAAACGGAGAAAAATGTGTTCAAAGTGCTCCAACTTCTACCTTTTCTTTAGCTTCGGTGGACAGAAAATAATTGATAAAAAATTAACTATGCAGTGTAAACTAATTAAACTTTCTGGGAATACTCTCTAGACGTTGATGGATATAAATATGTCATTTTTCAAAATCAACTTTTTTTGCAGAATTTTGTTTTCTTTTGGGTAGTGTCCCCCCTTAAAGGGCCCATGAAACGATTTTTGGGTTGGGATAAATCATTTTAGATTGGGATTTTACTAATAGCACATCGTTCAGTGGACCAAAAGAAAAAAGGTAGAAAGTCAAAAGCCTGACTTTCAGTGCGAAAATTTGAAAACAGAGCGGACTATTTCGTACCTCCTCCCTTTCGCAACCTCTCTGCCTTTTCACTGTGATACATCCATGGTCCCAAAAGCGCGTTATCGGGTCCAAACTGACGTCACACGCAACCGGACCTCGCTTATTCCCTTCACCCCTAAGCTGACATTGTGGTGGAAGCTACGCGCTTGCCGAACCAATCAGCCGCCTCCCTTTCATCACCTGACTTCATTCTCTGCAGCCACATTTGCCACGCTCACGTGGCAAGTGTGGCTGGCCCAACGAGCACGTAGCTTCAACAGCACTGCCAGCTTCGGAATGAACGGGGTGGGGAAAGCAACTTTTGTCTGAATTTTGAGCGACGGGCTAATCTTCTAGGGGGAGAATGGATGTGTCCGGGATTACACAAACGAGAGTGCGAGCAAGAGGGGACTCCCCCTTTTCGTCTTCTTTAACTGTTTGTTGGAATGCGCGATTTATGAGTTGAGGAGGAAAGCGAAACAGGAAAAAGTTGGAAAAGCGTTTCATGACCCCTTTAAGCAAGCAACAAAAAAGAAAGCTCACTAAATTCAGGTAGCAAAAAAAAAAAAAAAAAAAAAAAAAAAAAAAAAAACGGGCAAAGCAATAACGGCAAAAGAAAAAGGTCAACAAAGATAAGGCGTTTAAAGTGCGACTGCACAACCGTTCCTGTCAACAAACGACTTGATGAAGACTTTTTTTTTTTTTTTTTTGCTCATTTTATTTTGGGGCTAAGGAGTCGTGCAGTATCAACAGTGTTCGGGGAAAGGGCGCAGGCCACCTTTTTCCACAACTGCGCTTTTTCCACAACTGCTCTTTCGTTGCATCTTACCGCGTGTATGCTGGCTTGGAGGTCTACCAGCCCCGCAACGCAAGCGATGTGTTCACCACCGGTGCAATAGGATTGTGGGCGGCCGGGCTTCGTTCGCTATTGGGCAGGAGATCGAACTATAGGGGGCGCTCTGACCCGTTTGTTCCCCCACACCTCGGTGTCTACTCAACAGAAGGCCTGTGCACATGCCCAAAGGCCTTATGGGCTTGTCCATGTCATCTTCTACAATAGAGCACGGGGCGCAGTGTAATGTAAAAAATACTAACAATCGACGAAGTGACGTTAAGTGCCGGATCTCCCCCGAAAGCAGTCGTCAGAGAATGCGAGCTTGACCCACTTGGGCTTTTGTGCTGAGCTGGGCACCGTGCATGCTGCTTGTTCATGCAGGCCGGAGTGGCAACAATAGAGCCCCTCCTTCCCCTCACCGCAGAATACGAACTCCAGCCGAACGCAGAGGCCGCGTTCGGTTATGTTGGCTGAGCGCTGAGTCATTGTATTTGTTGTCCCCATTATTCGTGCAGTTCTAAAGTTAACCGCTTGGGGCGTCACGGTCTGTCCTCCTCCCCAATATCAAGTGTCCCCGCCATGAGAGTTCGATGCAAAAAGACAATGCTCCTGTAGTGTTACATGTGATTTTCAAGGGGATGTTTGGACTGTTTGATATGAACAATAATTCGGAATACCAGAGTGTGATATAACCGGGCTCGACTGTACCTCATTATGTCCCTCAATTTGTCAGCTAGTAAGGCTCTGCTACCCACGACAATCAAGTGGTTTCGATGAAACCGTCGTCGCAGAGGTCTCATAATTGCACAACCATATCTGGTACCAGTTGCAAACAGACAGTAACAGTCATTCTAACGTTAGAAAACCAAAGCTTTACACTTGTCAAATAAAAGGACTTATTACGTAATACCATGTGTATGTCAAACTTTTAATAGTTATGGCCTTCTTATTTATTTTTAACTGTCCACATTCGCATTGTAGGTTCGAGATCACCGATTAGGTACAAAAACGTTTCCCCAGATGCCATTTTTTCTGGCCCGAGATCAACAGATTAGACAACACAGCATATCTATAAGCATGTACACATTGCACATTGATGAGCATTGCAGAAAAAAAAGACAATATGCTGCATTTTACTTAAGTAATGCACGCCGAAACAAAAAAAAATAATTTTTTTTCTTAATTTTTTAGACGAAAATGGAGATATCTTCAACTGTACAAGGTTGAAAAGTAGACCTAGGGGTTGCTAATACTACAGTAAACCATCAACAGGAACTCCAAAACATGCCTCATAAAATTGTAAATCCTCTATCAAACCAACTAATTTCTCCTGCAGGGCCCACGGATAGGCACAAAACTATAGAGCAATGGCTCATTGAGCATTTGTGCACAGTTTGCCCAAGGTTGTGCAGCATATATTCTCCAAACATCTAAAGAAATCTCTTCAAATATCTCGCTCTCAAAATGTTGTGCAAAACCATTTTCGGTGGTGACTAACTTGAGCTTTCCTAGCATAAATTATACAGACTTGGCAGTGTAAATCAGGGAGACACCCTGGCACTTTTTGAGCTAGTAGCTGTCGCACGGCATTTGCCCTTTCTACGCCTTTTACAAAGAGCCGACCACTGCCATAATGTTTATGAAACCAACTATGATTCAAGAAGACCGCTGTGTCACATGTAGGGTTTTCCAAACATGAAGCAAGTTCAGCTGCGTTTGCTTCACGAAATGTGGTTTGTCCGCTACATTTGTGACTGGGTGACTGCCATCGCAAAAGTCACTACCTTTGGTGAAGAGCTTTCAAGGCGAAACATGTGAAGGCACTTCTGTTCATTGGTTCACCTAGCTACTTCCAACAAGCCTCAATGTGGTATGCCCAAAGGTCCTGGAAGAACATATCCAATTGCAAATGACGTGTCGAGATCTCCAAGTGGCTGAAGAGTGCCTCACAAGAAGAAACACAGCCAATAAAATTACATTTACATATGCACAAGAAAAATGATAAATTGCACGTCTAGTGAGCACGTCATCTGCAAAAAAAAAAAAGCAAAATGAACAAGCACTGTCAACCACTCACTGCGGAGCTCAAAACTACTAAAATGTTTTCGTTTTAAGATCTCTCCAGTTGACCTTACAGATTACCTATTATACTCTTCACATCTACCCTTTTGCATTCGGGGTAGCGAAATCCCTTAAAAAATTTTGAATGTCAAGTTTTATAAAAAGCTAAAATCTATGGATGCTCGCAAACCAATGGGGGGCTGAAGTTCAAGGCCTGGGACCAGACCTAAAAGTGGCACCGGTGAAACGGTTCACATTCAAGCATCAGATGCAGGAAATTTCCAATTCGTACAGAGTCCGGGATGCCAGCATGTAGGCATTGAAAACACTTTGAATGCATCCAGCCAAGAACTATGGCACAACAGCGTCTCCCTCTTGCATCATAGTATGTCGTAGCATCCAACGACACTGTGGAATCTCAACCGCAATTTCCCATTTCCGTACCAGCGGACCGGTAAATGGGGTGTGAAGGTGGTCACCAACATCCAAATGCAGGTGCTCTGTTTCACTGCGAAATGGAATAGAGCGAACATCAAGCCTGACGAACAAATGGTACGCCACCATTTTGCCAGATCCCGACACCAAAAACCCGTTTTCAACCACTCCTGTGCCTATGACGACAGAAATGCACGATTCGCCACCTGTCGCGACGGGAAATTGCCCTAGTGTAAGCGAATTAGATGAGACGTTACCAGACGATGGGACACTAAAATGCTTGCATCACCTTCATGCATAAAGTACCGCTGTTTCTTTCAGACGTTCCTCGCACGATCGCCGACTTTCAGGTCCGGGGGCATTCGTGTCGGTCATGTTCACGGCGACCAAAACGACAGCAACAACCGGGACAACTCTGACTCACGATCGCTTGACAAAGCCTTATTTTCCTAAATGCTAAAAAAAAACAAAAAAACATCCCGGCAACTTCGTCGCCACCGTCGTTTCGGTCGCTCTCGACGCAACCAGCGCAACCGTCTGAACTGGGCTCAACATAGTAAATACATAAATCGCAAAAGACAGACAAAGGCACGAAGAAGACTGGACAGTTGTGAGTAGCGCTGCCCTGCCTTCTTCACGTCCTCTGCCGTCTTTTGCACTTTGTGTATTTAGTCCAGCTGAATGGCATTATAGTTTCCCCTCGTCTGTCGGCGATCTGCTCTGTGTAGTCCGTCCGTCTCACGCCTACAAAGACTCAGTCCGCCGCGACAGGTGCACGTTAGATCAATGCTTGGCAGAAGACAAAGCTTGCGTCCTTTCCCCCGCAGACGTCGTCGCTAGTGGATCACTGCAATGCCGGTCTAGCCACGAACGAGACACCAGTGCTCGGCGATGCTGAGACCGACGCGTCTGCGGCTTTACAGCGTCGTCTGCCGCTTGGGGCGGGTTGGAAGTCAACAAACGAAGACGTCATGCACAAGCCCTGTCTCCTAGGCGGCATTGGTCGGATTCACTCCTCACCCCCGACTCTACGCAAAACGTACAGGGTGCCGGCGTCGTCCACGGTCACAAAGGTGCCGAAGTCCGGCGAGACAAACAGAGACTCAGCCCCCGCGCTGCGCAGCCAGAACTTCTGGAGTGGCCTGTCGGATTCGGTGGTTCGCCCGTCCGCGTCGAGGCGCCACCAGCACACGGACTCCGAGAGGGATGCCAGCTGCCGGCCGTCGGGCGAAAACGCGAGGTCGCGAACGAACGACGAGTGGCAGCCTAGCCTTGCAACGCTGCCGTCATTGGGATGGTAGACCTTTGAGAAAGAGGGGCACCATAGAAATATGTCAATCACGGCGAAATTTGTTGGACCGTGGGTCCTCCAAAGTACCCTCCGGGGTTCTCCGAGCTCCCCAATTTCCTCGGCCGTCCCCGACGGTGTGCTTCTAGTTTAAGCACCATTTTAGAAGATTTAAGTCATTCATCAGTGCATAATTGTGTGACAGACACTTTTTTAGAATGTGCATTATTGTTCACAAGGATTGTGGGTTTCTGTACTACTCCACTGAATTAATGTCGAGTTTGGGAGGGGCTTTCCGGCCATCAGTAAAGGCAGGAAAGGGTTCTGCCTCTACCAATGATGGGCGTGGGATGTCTACTTCAGAACTCTCGGTCAAGGTAGAGGTCTCACGCCCATCAAAACAATTAGGATTTATTCGTACGAACGGCCGACCACCAAGCTGGTCCGCCCGAATCATCGCCCCTTCTCCTGGCTGAAGGCATCGCTCGCCTTACGGACACGAATTGGTAAGAGCTTGAAAAAAAGTAAAAGCCGTTTGTAACTCCCTGTTACGCCGAATTAGAGCGCAGCTCTAGAGGAGGAACAAGGAAGGGTACTGGGGGGGGGGGGGGGGGGGGGTCAAGTGACCTCGGATGGCAGGGGGGTCACGTGACGTCGGGGGGGGGTGTCACGTGACGATGCCGATGTCGTCATCAGTGACGATGACAATGCGGATACCGATGACGTCACTGATGACGTCGTCAGTGATGATGACGATGACGATGCGGATTCCGGTGAGGTCATCAGTGACATCACTGATGACGTCATCAGTGATGATGACAATGCAGATGCCGGTGACGTCATCAGTGACGTCATCAGTGGCAATGACGTCGACGGGGGGGGGGGGGGGGGGGGGAGGGGGTCACGTGACCTCGGGAGAGGGGGGGGGGGGGCTCGCACGGTGCATTATGGGACATTTCTCATAATGCACCGCGCGGTTACGCCGACGGCGACGCCGCTCAAGCCGGAAACGGGCCCCTAACAGTTGTGCTCTAAAACATGCAAGATCTTGACTTTTACGTTTGTGCAATGTGCGCGTTTTCCATCTGCTCCGCACAACCGAAAAAACAAAGGTAAAAAGAAAAGTGTGTTCGGGTATAGCTACGTGACTTCCAGCCAACTCTCTCCTCCTCTACATTTCTTCTTTTTCCCCACTTCAATTTCGGTATCGGTTTTGGCTTTATTAAAGACATATGTGATGCTGTAGCAAAATGTTGATTGGGTGGTCTTACAACACCACAACAAAGTGCCTAGCAAAAAAATGAAAAAAATATTGGGGTGGAGGGTTGTTTCTTTAAGTTTGAGTGTAACACGGCTGATAACAACATTTGGCCAAGGCAAGGATTCACTCTCAAAGCAGGGACGAAACTCACGTAAACCGTCCCATCATCCGTTCCGGCTGCGGCCAGAGGATGGTGCGCATCCGGACTGAAGCAGCAGCAACGAACGCAGGCCTCCAGTTCTTTCGTACGCTGCAGTTCTCCGGTCTCGCTGTCCCAGAGCTGGGAAAGAGTTTGTTGTAAACTTTGGTCGTACCCCGATCGTCAGCAACTTCGAGGGACCTCCACTAGATTGTCAATATCACAGAGACAATAAAATTTAAGCATAAATTGCTTAAAAAAAATAAGAGTTGCAGTATACGAGGTGTATCATATAAATAATGAGACGGTGGCAGGAGCGTGGATCATTTTTACAGTGCTACAGGTCATATAATTTGCAGGGTAAAATTTCGGCTGAAAAAAGAGGTTTACCTTAGATAGTCCGCTGAGTCGACACATGAAAAAAAGTAAGCGTAACACGTGTCCTAACACGTTACACTTACTTGTTACGCTTACATGTTATGCTAACGTAACACGTAACAACCTGTCCTAGTCTTTTGAGCAATTAGCGATGGTGCGCGACCAAAAGCGTCGCTGCGGTCAGCTTTCCACGATTGGCCAAACCATGGGCATATGAGCATTGTCAGATTCTCAACTTTGACGGTGTTAGTTTCGGATTGCGATGGCTCCTAGCTTCCACTGTGCCTTTTAAACACACCACCAAACTCGTTGTAGCACCTGATGGTAAGTAGCCAGGATAACAACTGACGACGTCACGGCGAGGCGAATCCCGGTCATGACGTCACGGATGGAAACCATAAGAGGGCGCCACCGAAACGTCTCGGTGCTAATAATTTTGCAGTGCACGTCGGGCGTAATGCGGGTTTGTTTCTGACGACGGAGGCTAAGGGACTCACGCAGAGATTCTTGTCGCTCGATCCGGAGAGGAGATGCCGTCCATCCGGGGACACGTCGCAGGACGAGATGCGGTGTCCTCCATGTGCCACGATGCAGAACAGCAGTGCCTTTATCCCGACCAGGTTCCAAACCTGGCAACCCAAAAAAACCGTAAACATGAGTTTACGCAAAATTTTGATGGTCATCGATTTGCCTCAAAATTGGTTCAACGTATTAATGGACGCATCTGAACTAGTGACCCAAATTACAGGCTCTGCTGGCATCGCTGAAAATGTGATGCTGGAAGTTGTAATATGGGGCGGTATGGGGGCATTACAGCCTGCTCCCGACGAGTTACAAGAAGTGTGACGGTGTGAAACACCGTCACACTTCTTGTAACTCGTTTCCCATAGGGCTTAATGCCCTGTGGGAAAAGTTTCCCATAGGGCTTAATGCTTATATGAACTCGAAATAATGAAGAAAATTGACCCTCATAACTACGTTGAACAAAATATTCCCGAAAAGCATTTGCGAAAAGAAGGTTATTTTACATTTATTTCGCCCAGAATGAATCAAAGCTTGCCGTTCGCGTGCCAGTGGTAGAATCAAGGCACCGGAGGTACCCTACAAAACGAAACTGCACAAAACACAGATTCTCCGCATGGCCTTGAATCAATTCACCTACACTAGATGGTGCTAGTGGCGGTGGTTGCTTCGTGTCGTGTGCGACAGATGGCACCGATAGCCTCCGTCTCGCCACTCTTCGTTAGTTTGTTAGGATTTTTGTTTTCTTTCGCTGCTTGTCTCTCCCCGTGACCGGTTCTCTCTGCGCACGATATCTGTTCCACTATGTCCTGCATTGCTGAGAAATGGAGCCCCCCAAGAAGAAAAGAAAAGTGCTGATCCTGAAGAGAAAGCGAATATCATTCGTGCGAGTGGATGGAAGAAATGTGAAGTTGCCGCGAAGCACGGCATCCCAGCCAGCACGCTTTCGAGAATCTTGAAATCGAAGGACGCCATCGTTAGTGCCACAACCGCCACAACGTTGAGTGCCACTTTGTCCGGGGAACCGTCCAAGAAGGAAATCCTGAAGGCCACCCCACATGAAAAATTGGAAGAAGCGCTCTTCACCTGATTCATGGATATGCGAACCAAAAACATTCTACCCACCCGTGACGTGGTGCAGCAGAAAGCGCACGGCTTCGCGTGTTTGCTTGGATATGACAAGTGCCAGGCAAGCCGCGGCTGGCTGTCGCGGTTTCAAGAACGCTACGGCATTGTAGGGAAAGTGTTGAGCGGAGAGTTAGCCAGTGTTAACAAAGTCGGAGCTGATGACTGGTTGTCAGAGAACATGCCGGACATTCTTGTAAGTTAAGCCCCCAAGGATGTGTACAATGCCAACGGAAGCGCGCTGTTCTACAAGATGCTACCAAAAAAGGCGCTCATAAAAAGGGGAGCCTTGCCACGGCGGGAAACAGAGTGAGCAGAGGCTTATTATCCTGCTGTGTTAACATGGATGGGAGCGACAAGCACGTCCCGCTTATCATTGGGAAAAGCGAGAAGCCACAGTGCTTTAAAGGGGCCCTGCAATCATATTTAAACGTTTACCTTTTTTGCGGTTTCCACGTCTATTAGGGTTGGGGCAAGCCAGCGGGCACGGAGAGAGTAACTAAATATCAGTGCGTCATATTTTAACCGGACGACGCGGAAACCTCCTCCACCGACGAGGGCGACCCGCGGTACCGAAAGCGCGCAAAATGTGACGTCTTTGGTCCTGGGCTTACTACTGGTCAGAGCCGCTAAGAGCTTTTTTTTAGTCGAGATACAAAATATAAGTGTCGGGAACCGTTTCAATTATGTATGAAAGTAGTTTTTGTTCACTATTTTAGATTGGAAAAGAAACAAATGCAGTTTAGAAAGTACAGAAACGAGAAATGACCCGTCGACATACCTGCCACCAAGCGGCGGAAAAAAACGGCGCATACTAGAAAAGGCTAGTGGGATGAGGCTACGACAAACGAGGAGCGCAGAAAGGTCTTGGATGTACGCGGCGGCGCTGTGGTCGTATACCGGCTCAAGAATCCGACCGGTTCCGAGCGTTCCGAAGGCCTTCGGCGCGGGCCCTGCTGGCGATTTGGCCATTTAGCGGTGCGTCAGCGCGAAGTGGCTCCCGTTCTGAACTGATCTTTACCCCGTGTTTGCTGTCGTTTGTGGCCAATGAAATGTTATGCCGAATTAGTGTTTAGTCGCGCTGCAAATGAAATATGAGCTGCCTTGGCCGCCCGCTTCATACAGCCTATCCAACACGTGCTTTAGTGGCACTCTCTCGAGCCGTCGACACGGAGTGCGGCAGCTGAGTGCGCTCGATGAGCTCACTACTCCTTCTTTAGTTCACGGCCACTCAAGGCAGGACCTAAGACGTCATGAAGGAGGTTATTTTTTGCTTGTTTTTGTAATTCTAATTTGCCTATAACTTTTAAAATAAAGCGAAATTTGAGAAAAGAGAAGTTGGATTAGGTTACTACGTTCAGTACGCTCAGGTTCAGTGCAAATTAAAAACCAGTCAAAAAGTCATTGCAGGGCCCCTTTAAGGGGGCCAAGAAACTTTCTGCACAGTATGTCTGGAACACTAAAGCCTGGATGAGTCGTGAAATTTTCTCCAAGTGGCTCACGGAGTTTGATGACGACACGCGCCAGCAGAAAAAGAAGGTGTGCCTTTTTGTTAGATAACTGCACTGCGCATCACATCCCCGAGCTTCAGTTGAAGAATGTGCAGCTGCGCTACTTCCCCCCCCCGTCCTTTAACCCCTGGGCCAGAGAATTATCAATAGCGTCAAGTGCGCATACAGGAGGCGTGTGATTGACAAGCTACTGATTAAGATGGTGGCAGCAGCGTGGAAAGTAACCGGGACCTTGATCATCATAAACTGCTACAAGCATGCTGGTTTTGTGACGTCCGCTGCTGAGGCTGTGTCGGGCTCTGCAATCCCTCAAGACGATCAGGAAGAGGCCACGCCCAGTTCCTCGTAAGAGCTTCGCTGACTAGACAAGGTGGCGGAAGGTGTGAGCTTCACCGACTATGTGCGTGCTGACGCCGACGCGGACATTGACACGACAGAGGTGTTAGATGATGATGAGATCGTGCAGCTGGTCTCAGGTGCACGAAAAGAGTCGGAAGTCGCTGACAATCCGGAAACTGCCGAAGCGCCCGTGCTCGCTCCAATTCAGGTAATGGATGCTATCGACCTGCTGAGGCTCACAAAGGAACAGAGGACGCGTTGAATTTGCTCGCGAGCTACGAGAATTCCATACCCCCACTCCTAACAAAGTGCACGCAGGCAAAGCTAACAAGCTTCTTCGCTAAAAAATAGATCTTCCCGGAGCTCCGAGGTTTTCTTGTTTTCCTTTTAGCATGCACAACTAGTGTGACCCCTATGCGGACTTTCCTGTGCACTGTTGAAAATTTTAGTGCGAGGACACATAAAATTTATACCTTTGCAGTACTTACGATGCCGCTGCGTTAAGACTTTGTATTTACTGAACGAAACGTCCAAAAAATGATTTCTCGATTTTTTGAAGTTTCGAATTTAACGAAGTAATTCACGGCTCCCCCGTTAGATCAAATTTTGACTGTACTTAAAAAAATTTTTTTTGGGGAGTTCATTTTTTTTTTTTTTCTTTTTAGGAGCGATTTCAAAACACATTTACATTTCAGGTTGATCGACTGAAATATCAGAATCGTTCCAACTCAAAAGCTGCCTTGCAACATAAATATTGCACTATTTTTTTTAATTTATTTTTATGATGCTTCATTTTATTTAAGGGGATACACCCCCTGGGAGGGTCAGCTTTTGAACCCTTGGCTTTAAATTAATGAAATTTACAGAGTGGGCTGGTGGTTATGCTAGAGGGTGCATAACAAAATTTCAGGTCTGTCGGTTAAGTGGAAAGAAATTAGGGCAGCTTCTATCAGCAACACCCCTACATTGTTTAGTTAATCTATCGTCGGAAAACTATCAAAATATTCAAGATTTTTATTCGCTAGATATGTAGCAGAATGCCTAGGAGGTGCACCTATGGAAAGTTTTTTGTAAAAAGTCATTGATTTCTATCAATTTTCTCTTCTGCAAAATAAGTCAACGTTTTGGTCATCTGTGTCTCCCCGACAAAATGTCAACACTTTTTATAAAAGACATCTGTAGAGTGACAAACTCCATAGGCGCATTCCTTATTAAATTTCAGTCAGGAAAAGTGAAGAACGACCCTTCCCTTTATTGCCATTATCAAACGATAGATTGACTAAAATGGAATTTATACCAAAAAGTGGAACAGAGAAAAATGTGTTCAAAGTGCTCCAAACCCTACCTTTTCTTTAGCTTTGGTGGACAGAAAATAATTTATAAAAAAATTAACCATGCAGTGTAAACTAGAGAAAATTTCTGGGAATACTCCCTGGATGTAGATGGATGTAAATATGTAATTTTTCAAAATCAATGCTTTTTGCAGAAATTTTTTTCTCTCTGGGTAGCCCCTCAATTATTCTACAAAAACCTCTTTGAAGTTTAGCATCCCTTTGAGGCAAATTGCGTACGGTACTACACAAAACCTCTGACGTCGCTGACACCTCATCGTTCCCCTCTCTTCATTATCGAAGTCCTTGGAAGCGATGGACTGACGAACTGACACGAGGTCAGTCCAAAAATGAAACTCATGTGCTCACGCAAATTTCGCCGCTCTCCGTCCAGGAAAGCAACTTGCGGGCGTCGTCGAAGAGGCGGCAAGAGACGACCGCACCAAGAGGATCCCCGAGGGCTGTCGAACTTCCGTCCGCTTCCCACACCTGGTTGGAGTCGCGGGGAGACGTGAAGCATGAATGTGCTTGCAAAACCCCTACGCTGAAACAACTCGAATGCAATCTTTGTCTATAAAGAAAAATCGACGTGCACACCACATTACCTCTTCCTGGGAATGTCAACTTTAAATCGATTACCCAATCAAGTTGAAATTCGCAGGTGGTGTTTGTAGCCATATAGTAGGACGGCATGCAAAGTTTCAGTCCTGTGAATCATTTTTATGAGGTATTACTATACCCCCAGAACGAAGTAAAGCATCTCTTGGCATGGGATCTGCTCAATGAACCTATCGTTAAGGAATGGTGTTGATAATCAGATAGTTTTCTGGTGCAATGCATACTGGAATACGTGTTGCCGGTTACTATAAAAACGTTTGCTACACAATATGCATTTTTTAGCAAAAAAAAAAAATGCTCTTACATTTACTAAGTTTTGCAAATTACAATTTTTTTATAATAAAGAAACATGAAAAAGCAAAAATTAAGTTCATAGCAACCGGCTTCATAGAACTTCGATGTAATAAGCTGCAAAAATGAAGTCCTTCGATAGGTTTATTAAGCGAAATTTATGCTAAAAAGCGGAACGGAGAAAAACACGTTCCAAGGGGCTCGAACCTCTGCCTTGTGGCATTTTTCAAAATCAACTTTTTTTTCTGAAGAATTTTTTGTTTTGTTTTTAGGTTTGTTCACGCACTTGTGATTGCTTACAACATCTTGTGATATCTTCAAGGAGAGAACAAGCTGGCATCATCTATGAGGCGGTCCTGGAACTGCATTTCACTAGAGCGAAGGTTTAGCAGTTTTTGCGAGATCAAATATATGTATCATCAACCAGAAACAGTTTTTTAAAGCAGCGCCAAAAGAGTTTTGAGCCAATAGCACAAGAATGATGCACAAAAACAAGAGGAAATATACGAAAATCGCTAGCTTTCCCCGACTACCCCATAGATGGCGTCGGTATGCCGGCTTATCGTAAGAGATCCCAAGCAAGACTCGCACGTACTGGACGTGCATATACACTACCAAACACCCGAACACAGGAAACAAATCTTCAACTCGCCGAATGCCTTCGTGCGAGCAGCGAGTCTTCTCCTGTACATTTAACTTTCCTCTCTATGTCTTTCTCTTTGCCCTCTTTATCCCACCACCCCTCCCCAAGCCGCCGTTTCAGATGACCACAGTTCGAGCAACTCGGCGACTCATTTCAATCCCATGTAAAAAGAAAAAAAAAAAAATGACCGCATCTCCACGTGGTGAATGATGTTGATTGGGGCGAAGCTCTGGTAGTGCTGATGATACTGATTTTATTGTTCATAGGTAGTGCTGATTTGTTTTTATTGCTCATAGGTAGTGCTGAGTTCTGGGCTGTGTTTCGACTTCATTATTACTGCTTTATGGTCGGTGAAATGCAGAGCCAGTGGTTCTTCTAGTGGATCAGCTTGGATCCGCTACAAGCCGTGGGAACGCATCTCCACCGCTTAAAGACCGACCAACGAAACCATTTTCCGCAAGGTAGGAAAATGCCCCTCGCACCCTCTTCTTTTCACCCTCTCCCAAAAATCACGTGACGGCAGGGGCTTCTTTTGTGTCGGCTTTTTCTGTAGGGATAATCTTTTAAAAACCGCAAAATGAGCCGCTAGCTGCGAGCGCCACAACTACCTTGAGACGTCCAGGTGTCTTCCCTCGTTGACGCGAGTACGCTCAATCCGCGAGATTGAGGAAGCCAGCGCGGCCGAACGCTTTTCCCCATGAGCTGCAGGTTCGAGGCCGCTTGGTCGGTGGAGATCGAGGGGTCGTGGTGTGCAAGGTTCGTTCCCGTAGCCGCTTTCTGGCATCGCGCGGCTGCTGGAACCATTCCCGTGTCTGCACAAGGATTGGCTTGCGCAATAAAGGGTTCAGGTCGTTGATAATACATTTATTTTCGAAACTTATAAATAAAGTGGCTTTTCCTAATCTCTTCTTTACTGTTTGAAACACATCTCCTCTCATAGGTTGCTTATCTCATTTTGGAGTCTTGCGTATTTATTCGTCCTTACCTCTGCTGGATGTTTGTTTTATTACTTGATAAAGACCTTTAAATATTGGCGCGGGCTTGCGCCATTAACGCTGTCCCGGATTTATCCAAGATTGGAAAGAATGGCGTCAAGAGCGGTTGAAGAAGCAAACCGAAATCCTTGCTTCTAATGAAGACCATGAGTGACCTGATCGTTAGATAGGTCTTTTATTTATTTATTTATTTATACATACCCTCAATGCCTCGGGGGCGTTATAGAGGGGAGTGGGTCAGTACAAGTGGTTTTGAACGGCTAGTCGGAATTGCTTGGAGTCGGGTATGGTGACTATGGCGTCCGGGAAGTCATTCCAGTCCACAACTGCTTCAGGGATGAGGGAATGCTGGTGTGCTTCACTTGATGACTTGGGACGGGCGATCTTGCATGAATGGTCTAATCTTGATGATATGTAGGTGGGCGGGTTCAGAAGAGACATTTTCAAGAAAGGTGTGCAGAAGACTTTATGAAGAAGAGAAAGGCGGGAAATTCGACGGCGGGAGGAAAGTAGAGGAAGGTTAAGACGAGACTTCATTGATGACACACTTGAGGTACGAGAATAGTCATTAAAAATAAAGCGAGCAGCACGGTTCTGAACGGATTCAATGGAGTCTGTTAAATTTTTCTGATGAGGATGCCAGATGGAGGACGCATATTCTAATTTAGGCCTAACAATAGTGGTGTACAAAATACGTTTTAGGTTTTCAGGTGAGGATCTAAAGTTTCGGCGAATGTAGCCTAGAGAGCGGTTTGCTGAGGATATAATTGTTTTAATATGAGTATGCCATGATAGATTAGGTGTGAGATTCAAGCCTAAGTATTTGTATTGGTTAGTATAATCAATGGGGACAGAGTTCAAAAGAAGTACAGGATAGGTGATTGACAATGAACGAGAAAAGCACATGCATTGACATTTGTTAGGATTTAAGGACATGCGCCATGTGTTACACCATTCAGAAATTTTATAAATGTCGCCTTGAAGCGTTACAGTATCATCTGTAGAGGTTATCTTACGATAGATTACACAATCATCGGCAAAAAGCCGCACAGTGGAAGAGATGTTGAGAGGAAGATCATTAATATATATTAGGAAGAGTAATGGGCCGAGTACTGTCCCCTGGGGAACACCAGAAGAAACAGAGCACAGGGAGGATTTGGTGTGGTTAGCATAAACAAACTGACGACGTTGAAGAAGGAATGATTCGATCCATTTTAGTATGTTAGGGTCAATTTTTAGCATAGAAAGTTTCAGCAGAAGGAGGTTATGTGGCACTTTGTCAAAGGCTTTGGCGAAATCCAGAAATACAGCACTAGTGGGGTAGCCGGAGTCAAGGTTTAGGTGAAGGTCATTAGTAAGAAATAGGAGCTGCGTTTCACAAGAAAAGTTGCGGCGGAAACCGTGCTGCGCGTTGCTAAAAAAGGAGGAAATCAAACAGATGCGTGAAAATGATATGCTCCATGATCTTAGATGGGATGCAAGTAAGAGATATAGGCCTGTAGTTGAGGGGAGAAGACTTACTGCCGCTTTTGTGGACCGGAATGACCTTGCCGATTTTCCAGTCCCCAGGCACCACCCCCGACTCCAAAGACTGCTGAAATATCTTGGTTAGAAATAAACTACAAGACAGGCTAGTGTTACGTAATATTTTAGTGTTTATATTGCCAACCCCAGAGGACGACGAGACCTTTAATGAGTTAATAATTTGAGATACACCATTAAATTCTACAAAAACAGGGTCCATTGGAAAATAATCAGCAGGAACGTGGCCAGGTAAAAAGTCAGTAGAAATAGGTGTAAACACATTGCAAAAAACATCATTAAACATAGCTGCACACTGATCATCTGGCACAACTTCACCCGAGCCGTTAAAAATCTTTGGTAAAGTGTGGTCTTTTGAGTTAACAATACTCCAGAAACGACGAGGGTTGTTAAGTAATATTGAAGGGAGCGTCTGCTGAGAGTACACGCTTTTGCACTCTTGCAGTTTCATTTTGTAGTTATGTTCACAATTTTTATATTTGGACCATGACTCAGGAGTATCATCACGCTTAGCAGCACGGAAAAGCCTTTTCTTTTTGTTACAGAGAGACCTAAGCTGTCGATTGAACCATGGTTTCGCCGAGGAAGGCCTGAGGTATTTGAATGGGATATGAATGTTAACAAGTTCATCTAACTTGTTTTTAAATAAGTTCCAATTCTCGTTAACATCTCGAGAATCAAAATTATTTAAGAAAAAAGAGAAATAGTCACACAACGCTCGGTTTATTTCTTCGTAATTCCCTTTGTCGTATAGCAATATTTTCTTTCCTGAACGAACAATTTTTGCAGTTTCAACTTTTATGTAAGAATGAATTGATTTGTGGTCACTGATGCCGTCCAAGAATACCAAAGGCGTTGGAAATAATTCAGGGTGAGAAGTAAGAACAAGATCTAAAATGTTTGAACAGGAATGAGAGACTCGCGTAGGAAGGGAAACTATCTGAGAAAGATTGAAATCTAAAACAACGTCAATAAATTGTTGACAAACACTGGAGTTTTTAGAGCAGACAGGAGTTGGGTCGTTCCAATTAATGCACGGAAAGTTAAAATCGCCAAATAAAAGTATGGGATAGGTTGGATATTCTTTTGAAAGTAATGACAATTCATCGTGAAGAAGGCTTGAGAACGAGTGTGACGCGTCAGGAGGACGGTAACAAACACAAACCAAGACAGACCTAAAACTGCATTGTAAGCAGACCCAAACTATTTCAAGCTGTGAATGATTAGAAACAACTCTGCTAGGTATCTTTTTATCTACGGCTATAAGAACGCCACCACCGCGTCGTTGTTGTCGATCGAGACGATAGATTCTTGCTTCTCTTGCCTCCACAACGCCCTATCGTTTGCACTATCGCAACTTCTCAGTAACATAGCTGTATACCACATTTTACTCATGGTTA